TTACTTCTCTTTTAGCCACCCGCGTTTAATACACAGGATAGATATTTTTTTCAGGGTTCTGTAGTTGCTTTTTGGCATATTTCAGTGATATGATTCTTTCCCGGGTAGTAAGGACAACCTTTACATAGTTTTTCTTCATCAGCCGGACCTTTTGTGTCACTTCGTGAAAAGAAAAGAAAGAAGGATATGAAAAGTGCTTCTTGTGTGGATTGTGACGAAGTCACAATTGGGCCTTCCATAAGCCTTATCTTTTTATCGATGTGAGCATCTTTGCACCCTACCCGACGGTCGATGCATGAATGAGGAGTTTTTAACTTAAGGGTCACTCCGCCCTCCCGCATGATAGTCAGACATGTGTGCGCACTGACCTTGCTTAGGGACTTGGTTAAATGGCAAAAATCATTACAACTGCTGTATTGTGGAAATTTGCCGTGACAATCCGTTGGTCACCTGCCTATGATGAATTTATTTTAACTTGGTGGTAGTTTCCTCAGCGTTGTATAAAAAAGTTTGAACAATGCTTATGAGGGAATTCAAACACATAATAGGCCATTATCAATCGCTTCAATAGTTTCTAGCGATCATATTCCAAACATTACGAAGCTTTGACTGACAGCTTAAGCTATCACAGAAAGAGTTTAGAGATTTTTAGTTAACCCGTTACTAAAATGGCTACATTTTAACCAGAAATGTTTTAAAGCATAAACTTTTTGATAACCAACGCTTTTTGCGGTAAGGGGATGAGGTGGGTTACTGAACTTTAATAAGTAGCTGATGGAAATGACATTATTCAGTACCACAGTGTATTTCTCGGGCTGAGTCTCGTCTGTGTGTAAGAAACGAAGCTGTTGTAGTGTCTTCGCCGATTTCCTGCAGAAACGAGTTTGTAACCCTAGGAAGTTGAATTACCTCAAACCACGTCTTACCCAAAAGGTTAAGTACTGAAAAATCCAGACGAAAAGAATCATCCTTTTTCCATCACAGTAACCGCGGCTATTCCAAATGTTCAAAGTAGCTGAAAGACTGCTAATAGCTTTCAATGACTATCTGATATATGTCATAGTTCAAGAGGTGACCTGATTCTTTTGCGGGCGATGGAAGCGACCTTTTGCTTAACCATAAATAATATCCCGCGGGGGTATGACAACTAATTAAATTACACTATAATTTTCAATGAAAAGGTCGTCTTGTGTATCAAGCCTATGCTCTGTTCCTGTGCGATCAATAGTGTGATGAACCTTCCCACGACCTTTGCACCCCTTGACTTGTGTTTATTTAGTTATAAGGCCCGGGTCGCACTAGGGAAGTTTTGATCAATAATCCGTTAAAAAAGGATTAATATCTATCATCACAGCGAGTTTCCATATGCGACTGGTGATTCACAAATTTCTAAAATTTCGGAAAGTCCGCAGAAACTTCAGAGACACCGAAGTGTATGGGTAGGGCAGGCAGATTTTGAAAAAATCGAAAAAAAACAAAAGACACCGCTTCCGGAGCTGTCAACGCTAATCATTTGACCCAGACATGACCTGCAGTTAAACTATTCAATCGGCGGAAATTTTAATATTCACTCGCCAACTTTTAGCATGGATGGGCGTTTTCCTTTTTATTATGAGCCGGGATCATTCTAAGCCAAACTTTTCGTCATTTCGACGATACATTAGCTGGACCGATCTTAGATCAAGCGGGACCCAGCGGAATTTTGCTTAATCGGTTCGATAGTCCAGTAAGTGAGGTAAGAGAGAGCGATAACCCGACCAGCTGAAGGTCAGCTGAAGGTTTTGGCACAAAAAGAAAAAAAAATACGACAAATGGCCGTAAGAAGAGCAAAGGGTTCAAGGTTCAATGTGTAAGGCGTAACACGAATTCTACGTAAATGCCGCCGTCTTAGAAAAGCGACTTCAGGATTTGCATGTATTCATTTACCCATCTCTGATACAGGATGAAAAGGCAAACATTTGCAGCTGTTGCATGTCGATAATTTGTAGGAGTAGAAGGGAAAAAGTAAACCAAAATGCCCGATTTGGGTTCACGTTTATTACCGCACAATACACGCCAGAAATTAAATCAGATCAACTGTGTTTATCTTGACATATTTGTGTACTTCGGTAGTGCGACTCAAAAATTGTCACATTTTTCGGCTCTTCCGGTTGCGGTTTCAACTTTTCGAAAATTTTTTGGCTGTCTAATTTTGGTTTGGGCAGTGGTGCGACCTGGGCCTTTGCTGAGTTCGTCAAGCACCACATGTATGGTGCACATGTCAAGAGACCTGATCCTTATTTTGTTTTAAATTAAAAGCATTGTATTTTTCTTATTGGATTAGCTTAATCAAATTATTGTATCCCTATTTATATCCTGTAGGAGAAAATTATATTTCTTATGCAACATTAAAGTAGGCTATTATAAACTTGGTATATTGAAACAACACCAAAAGCCTACCTTACGGCTTAGATACCACAGAAAGTGTTATTAAAGGTGTATTTAATCCAAGATATCATGTCTATCGAGCTTACGCTTTTCTTTGTTATTTGATAAATAATTTGATACTCCTTTCCGCGAATGAAAAAGAGAAATGTTAAAGTAGTTCGACTGTAAAGCAAGAAAACAAAGGCAAAGGATACCTCAAATTTTAACCAAGCTCTGTGCTCGGTAAAAATTGAGGCAAGGCGTTACTATTCGCTTGGATATATATCAGTGTGGCAGTTTTTCGAGAGATATTTGGTTTGCAGTGTTGATAGAGGTACACCTTCAGTATGTTATTAATGGTTCTGTGCGTCTGTGTTTGGACAAGATGTATGACAAGTGGCCAATTTTATTTCTAAGTAGAATATAGTTTGGTGTGGTATTACAAGCCGATTCTAAAGTTACCATCTCTTACACAAGTACTGTGCAAGTAAGCCGATGACTGTAGTTGAGTGTTTGCTGAATAGCAGAATCTCCTTTCTTCTTAGAGGGCCTGTCGGCAAGTGTGGCGCTGTAAAGATATTAGAAAAAACAAAAAAACAATTTGGCGCGAAAAGTTTTGACAGGATACGTTTCGCATGCGCGTGCGGACCTTGTGCAGTGATTTCACGCGGAGAAGTAACCTTTCTCGGTGAAAGATTTTCGTTGAACGCAGTGTTCCTGGTTGCATCCAGTTAGATAATAATCTTGAATTTCAGGCTTTCTCTATCGCTGATCATCATTTTCCCGCGTCATTCTTTTCTTTATTTCAGTCTATAGATGGAACGAAATTCAAGTAATTTCCTGCAACTAGAAAGAAATGTAAGTTTATAAAATGGTGGATTAGGTGTTTGGAAATTTGTTATTGAATTTTATGAAGTCAGGTTATGCTCAAATAACATTTAGAATACTCCAAGACCACATTTAGCAGGTTAGGAGTGGACCTAATAAATTTGAATTATCTTCTCCATTTTTTATTTGCGAACCAGCCATTCTTAAATTTGAGCTGAGGAGCTTCTTTCTTTTGAGAAGCTTGGTATGATTTTCCATGTCTGAGATTGTTGAGACGTTGAGGCGTTGAGGCAGAATATTCCTCAGGATCACGTTCTGTTTTACATTCCTGCATGTTTCGACTTAAGTCTTTTTAAAAGCTGAAACCCTTGTGCCACGGAGTACATGGTGCTATTGCCCCGTGGATCACTAATCTTGGCTTGTGAAGCTTGAAATAAATAAAACTCTCCCCGGTCAATTTAGTCTGAGAAAATTTTGAATGCACTTCAGTAAACAATTCCTGGCTATCACGCTTAGTGCTATGATATGTTTTTAAATGCTGTGACTTGTTGCATGTGTTATATGGTTTTCTTTTTCGCGATATCAAATCAGATAGAATAAAACCCTTGAGCGTTGAACTTTAGTGTATGTTTACCTTGAATTCGCCGTAAGTTCTACTTGCTGTACCAGCTATTTCAATCATTTCACTCAACTTTATTATGGTCAAAGACGTGCAGTCATTTTGGGGCATAGTTTACCCATGGCGGTGTCCATTTTTAGGGTAAAGTTCTTCGTGTCACATTGCAGTGTGAGGGTTGTCGACCTGACATACGACTGTATGGAGACACTCGTAATGTTATGCCTTTCTTCTCTATTTCTAAGCTATTGACGATGTCATCATTTTTCGTGCGGACATTATAAACAACAAACATTGATGTTTTATTTAATGTCCATAAGACATTAATCATGGTCATCGATGGGTAGCCAATTATGGAGCACAAATTATCTACGGGGGGTATCCATTTTAAGGGTAACAGTGGTGAGGCTCGTCGACCTTTCTTTAGTATAACACTCTCAAGGAGACATTCGTTATATAACGCTTTTTTACTCTATTTCTAAGGTAGCTGCCGGTCAATTTAGTCTGAGAAAATTTTGAATGCACTTCAGTAAACAATTCCTGGCTATCACGCTTGGTGCTATGATATGTTTTTATATGCTATGACTTGTTACATATGCACGCTTACATTGTTCACGACTATTAGGGAATTGTTAATTTATGTTAAAACAGGTTTGATAGACCTTATCATGCGTGATATGGTTTTCTTTTTCGCGATATCAAATCAGATAGAATAAAACCCATGAGCTTTGAACTTTAATGTATGTTTACCTTAAATTCGCCGTAAGTTCTACTTGCTGTACTATCTATTTCAATCATTTCACTCGACTTTATTATCCAACATGCAAGATTTTCCTGCAGACATAAGACGACAAAGACTGATATATGGTCAATGACGTGTGATCTTTTTTTGGGAAAATTTTCCCCCTGGCGGTTTCCATTTTTAGGGTAAAGTTCTTCGTGTCACATTGCAGTGTGAGGGTTGTCGACCTGACATACGACTGTATGGAGACACTCGTAATGGTATGCTTTTACGGCCTTCAATCATCGATGGGTTGTCGTTTATAGCGCATAGGCTACTTATAAGAGGGTAACTTCGCGCCACGTTTCACTGCAAGGATCCTCGACGCGTCCCGAAACACTTGCAAATAGATAAATTGTTTTTCTAGAAATGACACGTTTTTCTACTCTATTTCTTACTCTAATTGTATTCGCTGTCGTTATGACGCCTTCAAATGCTTGGAGACGTCGAAGGAGGCGACGGTGGAGTTGTTTGCCTGTCCAGTGCAAAGTTGGCAATTGGGAAGCGTGGACCTCCTGTAGTAAATCTTGCAGTGGAGGCTCGACTACACGCACCCGGGAAATTACGCTCATGCAGTCTTGTGGAGGCAACTGCCCACACCATCTAAAGGAAACTAAAATCTGTAACCCATTCTGTTGTCCTGTCGATTGTGTTTTCGTTTGGAATGCATGGAGTAGGTGTATTGGATGCGGAACGTTGACTCAATCTCGTTCCCCAAGCATTAGGCGGCGAAGTTCCTGTAGCGGACGAACTTGTCCTGCACAAGAAACTCGTTCTTGTAACACGGGGATGTAAGTACTCAATGATTTGCTTACATGTTTGCAATGTCATCTTATTTCTTAATTCTTCATGTTATGTAACCGAGTTTGACAACAATGAAGAGGGAATTTGAGCACAGACGATTTCATGCAACATCATAATAGGCCTTATCAAACACCCCAAAATTTTCCAATGATTATATCTTATACATTAGTAAAAGCCTATCATAGCAGTAGTTTAAACATTCATAGTTCAACCGTCACTTTGTAAATGGTTAAGATTCAGCAAAAGGTGTTAACATACTATGTAACGGCCAACGCGCTCCCTTTTAAGAGATGGGGTGGGGTACTGAACCTACATAAGAATGTAAATAGTTAAATCAGTGTTACAGTCAATGGTATCAGTTATGAGTATCGTATGTGAACGAAACAAAGTTGTAACAATATCTTCGCCTATTTCATAAGAGCACAAATTCGTCGCCTTGTTACTCCAAAATTGAATTACCAAAACCATGTCTTTGAATACTGCATTGCAACCACGAGAGCTCCACGTGTTCAACGTAACTGAAAGATAACGACCATGGAATATCATTTTTCATTCGATAGGTTACATCGGGTAGCTATTATTTGTCACAGTTCAAGAAGCCAACTTAATCCGGCTTTTGCGTGCAGCAACATTTAGCCTTTTGCTTGACCATAAGATTAAGGAGTTCGTCCATAATTGTTAGGGCTTTGTAACAAAATCTGCAACATTTTATTTACTTTTTGGAGGTTAACACCATTTAATTTCCTTATCAGCTTACCTTAACCAAGTTATCGTATATCTCCATTTATACCCTGCAGGGAAATGATAGTGTTTATTTTGCCATGTAACATTAAAGTAGGCTACTATCAACTGGGCATATATTGAAACAACAGTGAAAGCCTACTTAACGGCTTACATACCACAATAGGTGATATAAAGGTGTATTAATCAAAGATATCTTGTGTATTAAGCCTACGCTTTGCTTCGTTATGTGATAAATAATGTGATCATTATTTCAGCAGACGAAAAAGAAAAAAATTTTAAGTAAGACTGTAAAACAGAGGCAAAGGATTCCTTGAATTCTAACCAAAGGTCTGAACTCGGTACACATATAAGATCTACACGCTATGAAACATTGAAAAAGGATATAATCAACTGAGTACACTGAATCAGTAGCAAAACAGTTATCTAGCAGCTTAGGTATCATAGGAGGTGATGTAATAAATGTGTTTAATCCAAAGTATCTTTTGAATCAAACCTGCGCTTTGCTGTGTCATGTGATAAATAAGGCGATAATCCTTTCCAGAATAAAAAATTGAGAAGTTGAAGAAGTCAGACTGTTAAGCATGAGAACGAAGTCAAAGGGTGTCTCGGAATTTCACCGAAGTTCTGAGCCTGGTACAAATTAAAACCAAGCAGTTATTATTCACCCGGATATTTCATAGCAGGTTAACTCAAACAACAAACCAAGCCAATTTGTCACGGTATGGCGGTTTTTCAAGAGACCTATAGGTTGCAGTGTTGATAGAGGTACACTTTAAGAATATTACTAATGGTTCTGTTCCTCTGTTTTGACAAGAAATATGCCAAAGCCAATTTATTTCTAAGTGCATCAGCATCTGTTGTCGCTGAACATGTTAATTCTGGGAGTTACAATCTTTTGTGCAGCTGCTTTACAAGTAGGCTGATGACTGCAGCTGGCTAGTTGCTGTTCATGCTTTTTTTCTGTCTTCTGTTCAATCACAGTTGTATCCGCTTACTTCTTGCAGTGCTTTGCCCGTGCGCATAGCTTGTCGGCGAGTTCACTGGTGTAAATATAGTAGAAAAAAAAAACAATTCGACCGTAAAGGTCTTGCGGAAAAAATGCCTTTCGCACGCGCATGCTGACCCTGTGCGCAATTTAGGTCTCGCAACAATGTAACCTTTCTCGGTGTAGGGTTTTCATTGACGGAGTGTTCCCGGTTCGAGAAAAGGGAATGAGCATGCTTTCAGTTCTATTATAATCTTGAGTTTTTTGCTGTTTATTAACTTTATGTCACTGATAAGCCTTTTTTTTCTCGGTCGTTAATGTCTCCATCCATTGTTTAGCCGAATATTCAACGAAATTCAAATAACTTCTTGCACCTTTGTACAAAGAAAAGTTCACGACAAGGATAATAAAGTGTTTGTTGATGATGTCAATAAATGTTATGAAGTCAGGTTATGTTCGAATAACATCCATAACACTTTTAAGACCTCATAGATGTATACAGAAAACCGCTTCGAAAATTAAACTTCTGAAAATTTTACGGTTACTCTTGATGTCTTGTTTCTCGGAAGCTTTTAAGCACCATACTGGAGATCTGAGATTTTGCGATGGAGTATGGGATTGTCTAAAGGTTTCTCAAAAGTATCACCAGAAGAACAAGAAACTACCTGCTGGTGAAAGCGTTTTCTGAATTGTTTGACGTCCGTCGAATTGAGGTCGTCTACCTTTACGAACAAGTTTATGTGCTATTCCAAGTCGCTTTGTTTTCTGAGCCTTCTTATCAGCGTCACTACCAGTAAAGACTGGCGAAGGAAACCTGTGGTAGAGGAAAGTGCCAAGGTGCGTCACTCCCGAACCTTTGACATGAGTCACTTAGCATTTTCCGTTGGTAGGAGGCGGTGACGTGAGGATATTCGATACCTTGAGGATGTGTTTTGTTATTCGTGGAGTGATTCTTCCAAAGGTCGCACTGAAACACGTCTTATTTTGCAACAATGGTGCAAACGTACTCTGTAAGTCTTGCAGTTCTTTTTCTTTTGATAGCCTTGATTTTAACGCCTTCATACTCTTGGAGACGTCGAAGAAGGCGAAGATGTTCTCCTACCCACTGCAGAGTTAGTAGTTGGACTTCATGGAGTTCTTGCACTCTGTCTTGTGGCGGTGGTTTTCGTTCTCGTAGGCGGAGTAAAACGCTCACTGAGTCCTGCGGAGGGAGATGTCCATATGACTTGACGCAAACGCAAAGATGCAATTCTCAGTGTTGTCCTATTAATTGTAAATATACGTGGAGCGCTTGGAGTAGTTGTAGTGGATGCGGAACCTCGACACAAACAAGAAATCCTATTATCATAAGACCCAGTTCTTGTAACGGGAGAGCTTGTCCTTCGGCCGAAACTCAGTCCTGCAACACAGGAATGTAAGTGCACTCAATCATTATTTGATTAATGTTTATATGGGCTATTTACGGTAAAATCAGTATAATCATGATCACTGATCGTGGTATTACACGCGAAGAAGTGTAGTAGTTATTTTGAAGCAATTTGTGCCTTTTTTAAATCTTCGAAACATAGCATCGAAATGCTTTAGAAGAAAAGACTAAAGATGCGAGATGTTGGAACTCGAACCATGCCGGTTTGCCTATCTCGTGTCAGTGAAGAGACCTTCGAAAAAATTACCTCACCTGATATCGGTGTATTTTGATTTCTACTGATTTTTGGCGAGCATGTCATGTCATATTTTATTTTTATTTTTTCATCGGCTGATAAGGCACATAGGTGGTCTAGCTGTTTTCCGATATTTGATAAAATGCGGGGCAGTGATGTGAATTAAGACGCGGAAAATGTCATTCAGCGAAACACACCATAAGTCACATGGGTGGTCTAGCTAGACATCTTTTATTGTGTAAACATTTACCTCTGAAGTTAGATGCGTTAAAATGAGTTTTCAATGTAAATAGTCGCACTAATTTATAAAATTGCTAGATTTCCAATCTTTGACCGAATGAGTGAAATGGTGGTTCAAAGGGTTCCTGACTTGAATACTTAATGTTTAAAAAAGCCTCTTTAATTGTGTTACGGAACTGGCCTTTGCAAAGTATTTGGGATCTGGCCGGCGCCTCTCAGTTATAAAATGTTACCCTACGAAAAATGAAATGGTAAAGGTACTTTGCTGCACCTTCTCGATTTCAATAGAGTGCGAGAGGAAATTCACAGAAATAGGCTTACTAACTGGCCCTCTTTCACAATACATAGAGTCCACTGGTGTGCATTAAGTCCTTCCAGAATGTGATATTTCCTCTTGAGTGTACGCCTTTTACCAGTTACCTTCTAAATCCTGTCCAGAAGGCTTTTATGCCCCTTGCTTCATATGCCTTGAGGCTTCCCTCCTGTTGCATTCTTGTAACTGGAGCCTATTGAACCTTGAAATTCTGCCAAGGTGGTAGAGATGGAGTGTAAAAGAGTACTCTTTGCTTTTTACACCCAGTTCTCTCTATTTCCTCCGCCCTTAGAGTTTGCCTCATTTGCAAACGAGATTGTGGGAACTTCTGTTGTCATTTTTTCAAGTTCTTTTTTATCCTTTCTGGATTTTCACGTTTCTGCAATCTGCACTGCTTCAAGATTTTTATTTCCTATTTTAAAGACTGTTGTCATCTTCATCATTAAATCTGCGGGTGTTTTCTTACTACGGAGGATACTCCTGTGCCTTGTCGAGCACAGAAGCGCTCAACTGATACCTGCTGCTTAGCGATGTTAAACAAAGCTTCTCTGTACATTTGTGATTATTGCAGAACGTGTTATTTTCTCCCTAATGCACACCATCCTGTTTACCTTTGATCGCGGTTAGACAGAGAATCTTCCGCAAACTTAGATTAAATTGGAAGCCGTTGAAGCAAGAAGTTTCGTCAACCTTTTATTGTTTCAATGTAAGATTTACTTATGCTGTTTGCGAAATGAAGACCAAAACTGTATCTCAAAGGCTTTATGTCACAGTTACTTTTTATGGTGATAAGCAATCCTTGCTGTTTGTTTATCTTTCCATAATTTTACCTCTTCAGTTTGTCTTTACCTCATATACTTTGGTCTTACTTGTGATACTTTGCCAAAAAAAATCATCAAACTTTTACAATCTGAACTCCGTCAGAGTTGAACAATTTTCATTCGTAATTGCAATCATACAAGGCTGAATATTTATTTTCCCGTGATCAGGGAAATCATGAATCAAAACTTGTTTAGCATTTAAGCTCTTGGTGTCAGGTCTATCAGGTGCATAATTCGAATTCCAAATTCTTCTTAGATTTGCTATGATTTATTCACTGTAAAAGTTTTTAATTTCCTTGTTAGTTTAAGCGGATGGCTTAGTCTAAACAAAACTTTAATTTCCGATGACGTAAGTTTTTCCACTGGGTTCTCGCAATATTCATGTATAGCTTATTTCTATTGAAAATGAATACCTTAAGTATTGACGTAATCCAAAGCCTTGTCTACAATCTGGATTATGTAAATGGATATGTTTGAAGGATGCCTTGTAGGATGACCGTACCGTTTAGAAACCTTACCAAACATGTCACCGACATCTGGTGCTCCATGAATTAATATGTCCAATTATCTGGTTATGAGAGCCAAATTTGTCACGGAGAGCTCCTTCGTTGTTACTAAGATTTCCCCAAATTCTGTTTGACACAAGGCCAAATAGAAACTGACTTCTTAGTGAGCATTTTTGCTTGTAAGCAAAGGATTATATAAAGCTTCTAGGTGCATTTGTGATAATCGTAGGACTATGAAACCCAATGGTGGCTGTCTCAATGGACTATGAAGTCTGAGAACGGACCAGCATACAGATAAGGCCAGGAAACGGCAACGGTCTTCGAGTTAAAGGTTGTCGCGTTGGTTCGGCTCGTTTTCTGTATTATCCTCTTTGTCACATTCATCATCTCTGCGATTAAGTCTGAAAGCTCATAAAGAATTCACGTCAGTGGTTTGACAGTAATATTAGGACATTCAATATCATAATTAGCTACATTGCAACACCTGTGATCACACGAGCTTCGGGTTGCTCTGACACGCACCAAAAACGCATTTGCAAATACGAATTCATGGCTCGCGTTATTTATTTGCTCCTGGCGCTGGCCTTAGTTAGCATCATGTGGACGCCTTCAAACGCTTGGAGACGTCGTAGAAGAAGGCGACGTAGGTGTTCTGTAACCCACTGTAGGGTCAGTAGCTGGAGTTCATGGAGTTCATGTAGTCGATCTTGCGGTGGGGGAACTTCTTCCCGTTCGCGGAGGAAGACTGTCTCCGAGTCTTGTGGAGGAAGATGTCCTTACTCCCTGTCGAGCTCGAAAAGGTGTAACACAAACTGTTGCCCTGTAAATTGTGTTTATACCTGGAGTTCTTGGAGTAGTTGTGTTGGGTGCGGGATCTCAACGCAGACACGAACACCACGTATTACAAGATACAGTTCGTGCAATGGGAGATCTTGCCCAGCTAAGCAAACACAGTCTTGTGACACCGGAGTGTAAGTACAACTGAAGTAGAATATCTGATCTATATTTCCATCAGTTATTTGCGTGTAGGCCTTAGAGATTGCAGCATCCTAGAAATTTTGCTGTAGTTTTAAATCATGTCACTGTCTTGTTAATTCTCAATGAAACTATCACGAGGATCATTCATCCAGGCGCAAATTAATCACCATTGTTATGCAGTATGTCACTTTATATTTCGAACTCGAGGCAGCGGAAAGATTGTTTTGAGTCGCACTTGACCTTAGGATTATAGCAAAGCTCGCTCGATTCTTGGTTCATCTGAATTCTTATCGAGAGAACACCTGTCCATCAAGGCTTTATTTTTTGGACAATCATCCTTTCGCTCAAATCGTCGTCAAAGTCTAAAACAAGTACGACGATATTGATCTAAGTAAGATAAACGTTTCTTATACGGCTTGATTTTCACCCACCAATTAATCAGGTCACGCGGGAGGCCAAGCATGTATGTGATAAATCGACTGACCCGATGTGTATGCCAAGTTTCAGCAATTAGTACCCTCTGGGCTTAAGTGGTGGTCTTTTATGAATTCTTAGCGCTAAAGTTTCCAGTAGATCTTTGAAAGCGTAATATGAACGCGGTTTTTTGGGGGTTTTTTGTTTTTTATTTTTGTTTTTTATTTTGTTTTTCTTTTAAATCGGTTTAATGTTGACTAGCTGTCTTAAGAGAACTTTCCGAAAATGTTATCGGGATAAAAGCTGCAGGATATTAAAGACGGCCTTTTATTACATTTTATTTGTTAACGTCATCCGTCACCTGATAAATCGGCCAGTGTCGGAAAGTTTTTTTTTGTGTGTGTGTGTGTGGGAAACATTTAAGTTGCGCCGGATTCGATTAATTTAATTTACTGTTATTACAAATCATCGATTGATTTAATTTTTTTGGAAGAGAAACACATCTGAATTCTCTACCCAAGCTCGGAGATGGTTTGCTGTATTTTTTTGCTTTGATCTGATGAACGATAACGGTACGATGTAGCCACAAACCTGTCCGATTAAGAGTTTAGTGTTAAAATTCGTAGACCTAGTTCAATCTTAGACATGATTATTCATTGCTCGACCTCAAACCTTGTCACGCTTACAAGCTGCGAGAGAGTCTAGTCTTCGTCTTTCATAAAGTCATTATTCTGCAGGCAAAATTTTCCCTATTGTCTTCCTTTCTGTGATCCTGGTATGCGCTTATGCACGTCGGGCCTACTTAACAGGCGATTGGATCACGAGATAAATCGCAGGATAAATATTATGTGTTAAAGTAAATACAGCTCAACCCCCAAACTTACATGCGATATAATAACTCGTAAAAAAAATATGAAATTATTAAAAAATATTAACATTATTCATCGATTGATTTAATTTTTTTGGAAGAGAAACACATCTGAATTCTCTACCCATGCTCAGAGATGGTTTGCTGTATTTTTTGCTTTGATCTGATGCACGATAACGGTACGATGTAACCACAAACCTAATAATTTTACAAGATATTGGGGCAAATTCAAATACCTTAACCATACCAGTGTGGTGCATGGGCAAGTCAAGGAAATATTCACATATCTTTCAGCAGAGACTGAGCAATAGGGCCTCGGCACGTACTGCTAATTCGGAAGCGATGTCTTTCAAAAAGGTTTGGGACAGTAATTAATCAGGTCTTAAAGTCGTCTGGTATTATACACTGAGGTCAAATTGAAGATCTCTTCGGATCGCGACATTTTCCTGCTTGTTAGAGGCATGAGGAGGTTTCTTTTGGTCAATTTTGTGCTCTTTGTGGTGTTTTGTTCTTTAATTGGTCCGTCTGGGTCATGGCGAAGAAGGAGAAGGAGAAGACGGTGCTCGCGAAGGGATTGTATTCTGAACAGCTGGGCGGCAAGCGGGAGCTGTTCAAAGAGTTGTGGTAGCGGATATATGGTTCAACGGAGGTCTGTTTATAGATGGTCCAGTTGCGGCGGTACGCGTTGTCCTTCTTACTCCAGTTCTCAACGATATAGAACTGTTTCGTGCAATACGCAATGCTGTCCAGTTAACTGCCAGTGGACGTGGAACTCCTGGAGTCCATGTATCGGTTGCGGCGTATCACAACAAAGTAGAACGATGCGTATTATACGTTCCAACTCGTGTGGGGGTACTGCGTGTCCAAGTTCTAGACGTCAGACGCGAAGTTGTAATACCGGAGTGTAAGTTTTTCATTACTTCTTTTAGCTTTAGAAGATCCCGCGTTGAGCCCTAGAAAGTCGATGCATGATTCTTGTTTATCCTTTCAGATGTCTGAGCAACATCTTGATACGTTCGCCTTAAATAAGGGCAAAGCAAAAGCACTGGAAATATCTTACTTGTCTCAATGAATATCCAACAAGTGGCTAACTGTTTGTTTTTTGTTTCCTAGTTAATGTTAAAGTTCTGACTTTCTGACCGTTCTATTTTCGTTTTGCTTTGGTGCATTTTTACGCGTCAAAAAGTGAACAATATCCATAAAGCGTTTGTTTTTATGTGCTCAGGTGGTGCCATACAAAAGATAAGTTCATCATTTTCCTCGTCTGGCATATCTTCCTCATTCGCTTCTTTAACTGTGTTTCCGTTTCTTTCCCTACTTCACGGGGAACTATGAAGTCAGTTCAACTTAAGTTTCACATTTATGCAATGCTACTGCGACTTATTTTTTTAGAGAGCTAAGTCCCAAATTATTTTCGGTTTTTAGAGCGGGGAAACGCTTTCATATCCCCTCTGACTTAAAGTGGGTAGTGATCAACACACTTTCGACAGTTGTTTCACCTTTTTCGTGATTCAATGGCAGAACGCGATATGTTCCTTCAGTACCCCTAGGAGAATTTGCTTAACAGTTGAAGCTTCTTAGGTTAGCGATCATTTTCTTCATTCTCATGATCTTAATTAATGATTCAGCAGTATTACTGTAAGGAGAAATTAGATTATTGTCATCCTAAGAGTTTGAAGGGTTAAAGCAGATGCAATGGATTATGGATAATATTTTGTTGAGATGGGAGAGATTTTGTCAAGAGGAGCAGGGGCTCCATCTCCAATTCTATCATCTACTGCTTCTTTGCGTGATGTCTTCAACCTGCACGGGTCACTTCCTTTGTTTTCCATCAGTCTGTGACCCTAGGCTTTGCTTTTACTTGTCGTATCCTGTAACAGGCCATAGGAAGTTTCCAAAACAAAGGATGTCAAAAAGAAAAATAGTGTTGATTTGGCTTTCCCCTGAGCAGTAAATCTTGTTTCTTGACGAGATAAATTTAAAGTTCATTTACCCAAAGTATGATATTAACAAAACAAGGTAGCGTAACGCTTGGAAGTAATAGGAATTATGATGTTTGTTTGTTTATTCAAGACTAATTATTCTACTATTACTCGCGCCAAGTTCAGCTACACGCAAAAGACGTTATTTTTACGTAAAAAGAAACTACCATTTTACTTAATGTCCTATCTTTCAAATGATAAGTTTGTAAAATTTCATCGTGAACCTGCCTTGAATAAAAATACACCAATTACACCGGTGCAGGAATATTTCAAGATCTGCATAGACAAGTCTTTAAGAAAACATTCCATCTTGCAGCGGTCAAGAAAATACAGTTAATGGCTGAAAGGCTTGTCTGGAAGTTGCGGCATTCATAAAGGATTAGGAAACATAATACATTGGGTTTAAAATTGCTTTGCCCTTTCCTCTGAGGTTATAATAAAGATTCCTTTAGAGGGCAACACTTTGCCCATAAGAAGTATGAGGAGCTTCCTTTGCCTCGCTTTTCTCATCTTTGCTTCGTTGTGCGCCCTAATTGGTCTGTCTGAGTCGTGGATAAGAAGAAGGAGAGGTAGAAGGGGAGGAGGAAGGAGGCGGTGCACGCGCCAAGATTGTGTTCTCAATAGTTGGGCCACTTTCGGTAGCTGCTCCAAGACATGTGGTGGTGGGTTTTTGGTTCAACAACGGTCTGTTCGAACTTGGGCAAGATGTCGTGGTACAAAGTGTCCTTATTATTACAGTTCTCAACGATATAGAACTGTTTCGTGTAACACACAATGTTGTCCTGTTAACTGCTGGTGGACATGGAACTCCTGGGGTCCATGTCAAGGTTGTGGCGTGTCACAGCAAACCAGGACGATGCGTATTATAACATCCAACTCATGTGGCGGTACTGCGTGCCCAAATTCTAGAAGTCAGACGCGGAGTTGTAATACTGGAGTGTAAGTTATAAAATTTGTTTCCGATGTTTTGGTTTAGTTTGCGATAAAGCTCATACCGATCGACCGTCGAAAAGCCTGACTCGTGAATTGTTCCTTTCCTTTAGTAGTTATTTATATACCTTCACCTGTCTAAACGACTTGTCAATACCTGTATCTATTTGCTCGAACCAACGAAAGACAAACAAAAGCAAAGGCAAAAAACAAGAGAAAGGCTAACGAACCTCAAAAAGGCCGGCAATAATCCAATACTAACATAAAAAAGCATTTAACTGCATTGCAAAGCTCAGCAATGGCCTTGCAATCTATGTAATTTGTAAATTGAGAAGTGTGTTTTACTTTATCAAAGTTGTACCGGAAAGGCGCAAAGAAGTTAACCCGGTTTTACTGCACTATATACAAATCAATATCAATATTTGGTTCAGTTGTGATACAGTTGTGATGAATGGCTGGTTCAAAATGAAAGTCTTGCTGAAATGTTTGTTTCCGTAACTCTGCTGCAGTGTCTTCGCAACATTACCGTTCGGGTGCGATCTATAAAGTGAACTTGTATATCCTCGGGTACACGCGTTGGTCGAGCTCTATCGCGAGCTCTCTACTAACGCAGCTGTCCTTCCACCAGGTTTAATATACTTTTAAGAATTGTTAGATTTTAGTATTCGTTAAAAAATACAGCATTTAGTTACCAAAAGCAGTGAGAAGCAACGAATAGGAAAAAAGGAAAGAGAGCAGGAGGTGTTAAAAATAACTGCTACAGGTCAATTACATTTTCTCTCTCCTTTCAAGTGTGGCTGACCGTCTCTAGAATTTCAAAATGTGAAAAGATCGCTTAAAAGAGTGCATAACTAATCGATGAAAGGCCGCAGAGGACAACGTAGTCTACTCTAGTTAGAGGGCTAAAGAGAAGGAGACTTAGCATTTGTGGTTGCAGGGTCTTTTTCGTGCCCTTCCCCTTCTGCTTGTTTTGTGGCTCATTTCCTTTAGTTTTCTGTTCAGTTTTAGATATTGGAATACGCCACTGCCTGTCCTTTATTGGAAATGATAGAGACTCGAAGAATAGATGATTTCCATTAATCATAAATGTTTGTGTGTTTCCAAGATGTTATGCCAAAATTTAAGTTTTATGTCAATAAAGCGGGTACCGAGCGTGCTCTAAACAAAGAAATCTGAATATTACATTTATTTCTTTCGGCAATTAAAGGGATCTAATGTCGCAGCCAGAGGGCTCTTTATGGGATACCGTAGAATACAAAAGAATGCAAACAAAACATGATATGGTAAAATGCCGCATATAGCAGTATACTTTGTCTTATGAGTAGGGATGAGACTGAAAGTATTATCAGAGTGCATCACTTTACTCTCTTGATTGTTATCTGAAAAGTATGAGAAACTTCGTTCTGGCCGCTCTTGTTGTATCTCTGGTATTGTGCGCCCTTATTAGTTTTTCTGAGTCGTGGTTAACTCGCCGAAATCGGCGGGCAACCCGAAGAAGGCCATGTACTCAACGAGTAGATTGTGTTCTTGGAAACTGGAGGACATACAGAAGTTGTTCAAAGACCTGTGGTACAGGGTACTCAGTTCAGCAAAGGCCAGTCAAAGTTTGGCCGAAATGTGGTGGTAGAAGGTGTCCCTATTATTATAGTTCCCAACGATATAGGACTGTCTCCTGTTATACCCAATGTTGTCCTGTGAACTGTTGGTGGACATGGAACTCCTGGAGTCCATGCCAGGGTTGTGGCGTATCTCAACAAAACAGAACAATGCGTATTAGAAGGAAAAATACATGTGGTGGCAACGCGTGCCCGAGTTCTAAAAGTCAGTCGCGAAGCTGTAATACCGGAATGTGAGTTTGTTTTCAATTTTTACCTTTTATTTCAATTTTTGTAAAGATCCTCAGAAATCTCAGCACTTATCTTTGTTCTCCAACTATTTTTTTTCCTTTTTTACCCGTTTCAAACTGCTTACTCCTTGCATTTACCTACAGAAAAAGTCCCTATTGACGAGGCGATGGGGTATTGATGGGTCTTTTTGCAAGGGAAAAGCGAGCATCTTGAATAGTCATTAGTTTCTCCTTTTATATTTTTTATCATTTGTCCTTTTTACATTCTGTTCCTATTGGCCTCGAAATCCAACATAAAAGCTAAAACTTGCCTCGAGTCAGGCTTGCAACAGCGCATTGCTCGAAAGTTAGAGAATTTATACTCTTATCTCTGAGTAAGTGTTCCTTTTATGTATGAGTGTTCGCTTCGAGTAGATGAATCGTCCGTGTTTGCTTGGGTAATGTATTATTTGTGTGACTAGCTTGACTCATGACAAATGTACTTGAATTTGAAAAGAATCACAGTACAGACTTATTGACAGTTTTCTCAATATGGTCTTACGATTTGGCGAGATATTGCCTGAGAAGCACACATTACGCAACGCGTTTTAATGTAATTTGATTTTCTTGACATAATGTCCATGTGAAGAAGTCGATATGAGATTGCGGCTGGGAACGTGCTTGAATTTCCGGCGCTTATGAAGTTGTGACGCTAGCTATCATGCAACTAAAAGATCTTGAGGGAAAACCCGCCATTGTAAGAGTTTAAGTCAAAACATTAGAGTTTTAAGGCAACTGTAATCTGCGTACTGGCCGTTTTAATCTCACTTAACGCCCCAATTAACGCCAGTTACGTAGGCGAAAGCAACAATTATGCATCGTCATTAAGTGAGTGAAGCAATAACAAAACAGGCAAGTAACCTTTAGGAACAAGCTCCTGCTTGTCGTGTTAATTGAGAGCCGGTGTCACAGGTCAATCGACTCACACGAAATTAATCATATATACAAAGCATATGACATTCCTCATGCTGACAGCATTTAATTTATAATTGATAATTTCAAGTGTTCTCGTGCCATGAATCACTCTCAGTGACTAGAATTGACCTTATTGAGCATTAAAACACTTTTAGCGCCTAAACGGAAAGTTGATACAAGTTATTGCAGATATTTAGACTCAGCCATCATTTTGAGAGTATTGTATCACGTTGTTGACGACCGGACGTTTGCTTGATTTTCATCTCAAATTTGTCGCGCCGAACTGGTGCTTGTTTTGACATGTGTTACGTAAATAAACAAAGTGGCTTCCACACAAATCTTAATCACTAAATAACGCCGTCCTTGCTCTTTCTGCCTTTTTCAAAAAAACATGTCTATCTTCTGACGAAACAACACTGCAGTAAAATAGATCAATTCTTGGTCAACAACACTAGGTATTCGTATTGTTGATCAGATAATGAATAGATAATTTTTTTTTTAAAAGAAAACGTTTATTTCGCCAATTTCTTTTACTTTTGTTTCTCGGCTGGAAGAAAAACTAGGTTGAAAATCTCAGACTAAAATCTTTACCATTTGTACAGGATTCGGAAGAAAAGCATTATGTAATAATATTGTTCCTTATCGCTAGCAGATTAGCATGTTAGTTTGCGGTTCTAAAAAAGAAAACTTCTGACTCGATTTGATGTGAATAGCAGAGTCTGAATTGGATAGTAGTTGCGATAATAAACAAAGTTTAAAATGACAGGTAGCTAATCTTACGTTGTGTAGATGTGTTTTAAAAACCGGATTACCGGTAAGTTGTCAAATATAAATTTCAGGTAACACAAGCATAATTATTGTTTTAAGAAGAATATTAGCTGATACAACCGCCTCATTACACTTACGCCTAAGATTTATATCCATTCATAATGCCTTCAACCGCTTAAAAATGATTTTTTTACTGCACAATGATATACATGCAAGCACGTTGACACAAGTTCCAGCGGAAGTTTTTATAACCGGAGTTTTGACCTTTTTCCAGATCCTCATGACGTTAGATCTTAACACGTAAAATACACGCACGTTGCAAGAAGCTTAAATGATCCATCGTAGGTATATTTCTCGGAGTAAATTGTACATGGGTCTGTACATAAATCATGAAAGCTTTGCTTCTTTAATTTGCGACCGATTTTTGGATTGCTATATTAATGCTACGTGTCTTTTGGAGCCGTGTTTCCGGGTCTTTGCCTATACATACACACTGACACCGATCGTGTGCCCCGACTTTGTGAAAACCGTTCTTAAAATGTTTGTAACGGTATATTTGTCTTTGTTATGAATGACATGACATAAATATTGCGTTACCGGAATGTTATTAAAAGCGCATTGCTGATTTTATGCCTTGTTTCTTTTTGAACAAAGGCACAACTTTTAATACTCCTTAAGTTGACATATTACCGTTTTAATGAGACTCGATTTTAATTTGTGACCCTTAAAATTGAAGTTACTAGTAATATGAAATAAAAGATAGAAAGATACGAAAGCGAAAAATCAAAGAATTAAAGGTAAATTAAAGGTCAGGTATTTATAGCGAATGCAAACGACGATATATGTGAGTTTTACCTTTTTTGAGTTACAAACTAATGCTCCTCTAGAGCTTATTAGCTTTGCCGTGATTTTATTTTTTGAAAACGCATATTAATTTTAGAATTAGTATTGACCCTGTTAAGCATCAAAACACTTTTAGCGCCTAAACGGAAAGTTGACACCGTTATTGCCATCATTCTGAAAGTATTGTGTCACGTGGCTGACGACTTTTGTTTGACTTTCATCTAAAACTTGTCGCGCGGCGCCGAACTAGTGGTTGTTTTGACATGTGTTACGTAAATATAACAAAGTAGCGTCTTAGAAAATCTTGATCACCAAATAACGTTTCTACCTTTAGGAAAAAACATGTCTATCTTATGACGAAACATCCCTGCAGTAGAACAGATCCGTTCTTGGTCAACAAAACACGCTATTTGTATTGTTTATTAGATACTTGAAACGCTTTTTGACGCCCCTGCGTTAATTTGCGATTAAAATCGTACCATAAAATCACTTGAAATTCTACGCCAACTTTAATTGTCACAAACTTCTCGCTTCACATTGAAAGATCGTATTTCAAGCACTACTTCGCTATTCCGGTGTTTAGCCCGCTTACTACGCGCTTAATTAAATCATCCGGCTATGAAGGTCGCAACGATTTTTGTAGCACTGGCTTGTGTGAGCTGCTTCCTCTCCACCGTGGAGTCTTGGCGTCGCAGACGGAGACGTCGATGCTATCGTAATTGCACGCCTGGTAACTGGGGAAGATGGAGCACCTGTACAAGATCATGCGCCAGGGGGACACAAGTTCGCACAAGGGGGATTTCTGTGGCGGCTGCTTGCGGTGGTTCATGCAACTACAAGCTGAGTGAGACCAGATACTGCAACACACAATGTTGTCGCGTCAATTGTGCCTGGAGCTGGAACTCGTGGAGTCCTTGTAATGGCTGCGGCATGTCGACGAAAACACGTACTATGAGTATAACTCGATATCCGAGCTGCAGGGGAACGTCTTGCCCCAGTCAGAGAAGTCAAACCATAAGTTGCAATACTGGAATGTGAGTTATTTTGAAAAAGTTATATTTGAAAACTTTTCAGTTTCGTAGGCGTGCATTTGGTATTAAAGTACACAGCCTGCTAGAAGTCCCCTGTTGTTTTGGGAACATAAACCTCCTGTCTGTGTCGTCAATTCTTATGTTTCTTATTGTGGAAAACGGTACGTGTTCTCTTTCTTTGACGTTTTTTGTTTCCTTAAACAATTTCCAAATTCTGTTTCTCGAGTTTAAACCAAATGAATAGGTAAAATCTGCCTTGTACGATTACAGAGTTTATGATCCATTATTAATAATTAATTCTAAGTAGCGTTATAGTATATTTTTGTTGACGCATGGCGGAAAATGTAATTCTGCCTTTCAGTAAAACGAGAAATTTAACGAGGTTCGTGGCACACTAGCCATTAGCACACAAATTTCTTGTTGCGTGAAAATTCGAGATTTGTTACTGTTATATTTTATGTGCCCTGACATGATCTTGCTGCCCTCTCTTAGTGCAGAAAAAAAAACAGACGGAACATGATGTAACCTTTGTGGTTATGGTTATCTATTGCCGTGTCACGTCTGACTCTGTGCGTATGTTTTTTTTCTTGTTGTCCTTGCAAAACGCGATGAGATTATATATTAATTGAGACATGAGTTGGCGTTTAACATCTTTTTTTTTTTTATCGCTGTAGATCTTCGATAATCCCGATGGAAATGATTAAACTGAAGTTTTAATAAAAGAACTTAATTTAGATCTGTACGCTATTAGAGTTAGATATGCTTAGGTCGCAGAGATTATTGACTAATTAACTTCTTTTGTTTGCGTTCTTTGGTATAAACTTCTAATTTTTCTCTAACTTTGCCGCCTACCACACGTTCCTTTCTGAGTAAGGAGGGACAGTAACTAGTTTACATTCTTTGAGCCTCAAATCTTACTAGAAAGCTTAATAAAGCCCTTTCTGTTTACTTATGGTACCTGGCACTGGCGCGCACCAATTTCACTCGCATAATTCATCTGGTTATGTGTTGCGCAACGCAAATCGAGATCTTCTCGAAGCAGAAAGAATTGGCCTCGAGTTTTCTCACGAGAGATCCGAACGTGGTACTTTTTCTTATAACCGTGACTCGGTGGATGATTCGTTACGTGATTTTCTGGAGAAATGGCTCGCAAATTGATGGAGTCGGATATTTGTACATATTATTATTTACTATTTTAAGATTGAAACGGAGCCTTCCAAGACAAGTGAAAAACTTGTCAGGAGAAAAGGAAAAAACTATAAGCCCAGTATACTGAGAGCAAGATTTTGTGTCTTTCCGTGCTCAGAAGAGTATGAGAATGACTGAATATATAATCACATGTCTTTATGTGTTTACCTTTCAGTTTATTACGGGTATCAAAACTCAGAATGGCATATTTTCGCAACCATTGCAAAATCTTCGAGCGAAAAAATTTCGCAAAAGTAATTCGAAGATTATTGCATTTGATTTATTTTAAACGGTTTCAAGAGTTTTTTTTTTTTTTCAGAAATAAATTATGTTAAAAAAGGATTAACTTTGTCCTCAACAAGACCGTTAATTCAAATTTTTATCCAAAACTTTTAAGAAGTAAAACTGTTGCTCAAGGTCTAAGCAGTAGGTGAGAATTTATCGGCGCAAATCTGCCTTGGCTCTAGTCAGGCTTAATTCATGAACGGGTTAATCTGAGCAACTAAGTTTCCAAACTGTTCCCCGTTACATCGAACCAACTTTATCGATGTATGGGGAACATCTGAGAATTAGTGAACAGAACAGACTAATCAGGAGACTAAGCGGATAGAAGCAAATTTAATTTAAGAAAATAAATATGAGCTCAACGTGATCTTTTGTTTCGAAACAGATGCTGTCCAGTTAATTGCGTAACTGACAATTGGTCAAGTTGGTCAGGCTGCAGTGCTGCGTGTGAACAGAACGGCAAACGGGTTCGAACACGTTCAGTCATAACACAGTCTAGCTGCAATGGTACTCCTTGCGGAACCCTCCGAGAATCGAAGTCATGTAGAGGACCCTGTTGTCCAAGAGACTGTCAGGTTAGTGTCCAAGGTATTTTGTATAGATAACCGATCCGCTTGTCGTAGGGTTAAGCACTTAGTCTAATGCTTAATGCACTGCTAGTTTCCTATATATATTATATATATTATATATTATTGAAAAAAAGCTCAAATATAGAGTTAACACAACGTTTAATGGGAACATTTTCATCCTTGTGCGCCTGCGGAACGTAAAAAGTCAAATAACTAATATACAAATTTGATCATGAAGCCTCTCTGATCTTCCAAAAATAGGTAAATGCTGAAATGATCTTTGAAAAAAGCCACTCAGAACCTCTTTTGGAGTGAGTTTTCCCCAATTTGTTGTTCAATTATGCTGGTAACGAAATTAGCAGCTAGCCGTACAAGATATTTACGTATAAAGTTTCTTTTCAGTTATTATTATAATGTTGCTGATACTTTCACGAAATTGTTTATGAAAAAGTCAACTACTTTGTCGAAATTGCTTATGAGCATGCTATCTGATTTTATGTCATCAGGTCACTAACTGGTCTAGTTGGGGGAAGTGTATAGCTCCGAAGGGAAGGTGCTCTGTCAACAGTGGAACAGAGACAAGATCTCGTAACGTCACTTCACACCCAAGCTGTGGTGGAAAACCCTGCCCATCCTTAAGCCAGTCAAAAAGATGCACACCTGTTCCCATTCCCTGCAAGGTAGGCGTTGGTTTGTTGATGTATCCTTGTTTTTGTGTGTGTGTTATTTCTCCGTTCTTGTCTTCGTTTTGTTCTGTTTTGTTTTGTTTTGTTTTATTTTGTTTTACTCGAATCCTTTTCCGTCTTGGATTTAATATTTACTACATAGGTTTACTTGTTTTACTATATCATCTTAGTGACATTAGACTCATTTTTTGTTATCATAAATTCTGTTTTTGATCAAAACTTCTTATTGCCACTTACTGCACCTTAAGATGAACTCATGGAGTTCATGGAGCCCTTGTACCCCACTGAATGGCAAATGTGGGCCAGGTACTCAGTACCAGACACGTAGTGTGGCGACTCAGCCTTATTGCAGCGCGGCGTGTCCGGCAAGCAGGCAAACACGTTCGTGCAAGCACAGTTGTTGTCCTGTTGATTGCGTGGTGTCGACGTGGACTGCATGGAGTGCTTGTTCAACAACATGCGGCACAGGTAGGTGGCACGCGTTCATATCACTGAACTTGAAACACTTGAAATGAAATAAACGCTTTGATCTGAGGATGAAGTAAAGAAAATGCAAAGTAAAGAGCTATCTTCGCTGCAATTAAAGAAGAGAACCCTGAAAGAATTCAGGCTTCGACTGAGTATCATGTTGGGATCAGAGCAGTTTTAAGAAGATTTTCTTTCAAGTGGCTTCGTGGCTCAGTTGGAAGAAGCGCCTAGCGAGGATCTGGGAGGCACGTCTTTTAGTCCTGTCTACGCCTGAATTTTTTTGAGGTTTCTTTCTGCAATTGCTTTTACTGCAACTTACCTGTGAAGCTTTTAGCTTTTATTAGTTTAATTGATTTGATTAGAACTTGAAACGTTAGTTACCCAAGGGCGTCATCTCGAAGGGAATATTGCTCTTACTGTTAACTCATAACATCGTTGCTTCATTAAGAGGATAATTAACATTGGCGTAAAAAGGGTAAACGGTAAACATTTTTCATTAGCTTATTATTATTTTTTTTTTTTTAAGGTTCAAGGACTAGAACACGAAACATAAATACCCAGCCTTCTTGTGGTGGCAAATCTTGCCCAGCACAGAAAGAAACAAAATCTTGCTCTCAGTACAACAACCGTGACTGTGTAATGTCCCTTTGGACAGCCTGGTCACTCTGCAGCAATGGCTGTGGTAGCGGTACGTCCACTCGAACACGCACTATCAAAACGACAGCGTTATGCCGCGGAAAAGCATGCGGAGCAAGAACAGAAAGTAAGCGGTGCACTGACTTCCGAGACAACAGGGACTGTGTGGTAAGTAACCCTACCGTTGCCATGTTTTGTAAGAGTTGAATTAGAATTACTGCAGAATATGTCCATAACATTGACAATGCACTTAATCTGCAAGGTAGGAAGTATCTCATTGGTGAGTCTACGTTACTTGGTCAATAGAGGTAGAGAACTGTAATTTGGTATTATCAACTGAGTCGATAACGTAAATTGGCCACCGTTAAGTGTTTCCAAGCTGACGTTTGGAGCGTTAGCCCTTCGTCAGAGCGAATGACGAAGGGCTAACGCTCGAAACTTCAGCTTGGAAACTCTATACGGTGACCAATTACATCTCAACTCAGTTGATATTGCCCAATTACACTGTTATTTTTCCCACCGACGCAGCACCACAGTCTCGTTAGAAACCCCCTTTATTCATTAGAGATAGGTAGTTCGCCGGGCACGTCGATAAACATTTCTTCCGCTCTTTCCGTTACCTCTCTCCCTTCACACCCTACACTGCTTGACAAATTAAAAAAACAATTAATTTCTGCAAACTTCACGCAGACTTCACGCAGAAATACTGTGTTTTCTTCAAGTTGCCAGATAGTGAGCTCGGCGTCCGCTTTACAGGCTGTATGCAGGACTGACTCATTCTCTACGAGAATGTATCTTCCGCTAAATTTCTCACGTTCTCTTCGTGGAGTTTGACATTACTCGTTCAGTAGTATTTTGCTTTTGTGTTTCAGGTGAACTCTTGGGGTTCGTGGGGAGCCTGTAGTGAAAAGTGTGCTGTTGGATCTAAACAAAGGACGAGGACTATAAAGATTACTAAAAGGTGTCAAGGTCGAGATTGCCCGGCTCTACAGGTACGTTTCTCGAGGAAAGAAAGACTGTCTCTCATCTTCCAGTGAGGGAAAGTATAATTGACTGATGTGAAATACTCTTGCAGCATGTTGACATCACATAAGGCCGAACAACGGCATTGCTTTTGCAGAAAAATGAATGCTTGCTTTTCGAACTAGTTATGCAGTTGTATGTACCTTTTCAGCGGGTTCACGCGATTAGCCTAACCCTGCGGATTTGCGGTCTTTCCTTAGATTTGTTTGGGTTTTTTCGTTTGTTTGTTTATATGATTGATTTTATTCTACTGTGCGAAAATAATGGACCCAAATCGTAGACGGGCCTTTTGCTGCTACTGTCGTTTCTCTCCGCTGCCAAGCTCAACCTCTTAAATATTTAGTAATCCATTCTTCATTGCCTGTCTTTCCCAAGGTTCGTTTAGACATCTAAATGGTCAGTAATTACTCATTTGCGATGTCGTCTCACTTCGCTTTTTCGCAGAATACTACTCAGTGTGGAACCCCAAACAATGGTTGCCTACACAAGTGCAGCAATGGTGTATGTTCATGCAACAATGGTTACTATCTGGCCACGGATAGGAAGAACTGTATCGCTAAAGATTGCAAGATGCCAAAACCGTCATACTGTGCCCCAGGTAAATTCATAGCACTAAGTCAAACCCCGTTCTACAAAACAAGGTCTTAGGTATAAGCGTGAACATAACGAAGGAATTGACGGCAAATCAACGAATTAGAACAGTGGGTTAAAATATTAAATAAAAGCTGAATCTTCTTCCACACTGGGACCCCCGTCTAGGACGAATTGAGACATAAATTCGCAGTTGGTGGTCGTAAAGGATGAAAAAATATTGGTTACCATGGAGATTGTAGTCGAGGAGAGTTTGGGTTCGTGTCAGCTTTCTCGTTCCTATTTAGCTGCCATGCAAAACCCAATACTAAAAATCATTTTGTCATATATTGGAAATCGCACATCAAACTAAATAGGGCAGTAAAATTAATTCTACCAGAGATAGGTTTGGAAAATAATTTTCAACAATCCTCTTTGAAACTTATCACAAGGTGCCTAGGCAGTATTTATCATTGATATTGTTGATTAGATCTGCGCAAAAATGCTGGGGGGGCATTGTTAATTAATAATGTGTGAATCTTACTCTTCCCGATCATCTGAGTGAATTTTTTTTCAACTATCGACCTATTCAAATAGAAAACAAAACAAACAAAATAATGCAAAAGTCTCTTTTCGGTGTTGATTTTCTTTTGTAGAGTTGCTTTGAACTCTTACTGAGAAATTCACTAACTTCTTGTCATAGTTGACGATAACAATTGCAAAAGATGTATTCTTCTCCCAAGTTTGTCGTGCTGTTAATTCCATTTTTTTTAATTCAATTTTTTTTGATAGGACCTCTGTCCTTCAATTAAAGCAGGATTTTTTCTCCAGCTTATAAAGAAAGTTCGTGCTTCATGAATGCAACTTATAATTTTTATCGTGCAGGTTTATAGATAGGATAAGAAAGTGTTTTCTTGATGAAGTGTTGACGAAAAGAAGAGGCTCAAACTCTCGGTTAAATTAGAATATTTTAAGGGAAGGTTTCAGATATTCGAATTGTTTTCAAAGGTTTCAGAATTTTTACGCAAAACAAAGGTGGCCCAAACTTGATTAGTAATTAAACAATGCCGCGTCAATAATCTTAGTAAAAAATCTCTGAGTTAAGTGTTGTCTTTAATCTTTTCACTTTCAAGGCCTGATTCGCAATTCTCTCCTTCCGCTGCCATGTATTTCCTTGTAAATTAGTTAAGCGAATTTGGTGTTACATCAAGATGACATTAAGCTCAAACGTTTGTCTGATCTCGTTTGTAAATACAATGGTATTGTATGAAGAAATTGTGCTGGATGTTGCTCACTTCAAGGTTTTCCCTCATAGGTACAGCTCTCGGTAGCACTTGCAAGCATGCCCTTGTCACGTGCCCGGGAAACAAGACCACTTATCCTGTCACATGCTCGCTAGGATGTCCTAAAGATTATTCTATAAAAGGAGCCTCTAAAGTCACGTGTCAGACATCAGGGCAATGGTCAACATATGCTACGTCTTATTGCCGACGTAATAATGATCCACCTTCTCAGGTCAGTGATGATGCTAAAATTGAAAGAAAGCGTGGTTTAGAATTAGTAAGAAGGGGGTGACAAGCTATTGACCAGCGGATCGGGTCAATAGGTTGGATGCTACCCTCTTAGTCTTAGTGATAGGTCATATACTAGGGACTTGGTGGCCTTATGCTTAGCAAGCTGAATTCTGGGTGACGAGGTCAATTTTCGAGCCCTGGTCAAGGTCATGGCGTTGTGGTCTTAGGTAAGACACATCACTCTCGAAGTGCTTCTCTCTAACCGGTATTATATATTGGTACAGGTAAACTGTCATTGAAGCATGATGAAATACCTCAAGGAGTAGTAGCAACGCTGTTATGTGTTTAAAAGCTGTTTCATAGTGATGTTACAAAAAGGCAACAAAACCACCTCTAACGTATTTAACCCTCTACAGCCTGACATCAGTATACATTGTCTCCATAACATTCTCCATACATTTGCTATGGTGCTGACAAAGAGAATTTGTTTAACAATCAAGAACTTCTGTAGTTGATGATCGTTTCCTTTATTCTCATGACCTCAATGTTTGCTTTAAGGGTGATGCTGATAGGGGAAAATATTTATTAATCACTCGTAGGGATTAAAGGGTTAATGGACTCGTGTGCCAAAACACCCGATTTAGCATAGCAACCATCAGTGGTCTCTCTCGGTTTGGTCACAGTTGCAAAGCATTTCGCAATACCAATAGAAAATAGTACTCTTGATCACAAATTGATACAAGTGACTCTTTTTGCCAAATCTCTAACTCCATTGTAAATTTGTGCAATGAGTAAGATACAGCAGATGCGGGATTTGAGACTTATAGGAGAAGGGAGGGGGACGAAAATGGTGCAAAGATCATTTTTGTCACGTGGCTAGATGGAGTTCGCCACATTTGTCAGCTATTCAAATCCACTTTTTCGTCCAGTTTGAATAATAGTAATGTCATTTTGATGGGAAGTTTGTGCGGCTTTTCTAGATTGTTCTTTCGGGATCTGCAACCATACAAGAGAACAAACCACGTGGAACAAAACTTGGAACGTTTTCTTCTGTGGATTCTAACAATAAAGACCAGCATACCTACAGCATTGTTAGTGGAGGGAGAGGAAAATTTGAGCTGCGTGGAGCGGATCTTTACACATTGGTGGTGTTTGATTACGAATCGTTACCGAACCAGTAAGGGTGTATCTTAAATTAAGATAGGTGCAATTTGAGAGATTATTTTGCGAGAACTATGATGGACCCTACAGCTGTTTACGCTAACTTGATCTCGAGTCTGCCTTGCTGGGTGAGAAATGACGCGCTGGCAGATATGTTGAATGTCACAGCGTTGGGGGCGTGATGTTTCCTGACTAATTTTAGGAAGAACGACAATATTTAAAGGCTCCGTTTTTTTCTTTTATTCCTGCAGGTTCACTCTTACAATAAGAAGTACAGACAATGGAAGTCCACCGATGAAGCTCGATAAAATATTTAAAATTACTGTAGCTGATGTGAACGAGAAACCGACGGCCATTCAGGTAAAGACGGTCTACAAAAAATTATTAACCTTTTTAAACCCTGACATCAGTATGCATATTCTCCATACTATTCTTTATACATTTCCTATGATACTGACAAAGAGAATTTGTTTAACAATCAAGAGCGTCTTTAGTTGGTGACCATTTCCTTTATTCTCATGACCTCAAGGTTTGTTTTAGGGGTAAAACTAATAGGAGTAAATGTTAGTAATCACTCTTAGGGGTTAAGGAATTTACATTTGGCATTGTTGGTTATATGCCTCTAAAATACATAGTTGGGTGTAGAATCACTTGGACAATCATGATGAGGTAAATGACAGGTTTAAACGGCAGGCTGCATGCCCACCAAGGCGATAGTAGTGGTAACATTAAGTCTTTGTCGGCCTTATTAGGCCTGGTTAGCCTAGTGTAGCCAAGTCGTAAAGGAGAGAATATTCCTCAAGGATAATTTAAAAGTATCTTAAAGTCTCACAATATGCGTCACCTATGATATGACAGTCGGTTTCTTTGTTGTTGTAACCTCTTCAATAAAGCAAAGCCTGGTGTACAACCGTTTGTATGAAAAAAAAAAAAAGGTTAAAGCTCCCTAATGATCACATGAGAGGAAAGGCGCCGAGATTTCTTTAAAAAAGTGGCTGGAAGTTTAAATACCGGCCGTTTTTCCCTTACTTAAACTCTATTTAAGACACCACATTTCCAAGTCTCCTCTGAGGGCCTTTCAGAATCATCACGTTTGAAGTAGAAAAATTATCATTTTATAAACGCAATAACTTTGTCTGCTCTTCAGTTGTCAGGCAACACCGTGGATGAGAATAGTGACGTAGACACAATATTAGGCGTGCTCAGTACCACTGACCTTGATAACGGGCAGACATACAGTTACAGTTTGTTGGACAGTGCTGGAGGAAGGTTTAAAATTCAAGGGAACTTCGTGAAGGTAAGCTACCTGTATCAATAGACTATTTTGGAAAATGTTGGTGAATTTTTCTAGCTGCCCAATGTAACTGGTTCAACTATCTACTGCTATTGCTTACTCTACTTCAACTTCCGATGGTGGAAGGTGTCAAATTTAATTGCTCCGAGTTAACCGCGTTCTGTTAGGGAATAAGTCATAACGAAGCTTGAAGCCCCATTAGGGGTAAGGAGCATACGGGATATTTGGGAGAAAAAACGTGAGGAGAAAACATAACCGGAAACGGGATATTTAAAACACAGATTCTAAAATATCGAAGTGGAATTATAGGCGTACAAAACATAGGAGGTATGGGATATGGGATATTTGTGCCTAACTTTATTGGGTCTTTGAAACGTTTCCATAGAGTGCAAATGGACCATTAAAAAAGTTTAAGAGGACTTAGATCTAAACAAGACTTCAATAAAGAAGACTTACCAACGTCTTAGTAATAAAGGGTAACAGCGCTTGTTGCTCATCTGATTCATTGCAGCAGTGGCTGCTTTACGCACTGGAACTGTTCTCAACTACATTTAATTCGTTTTACGATTGTTAACCTGCTGAGCGCATAGCTTTTGCCATCGTTCGAGAATAAATGTTAATGATCGATTACGTTATAGGTTGGAAAGTCCAACAAGAACTGCATGCTGAACGGAGGGTCCCAATGTTTCTTAAACTACGAGAGCGTATCCTCCTACTCCATAGTTGTCCGTAGTGTCGACAGCGGCTCTCCATCACTATCGATCAATGCTTCATTTAACATCAGCGTAAATGACGTCAACGATCAACCACGAGGTTTGCAGTTGTCCAATTACAAAGTCAGTGAAAATGCATCTATAAATACCATAGTGGGCAATCTTTCCGCCACCGATGAAGACGCAGGTCAAAAACTCAGTTTCTCCTTGGTTGATGACGACAATGGTAGATTTGGTTTGGACAACAACGGTGGTATCTACAAAGCTAAATCTACTGATTATGAGACAAGCAAAGTGCACTATATCGTGGTGAACGTCACTGACAATGGACAGCCACCGAAAGCGGTGAGTCAATTATGATTTGACAAAAGCCACACTCCGTGCATTATTTTTTATCATCAAAACTGCGCAAAATTCTTGAACGCGGTTGGCTATTGGCAACACCATTTATGCTTGCAATTTGACGGTATAACGGGATATCAACCACGACAATCTTATTTTTTTCTTTTTTCTTTTTTCTTCACAAGTTTGATAAATAAGTTTTATCTCATAAGCATTCTGTCTCTTAAATTTTGTCTTGGTACTGGTAAATTAGTTACGTGGCTTATAGCCGTCCAATTCTGTATGTAGTTATACTCGTTCTTAACAAAGAAGACTCCTGCTACGCGGTCGTTCCATTTTGTGGATCACTCGTATGATCACTGACACAATCATACTCTATACCATTATCAGTTATGATGTTACCTTCGAAATGTTTCTTGATTTGGTCAAGTGCAAATTTAATTTGACTTAAGCTGAATTGTGGAAACGAAAAAAATATTATAAAATAGGTGCTGGATCAGGGTCAGGAAGACGCAACAGACTCTCAAGAACTGATTTTTAAATTTCCCCTTTAGCTGTTAGACATTTACTTCTAAATAATTTCCATTTGGCACATCTATGGTGAAAGGTCACGTTCCACTACACTTTTATAACTTGAAATTTGTCCAATTTGAATCGACTCTCTTGATATGGCAAATGTTACATTTTTATTTGTGTTTTTTTCATCTATTACTACCTCTAAGTTGAGAAGTTATTTACTTGTTCAAAGCCTTTGTTCGAAACAACCCTTGCCAACAGTCAATAACTAAAAATGTGAGTAATTTTTTCCTCTCTCCTTCTTTTTTGCGCAGATGACCAGGAATTTTTCCATTATTGTATTAGACGTCAACGAAGCCCCAGTCTCCATCGAGCTTACTCGAACCAGCGTATTTGAGAATGCGAGGCTTGGTACGGTCGTGGGCTCTCTGTCAGCAAAAGATAATGACGCTGTGCAATTCCTGACTTTTAAGCTGGATGAAGATTCCGCTGGAAAATTTTCCCTTCAATCAAACGTGACTTGTCAAAATTCTTCCTTAGGTGGGACAGTATGTGCTACAAATTTATTGGTCAACGGTGATATAAACTATGAAGATGCGTCGAGCTTGGACATCATCGTGCGCGTAACGGACGAAAAAGGGCTTTTTCACACCGAAATGTTTAATGTAACAGTGATTAACGAGAATGACCCACCCACGAATGTAACACTGGATGGCAGTGCTTCAGCTTCTGTGGCGGAGAATAGCATAAACGTTCAAATTGACACTCTACTGACAGACGACGAGGATCAGGGGCAGAGATTTACGTATGTGTTATCAAGAAATCCTGGCGGGAACTTTGAAATTAGAGGTGATAAACTTTTTGCTTCTAGAAACGCTACGCTGGACTTCGAGTCATCTCCAAGCTACCAGATAAAAGTGATATCAACTGACAACGGAAGTCCACCAAAATCCATTGAGGTAACTTTAGTAGTAAACCTTCAAGATGTCAACGAAAAACCAACTGATATACAATTGTCCAACAACAGCGTCCAAGAAAATCGACTTGCTGGAGCGGTGATTGGTCAGTTGTCTGTCAGGGATCCTGACAGACAGCAAAGTCACGTGTGTAGCATCACTGATTCAGCCAATGGAAAGGTAGGAATAAACAATAACAAGATAACCGTCGGTAGTGCTGGCATCGATTACGAAGAAGCAAGCTCTTTCAACTTGACAGTTCTCTGTCGCGATCCAGGTGGCCTGACGGTGGAAAAGTCGTTTGTCATTCTTGTTCAAGACATTAATGAAGCGCCCACTAACATTGCACTGTCAAACGATAAAGTCCAGGAAAATAAAAAAGGTGGCATTACTGTGGCACAGCTCAATGTCACCGATCCAGACAACGTCAAGGCACAAGTGCAAAGTGTTTCTTTCTCAATTTTGTCCTCGAATCCTAACCTACCGTTTCAAATTCAAAACGACGCTCTTGTTACCACTCGAGGGCTCAACTTTGAAAACACTGCCCAGTGGACCTTCAGAATAAAAGCAACGGATGATGGAAGACCTGCCTTATCCCGAACACAAACCGTAACCATCCAGGTTATCGACGTAAATGATGCTCCCGATGGATTAACGGTGAGAAAATTTGTTTCCTTGCGAACGAGAAATTTTTCCCGCGCTATATTATAAATCACCTGTTACTTGCATTTTGGCAATATGCCAATCCATCACTCTTTAATTATTCGCCCTCTGGAATCAGGACCGACAGATCCGAGTTAGTGTTCATAACAAAGTCATTATTCTTTGGACTTGGGTAACAAACTTCACCCACTGACACACAATGCCTCCTATTACTGCCAAGAAAAAGGGGAACTTTACGAATTTTTAGGGATACCTGACAGAAGAGTGGCAGGTATAAACGTCAATTTGTTTGAGAAATTTTTCTTTCCACAAGGTACACAAATAGCGATTCTGAAGGTGAGATAGATTATCTTATTTAGGGTAAGCCTTTTCTGCGTGCAAGAAACCACCAATCTTGGTAAAAGATTGTAAATGGACTGCAGTTAAAGATATTAGCCGTTTTCACAATATGTCTTCCTTTATCCTCATAGCTTTCTAGCTCCTCTGTAAACGAAAACAGCGACAGTGACACACTAGTGGGGACATTAACAGCCCTTGACCAAGACACGTCACAGAATCACACATTTCAGTTATTGGACAGTGCCTCGGGAAGATTTAATGTCGATGGTAACCAAATAAAGGTAAGCTTTGTCTACACTTTCTGAAATTGCTCAAAGCTAATTTTTTAAAATGTGTTTTTGTTTAAAATACAAGAATTGTGAAGAAACTTGATTTCTTGATGGCGAATGAAAGTTTTACTAGTTTTTTAAATTTGGAAATTCTGGAGAATGTAAAATAAAAATCGTTTAATAACCTGGTGAACTGTTTGACAGAAAGCTGCATTTCATGTAGAGTGTTGTTAAAATGTTTAACAGAATCTCCAGAAAAGCTTCTGCCCCAACTTGTCTTTTTGCTATGATGTAGGTATGCACTGCAACAAAAACAGAATGAAATTTATTGGAATTATTTACATTAAAGATTTTATGAACCCTGAACTTATGTTCGATTTTAAGGTGGCTGTTCGCAACACACAATGTCTGAACTACGGAGGTTCTTCTTGTCTTTTGAACTACGAGGTACAAAAACGTTACGTGATCAGAGTGAAAACAACAGACGATGGATCACCACCATTATCTTTTGAGAAGGACTTTGGTATCGATATTCGTGATGTCAATGACAAGCCACGTGACCTACAGCTGTCCAGTAATAAAGTAAAGGAGGACGCCAAGAAAAACACTTTGATTGGCCGGTGGGTTCACCTTTGTTTTGCGTTTCTTAACCCACTTTTTTATTTTATTTTCTTCTTCGCTTCACTTTTTCACGCATTTTTTCTGCCTGAATAGAAAAACAATTTTGCCTTTTTTCCGCTCCTTTGTTTTCAACTTCCGATAACTCGAACTCCCGATAAATCGAACCTTTTTCGATTTTTCTTAGGGGTTCGAGTCGTCGGGACCCGACTATAATTCTAACCGAATTGTCTTTTGTATTAGGAAAATAGGAAAAATCTTTAAATCCTACTATTTTCTCTTGATTGCACAAACGGCTTGAAGTATCAAAAAAAGAAAAAAGTTCAGCTTAGCGTATACCGCTTTTCACACATCTCATGCTTATCCTCTCTGAAAGCTAATTGTTTTTTTTGCTTTATATCATATCGACAGTTTTTCATCGCGCGACGAAGATGCAAATCAAACGCTGACTTATTCACTCAAGAATGATGATAGTGGTCGCTTCAAGGTTGACTCCCTGGGAAACCTATACAAAGCAAACGACACTGATTATGAGACTCAGACTAAACACACCATAACTGCAGTTGTAACAGACAGCGGAAATCCGTCCTTGAAGGTAATTTACTTGATTTGTAGGACTCAAGTGATTATAGGGCACAAGTCCCCGATTTTCGGGATTTAAAAACTACTAACATTGCCTAATTTCAATTGCCAAAGAAAGTGGCTTGACCCTTAAAATACGTCAGACAACTTGTATAATTTTAACTAAAGTTGGTAAGAACTTGGCTACAGCAGATGCTGCATCGGCTAGTAACGATGAGTGTTTCAGTGACAACACAATAAAAAAGAATAAACGATTCATTTTGACCATACTTTGAAAGAATATCCTGTCTTTGCTTTTAGACTTCGAATAGACTCAGAAAAATTGTTCTCAGAAAAGCGCCTGACAAGAGGCGCAATATTCTCCTAACATTTTATTATTTGAATTTTTTTTTTTTTCACTCATTTTGACTTTTCATCCTCTTCGTTTCAGATGGAAAAATTGTTCACAATTGAAGTTTTGAATGTCAACGAAGCTCCGGTAAACATAAACATAACTTCTCAAGGAGGCCAGCTGTATTTCCCAGATGGGCATCCGCAGGTTCGCGAAAACTCCCCCTTGGGAACAGTTATTGGAATGCTAGAGGCTTTAGATCACGATGCAAACCAAACTCTTTCCTTTAAGCTCGATGATGATGCCGGCGGAAAGTTTACATTAGGGCCTTCGGCGAATTGCCAGACGATTACCAATATCTCAGGGGTAAACACAAAGTGCACCATTGGTCTTCGAGTTAATGGAGATCTTGACTTTGAACTGTCCAATGAGTATCACGTGACAGTGCGCGTTACAGATGCTAAAGGACTTTTTACAGCTGAGCAGCTTAGAATTAGCATCGTGGATGAAAACGATGCACCTGAAAATATCACTTTGGGTGGAAGCTACTCGGTCAGAGTGTACGAGAACGCGAATGGGTCACTCGTCGGGCAACTGGTGACTAGTGACGAGGACGTTGCGCAGGCGCATACGTATAAACTGTTCGACGACGCCGCTGGTCGATTTGTTATTCTAAACGACAAGCTTTATGTCTCATTGGCAGCCAAATTGGATTTCGAAGGTCAAAATAATTTCACGGTGAAAGTAAGAAGTACAGACAGTGGATCGCCGTCTCTAAGTGTGGAACAGGTTTTCGAAATAAGCATCCTGGATGTGAACGAGGCCCCTGTCAATATTTCTCTCGCGCCTGCCAATGTCACAGAGAACAGTCAACCTGGCACACGGATTGGTCAATTAACTGTCAGTGACCCTGATAACTATGGACCACGTGGTACATTGCAGACACACAGTTGCCAAGTAACCGGTAGCAATATTGGCAAGTTTACCATCCAGTCAAACGTTCTCGCCCTAGGAGGTGCTAGTCTAGACTACGAACTAACGCCGGTGACGCGTGTCCAGGTGAAGTGCACAGATAACGGCTCCCCACCCTTGTCCCTTGTGAGGGATTTGTCCATTAATGTGAATGACGTCAATGAGGCACCCACAAGCATTTCCCTGTCGAGCGATGCCATAGATGAAAATCAACCACCATTTTTGATAGGTTTGTAAATCGTTAATCTGATTTTAAATTATTTTGTCGTGTTATAAAATTAGGGTTTCACTGAAATGCTTTAGGGTAGTTCTTAAAATAAATCAATTTAACCACTTTTTCGCTCTCGGTTTACTAACTCAACGCATGGAGCAAGCTACTTTGCCGTTGACTGAAAACATCGAAAACGTGTATTACTGATTATATCTGCTCTGGCACCTCGAAGTTGGCTTCTGGCATTCTCGGTAGTCAACAATATAAATTGACAATTTCTCTCTCGATTCTGTCCTAACTTGGCTAATAATCGCATGGAAAACAATACTTTCATCGTGTTGTCTTTCTCGTTATTTTTAAGGATTTTTCTCAACTGCTGACCCGGATAATGCCAATCAACCAACAAACAGGCAAACGTTTACCTACAAGCTCATGGGCGATACCGCTGGACTTCCATTCGTCATTGACGGCGATGCATTGAATTCTACACGAAGTCTGGACTATGAGGCTCAGCGCTCTTGGAACATCACAGTCCAGTCCGTCGATAGTGGGAACCCACAGCTAAGCGTCGTAACAGATTTTCTCATCTCTGTTATTGGTAAGTAAAATTTACCACCCGCACTCGGGTTGAAAATAAAACTGATAAACCCTTTCCCGGCCATTCAATGTCACGCCTGTCCTTGGCGAGTAGAATGAAGTTTAGTCATTTCGATTGGTGATAATATCCTAACCCTGACCCTATACATTTGGCACAAACATGGGACTAAGAAAATTTTCAAAACCCTCCTTCATTCCAATGTCGCTTTTGGATGCAGTCTACCGACCAAGCTACATCGTTGGCACGTTAGGCTATATATTAGGTTCACAAAAGACAAATGCCACTCAGCATAGTTGAAATTTCCTTTTTTGACATTACCACGATTGAGGGACCAAATCACAGTTTTTCAACGGCTTTTTTTTAATCTCGCAAAATCTCGCGAAATCTCGCGCATTCCGTAAACTCGTTACCGTTAACGAGTTAATATTCTTTAAAGCATATCGAATTTATAAACACTACGACTGATATTGACGGTAGAGGAGGGATAGAAGAACAACATTCTAATCAGTTTTGGTTCTTTTTCCATGCTCTCCTGCAGATGTCAACGAAAGGCCATTTAATATCACTTTGTCAAATACTGTCGTCGATGAAAATTGCCCGCAGGATACAGTTGTTGGTAACCTACTCTCCCTAGACCCAGATCGCTCGCAGACCCACACGTACACTATGGTAAACAGTGCGGGAGGTAGATTCAAACTAGCTGGAAAGCAACTAAAAGTTGCCATGTCTAATGTGGACTGCCTTAAGAACGGAGGAGATTTCTGCAAGTTGAATTACGAGAAAAAGGGTTCGTACACGGTGAAGGTGCGCGTAACAGATAACGGAAGCCCACGTCTGAGCAGTGAAGCAAGCATGGTTATTTCCTTGAATGACGTCAATGACCGACCAAATGACTTCAGGCTGTCTAGTCGCACTGTGAAGGAAAATGCAACAGTTGGTACAAAAATTGGTCGGTTCACCGCCACGGACGAAGATCAGTTCCAAACGCTAACTTTTTCGCTGCTTAACAGTGATGGGGGAAGGTTTGCGATTGACTCTACAGGTTATTTGTTCAAAGCAAAGAAGACGGATTATGAGACGAGCAAGGCTCACAAGATCGTTGCGCAGGTGACAGACAATGGGACAGTGCCTTTAAACGTAAGTTCTCTCCACTCAGACTTCCGTAAAATGCTTTTATCACATGCAGTAGTTAAAGCGCTGTGGAAACAAAATCAAAGTAGTCCGAAGGGCTACGCAAAACAAAGGAAAATCACAAGAAGATGATGAAAGGTCAAAGCAAAATCAAACAAACCGCCTGAAGTGCAGATGACCAGACCGTGAGTGGCTTCCTATCGGCCTGGTTGTGAGGGAGGAGAGGGTAAGGTACGATTCTTCGACCAATCGCAGAGCGTCTTGACGAAAAGCCAGTGTGATACAAATATTTTACACAGTCATCCGAAAAACTAATACACATAAAATGATCCTTTGTTTCTCTTCACAGAACAACAAAACATTTATAGTCGTTGTTGAGAATATTAACGAGCCTCCCATAAACATGACGCTTACATCAACATCAGGACAACAGTCATTCACTGACAACAAGCCTAGAGTCAACGAAAATTCAGCAGCCAACGCCACAGTGGGGACACTTCAAGCTTTTGATCATGACGAGGTGCAAAGCTTAACGTTCTCTTTAGACGACGACGCCAATGGTAAATTTACCGCGGGCTCGCATGTCACATGTCACAACAACACCAACATTCCCGGCGTGAAAACGATGTGCACCGCACTATTGCAAGTCAGCGGTGATCTCAACTATGAGGCAAGCCACAGTGAAGACGTTGTGGTGCGTGTGACTGATCCCAGCGGTTTATTCCACATTCAGCCATTGCAGGTGGTGATTTTAGATGTTAATGACCGACCTAGCAATATCACTCTCGCAGGGGGTGATACGGCATCTATCAACGAAAACGTGAATGGTGGTTTTGTGGGCGATCTTGTAACCACAGATGAAGATTCTAACCAAACTCATAGGTACACTTGGATAAATAATGGTGGATGGAAATTTCTCCTCAGAAGCAGCAAGATTTACGCTTCATCAAACGCAAACTTGGATTACGAAGCAAAGTCGACCTACATTATTCGGGTTCGAAGCACAGATGATGGCAGCCCAAGGTTGAACATTGACAAGACCTTTACAGTAAAGGTAAGCCTCTTCAGCTTTGAAATGTTAATTTTTAAGGACGAAATAGGCTCGAGTGTCTGATAATAAAATTTTGTAAGTAATTGTATCGATCAATCAGTACAAAGGAAATTATTTCAAAGAGCTAGTTACATGTCAAGTAAAAACATGCAAAGCGCATGTAACTGGGAAATTTCGAGTGAATAAATTTCTCATCTTGATGGGGTTTAAGACCAGAGATTAAATTATTATCTTCTGACGTGATTTGCTGCTCAAGCCCAATCGAATATATTTTGTTTTGCTTTGTTAGATATTTGCTTTTCGTTTAACTTGGTTGTCTTTTTGTTTCTAGGGTCATTCTCTTTAAAATAATTTTTCTTTGATGATTTTGCTTCAAGAAGAGATAGAAAGCTAGATCCCCCAAACGATCTTTGAAATTTCACTGAATTGTTCTGCTCTGCCCCTCATATGAGGGTACTGCCTCAACTAGCAAAAATTATAACACATTTCCTTTCTTTTCAGGTTCTTGACGTCAACGAACAACCAACAGATATTTTACTATCGTCGAGAAATGTCTTAGAAAATAGCCGCAAGGGTACAGTGGTCGGCAACATATCTGTTTTAGACCCTGACGATATGGGACCTCGAGGACCCTGGCAAAATCACTCGTGTAGAGTCCTTAACCCTTCCAGTACTCCTTTTAAGGTGAACGGAACAGACAACATTTTAGTTGTTGACGGAGATTTGAACTACGAAAAATTAGACAGTTACAGCATCGATATTCGATGCCATGACAACGCAAATCCTCCTTTATCTGTCGATAAAAACTTCAAGATAAATGTAATCGATGTGAACGAGAAACCCTATGACATTACGATCTCTAATAACGAGGTTGCCGAGAATACAGGGATTGTCACTGTTGGAAGTCTTGATACCGCTGACCCAGACAATGAGCTGACTGTGGTGCAAACGTTTACTTATACTATCGACACTGCCTCTGGAAGTGTTCCTTTTGCCGCTGTCCACGGCCTACTTAACACCACGCGTAGTTTGGATTACGAGGCAAATTCGACTTGGTCGCTGACTATCAAATCTACGGATAACGAAGGTTATTATTATAATTTTATGTACGTAATTAAGGAGAGAAAAAGTGCCCTTGCAAAATCAACTGGGATGAGTCGCAGAGAATCTATAAGGAACAACTATCAGGTCAATTTTTATGGCTCTAGAACTATTTTCATTTTGGTATAAAATACTCTGTTGTTACCAACTCGGAAATTGAAAGAGCGTGTAATAATTATTTTTCCAATCAGCCTGGTTGATTATCTGTGAACTCATTCTTCCTATTTTTCATTTCAACATAGTCAGTACTTCTTATTTGTGTGTCATTCAGTCGTTTTTCCAATATTTTTGATAGTGAAAGATGCTTGAGGTTATCGAGTTGAGCTTTCTCTCTTTTATTTATATTGTAACTCTGTGTAGGCCTCACCACAACGAAGAACTTTTCGATCATCGTCAAAGACACAAATGATCCACCCACGAGTGTTATAGCCAGCGGTCCACTTAGCGTCAATGAAAACAGCCAAACTGGAGAGTATATAGGAAGTTTGACGACCTCTGACCAAGATGTTGGACAGACGCACAAATATCGAATACTTAATGTGTTTGCACAGGGACACAGGAATCAAAGGTATTGCGGGCAAGTGATATGTGTTGTGAGTTCTGTCTTGCATATCAGTGTTAGTTAGTTAGCAATGTTATCTGCACCGGTTGGTAGCTGCTGGAAATAAACACAATTTATTTTAGAATCAAATAGTGTCGAGATAAATGTACGAGTGGATACGAAACGGCTATCTTACGCAATTTTAGCGTAAACTTTTATTAGATTACTGAGGTGTTCATAAAAGACAAACTTACATGGGAGTCCTCGTAAGAAAGCTTCTTTCTCACTACGTAATAGCAAGTCTGAACAACAGATTTGAACACGTTTGAACACGTGAAGTTAGATTCCTTTTTTCTTTGTCCTACACTCGTGACAAGACCGAAAATATCTTTCTCTATTTATTTACTGAGCTGAATCCTTACTTTCTTTCTTATTCTATTTACAAACATGACGCTATAGACATCACTGATCCCAGCAGTCTACAGAACGTGTGTCATACATGAACTTCGTAATGGGCCTCGCTCGCCATAGAGTCTCTGTGGCTCAGTGGTAAAGCATCGGTGGTCTGAGGTTCAATTCTTCGTGGAGACTCAGAATTTTTTCTTTGTCCCACGCTCGTAACAAGACGAAAAACATCTTTCTCCACTTTCTACTTGTTATAATTGCTTCGGTTTTGCAGAAAATTTTGTAATTAATTTTTGATATGATTTATGGCTGTCGTTGTCTTTGAGTTTTGGCCATGGCTTCACTCTTTTTGACAGTGATCTGAACGTTTTAATTTCTCTTTTGTTGCAGTAGTTCATCAAATCTTCATAATTTGTTTTCTATTGAGTCGCCCTCTGGCCGAATTACACTTCAAAGGCCAGGGCTTAATTACGAGCTGTATGCCAACTACACAGTGACAGTGAACAGTACAGACAGCGGTTTTCCGCCGTACTCCATTTTAGCCTCGTTTGTCGTCAGTGTTAACAACACAAATGAACAGCCACAGAGCATTTTCCTGTCTGGAAACCAGGTTAGTCAGAACAAAACAGAAAATTATGGCTATTTCTAAATAACTAAAAAGCTAAATCAGTGGTATTTGCACCGTACTTTGGAGATATTTATCTTGAACCCAGGCTTGGGAGAAAATTGTGAATGCTTGTTTTTCTGGAAGTCAAAAGGAAGGCTCAAAATTTGTCATCTTCCTTACCCTTTGGATATTGCTGATACAAACAGTATGCAGGAGGTTTATTACACGTGAACCTAGTATAACGTCTCAGCAACGAGTATTTTTGGGAGCATTTGACGACAATGAAATACACTACTTGCTCGAACCCCCCACCGCTCGATCCCAGGGATATAGCGAGGAACTTAGCATTTTATGAAAACTTAAAATCTTTCGTTGTAACCCACGCCACAGCTAGGTACTTTCAAAGATAGTGAACCACTCATTTCCAGGTTCCCCATTGAAGATTAATAAAGTAAAATTTCCGCTTTAATGACTTTTCTTGTATCCTAGTAATATTACGCTGTTAAACGCGCGTCAAACTTGAGATGTTACCAGCCCCATGGATTTCCCCTTCTTAAGCGGGATTCGGGATTGGGAATTATTGTCCTTTTCTCTAACCTCACCATACACTAGTATCCTACTCAAGTGGTGCACTCTTTATTGGTCTCATTTTGAACAAGCCCATGTCGTGACATTTTAGGTACCTGAAAACAGCCCAGTGGATACAGTGGTTGGCGACTTATCAATATATGACCCGGATAACATTCACCTTCCGCTGCAAAAGTTTCAATGTTCAGTGGTAAATGATAAACCATTTAAGGTAAGAATCAAATCAAAATGAATGGACTTGCATTTATTTAATAATTTATTCATTTAGTAGTTCAGTGTTCTACAATGGTTAATAACTCCAAGAACGTTTATCAGTTCTGCATCAAAAGGGAAACAACTAGAAAAGTGACTACGTAAATGTTACGTCAATATGTCTGGCGCTGTTTTCAAATCAATCAAAGTGCATTCAATATTTATTTTCCAGTCAGGCAAAGAAACCACGACCTTTTCGTATTCTGTGTTACAGAGTGCCAAAGAAAGCTTCCTGTCAAAGAGAGCCTACTTTGATCATTAAGAGTGACCAGAATCTAATTTCTCCTTACACTATCACCACTGATGATCACTTGGTGATCACCAATCAAAAGAAAAAAATATTTTGATTGTTAAACAAATTCTCTTATTCAGCACCTCGGGAAATTTAAAGAGAACGGTATGAAAAATATCCATACTGACGTTAGGGTACAGATTTAAGGGTTAATGCGCTGCACTCGGTATCGGGGGGTTCTTATATGGTCGCGTTTTGGCCAGCTCATTTTGTTATAGCTTTGAGCAAGGCAACTTACTTTCATGATTCCTTTCTCCACCCAGAAATTTAAACGTCCATCAGCGAATTATCGCCTGGAATAACGATCGGCTTTATCGCTTTGCATGTTAGAAAAACTCTTGTACATTTCAAAGGTTATTTGCTTCTCTTAATCGAAAGGCATTCATGAAAGTTTCAGTTGTTCTCGTATAAGTTATCTCTTCTCTAAACTTGATTGCAGGTTGTAAATCATTTGACTTTGGTTGTTTCTAAAAACACGCTGGATTATGAAACAGTAGACACATACACAGTGAACGTAAGTTATCCATATTTAGTCTAATTGAATGTTATTTATAATGGTAATGGGACCGAGTGAGGTCCAATTCTGTCTCTAATCATACGAGTGATTAACAAAATCGGACGACCGCGAAGCAGGAGTCCGATTTGTTAATCACGAGTATAATTACAGACAGAATTGGACGACAAGAAGTCCTATTACCAATTAATCATAACAATTTCAATTTCCGAAAAAACAAATACACCTTGAACAAATATTTCCAGTGGAGACAATTTCTTTAGTTAAAATTCCTTCATTTTGGAAATTCCCAAGTTTTTCTTTGGATAAGTGGTTGTTGCTATGGTTATTTTGACCATTTCTGTGATTGGTGGATTAGCTGAGTGGACCTGTTATGATTGGCTGCTTCAACTGTCCGATTACAGGTGTCTGATTACAGCAAACTGTCCAATTACATTGTCTGATTACAACTGCACAGAATGATAAGTGAAAAATGAAGCTGCGAATGCACCAATAATATTTGAGGAATTTGTAATTGTTATGATTAATGAGTGTAATATGATTTTGAAGTCAGGTTGCCTCTACCTTATAAGTTTGTGCAGTAAACTATCACTGTTAAAAAAAGAGAAGAATCCTTGATTTAGTAAGGCTGAGCATCCGGTGCACTACCGATGCCCAACTCAAAAATAATTTATCTTAGAGGCTCAACGTCGCAATAATTTTTTCAGTTCCTTATTGCGACGTGAAAAATCAATATTGCCAAGAACATGAAGCCAGGGTAATGGCAAACTATTATAAAACAATATAACGGAGAGAATGAGACAAAAAGGAACCTAATCGAGAAGATTTTCACAGAACACAAATAGGATGGTAAATCGTTTTAATCTCACAGTTTTCATGATTTCCTCCTACAGGTCAGTTGTACAGAGCTGTTACCAAATCCCTTCTCCGTCTCTTCACTGTTTGTGATTAACATCCAAGATGTAAACGAGGCTCCGTATAATCTGACCATTTCCGCCAATAACGTGAACGAGAACGGACCTCCTGGGGATGTCGTGGGAACACTCAGTGTTCATGATCCTGATTTACCGGTTAGATGGCAACTTGCAGATTTTTTTCCACCGTTAGGAGTATCTACCGATAATATGTAAAAGTCAAACACCTTTTGAAGTTTTTGAAAAGAGGAAATTAATAATAGGAAGGAATTGTTACTGCGCGAGGCTCGTCTAACAAGGTTCAACTTCATTGATCGCGCATTCAGTAGTCAGTCAAACATCCAAGTGCAACCCTGTCCACTAAGACCCAACCTCCGTTATTTTACAGCGGAATTTTTATTACTTTAGTTTGCTTGTCTACTTGAAGTTTTCTTTTTGTTTCGCTTTCTTTTCCATCGTCAGCTTCAATTCATCTAATTTGTTGTTAATCTCTTGTTCTTTTTCCTCACAGTCGAGTGGGAGAGCCAATGTATCACTAGCTCTAAAATACCAGACACCAGGCCCGGTGGCGTTCACATTAAATGGCAGTAGACTGGTAACTGCCAGAAAACTGAATTTTGAAACTCAAGATTCCTACAAAGTGACAGTTGTTGCAACAGACAGCGGTAACCCACCACTCAATACCAGTCTCACTTTTACAATTCAGGTGAAAAAAAATCCTCCATAGACATTTCCAAATCTTGTGTACTAGAAATCGTCAAGTCCCATATAGAGTTTCTCCACAAAGTAGGAGTAGTACATATGGCGAACTAGTGATTGGAATATGCAAAGTTAGTGTATACTATAGAGGTAAATAGTGCTTTTTGCTCGCGCTGATTGGCTGCTTTGGAAACGATTAGAAAGAGCTATTCACCTCCGAGCAGCCGAATCGTCAAAATTGTGCGTCAAGATTGAAATTTCCGACCATTTTTCGGTATCTTGACAAAAATAAACTATTTATTGGTTTCTGTGTGGTATATTCTCAGAAAATTATTCACCTCAGTGTCGGTGAAAGTGGTGGATACTTACTTCTACCTCGGTGAATAACCCTTACCCTAAGATGAAGCCAGTCTATAAACTAATTTACATTTACAAGGAAATGTTTAGTAGTTTGAGAGAAAAATTCTGTAGAGATCTTACACCATTCAATATTAATTCATATGTGTTGCAAAAGATTTCAGTCACTCTATCTTGTAAAACAATGATTCAGTGTAACAATCCTTAATTCTGGTGAAATTTCCAGCCATAATTTATTTCCCAGTGCTTGATTCTGTTTTGAGAAATTCTCCGTGGTCTAAGAAATACCATTCAATTTTAGGTGATTGATGTAAATGACCCGCCCACTGCAGTCAAGCTAGTGTCAAATGGTATCTACGAAAATGCAACCGCTGGTACTATCGTCGGAGTATTGCAGGCTACAGACCAAGATGCAGATCAAAGTCATACTTTTGTGGTTACTGGTTATGGTTCAGGTATTTAAAACTTATGCAGCAAATAAATGTTGTATTTTATTGTCACCCTAAAACTCGACTTATACGCATGGGCATTAACATTCTAATATTACTCGTCTTCATCAATAATTTATATTTCCCTTCATAAAAGATGACGAAGGCTGAGAATCTTTTCTTTGCAAAGAAGGGGTAGTAAAGGTCGTTCTTTGATGAAAAGAGCCCATTTAAGTGAAAATGTCTTCCGAGTTGTATCGTACTTAAAACCTGCGTTAGCTGGGTTAATTGAGACGCGCTGAAGAGTGGATAAACGACGCATAGAGGAGGCAGAGGTTGTCAGGGAAACGAAAACCTGTTGGCTAATCAAAGCTACACCCGTCAATCTTGCCTTGGTCTTGGCCTGACTGGCTAGACGGAAAACTTATGAGAACCTGATCGCAGCGATTTTGGAACGGCACGTTACTGTTTCCGTTAGAGCTCTCACACGTTATATTGATGACAATAATATTAATTTGGTTGCTTTCAGATTGGTTCATTGTTAATGGAAGCAACCTGCGGCTCAAAGGCACACCACTGAATTACGAAACCACACCTGTGATGAATATAACTATCCTTGTTCTAGACAATGGCTCCCCTCCCCTTTCATACAAGGTTCGTTTAGTGACAGAATCACAGTATTATGCTAGTATGCTTTTCTCTTAAATAATTTTGATTTGAATTTTGTTCTGATATCTTTTAATTTATGTGACTTACGTAAAATATATTACGATAACCAGCAACTGGATTTTTGCATTTGAATTACAGGGAAACGTGAGTGTCATGGTGCTTGACAGCAACGATCGCCCATCAGATATAATCTTTAACTCATCCCTCTCAGTAACCGATAGCACTTCGTACCAGATCGTCATACCCGAGAACAGCCCGAGTGGAACTTCGCTTATGAACTTAAGTGTCGTAGACGAGGACTTTGGTCAACAACACAATTGTGAACTTGTCGCAGGGAGGAATTATTTCATTATAAGTTCTGCATCTAAATCGACGTCTGAAATAACTCTGAAGGAAGGCGCTGATTTAAATTACGAAACTCTTTTGGATACTCTACTAAAAGGTAAGAAACGGCGTTTCCTCTGATGCAGTACCTGCTTTGTGTTTTTTTTCTCAAACTTGGCCTCTAGCTTTGGGGGGTTCTTTGTTCATCAAACCCGAGGTACGAATAATTTACTGCCGAGGTACGTGATAACTTGAATCAAAACTGACCTCACTTAAGTCTCTGAGGAGTATCAAGTCTCGTAACTTGGCCAGTACGATATGCTTCGTACGATCGCTGTAATTGGTAGCTAACGATCATTTGGAAACCAGGCTTGTATGCTCCAGCAGTTTATGAGATTATAGAGGCACAATTTATAGCAGTATTTTTTCTCTTTCCACAGTATCGGTTGAGTGCCGAGATGATGGAAGTCCCCCATACTCGATACAAAAGAACTTTAGTGTTGAAGTATCTGACGTGAACGAAGCACCATACGATATCCGTTTAAATGGTTCCGCTGTGGTAGAAGAGAACGTGCGTGTTGGTTACGCTGTGGGATATTTAACATGTGAGGACCCGGATATAGGTCAAAGTCACATGTTTACTGTCATCGGGAATTACTCGTCCGTCTTCGAGGTAACAGTTGCAAAAGTTGAGAAAGAACCGAAATACAAGTACCTTAGTAATGTAATTTTGACATGTTGGTTTAGCATGTTGGTTTGACATGTGTGGTTTTTCAGAACCATAACTTAAACTTTAGTTCGCTTCTTTAAAAATTTAATGAATCTCTTTTCCCAAGAAAAGAAATCGAAGATATTTTATACTAAAACAAAATTCTTATTACTTGGGCTGGGACAGAAAGTTTGCATTTTAAATTTTCCCACTTTTTCCCCATCCATTTTTTTTTTCACTAGTAGCACGCAGTTTTCATAAACTTTTACCAGTGACTTTCTATAGGAAGTGTTTTAAAGTTATTTCCTTCGCAGATTTATCGAAATGTATTTTGCCAGAGCCCCCCTAAAATGGTCTAAGGAAGATGTCTAAAGTTGTGATTTCTCAATTATGAGCTAATTTACTTGGAGATCTTATTTCGCTGTAAATGAAGTCTTCAAAATAAACTCATAAGTAGGAATTTCATGAAGGTGACATCGGTGTATAATATTTTAAAGCTACAAATATATATATATATATTTTACGAAGTGTCTAGATATAAGTGCAGTTCAGAAGAACGTCCCTTTTGGGACGTATCTTTTTCAGGGGATGGCTCCATTCGTAGGACCTGCACATGACTCCAAATGAAGTGAATTTTCCCATGAGTTCCGTATCTGTGATCTTAATTGTGAGGAAAACTTGTTCAGGCGGCGCTTTTTATTTCCGAGTACTAAGGGTGACTCTAGATCTCAGATATGATATCAGATGCGGTTTTCATTGCAGGTAAATAACAGTTACAACCTGATTGTCAAAGACCCCTCACACCTGGACTACGAGAATCTTCATCCAAATTTGGTCCTTACCGTCGCTATTCAAGTGACAGATAACCCTGTGAAAGGAACAGGAGCTCCTCTGAAAGCCATTGGTAACGTCACCATTAGCATAACGGACATCAACGAGGCACCTCATGACATCCGACTTGTTCCCGCTAACGTAACAGTCCCTGAAAATGTTTCAGTCGGTTACTGTCTTGCGCAGATAGCATCACGAAACCCCGAGAAATTGCAAACCGTAGAATATACCCTCCTCAACTACCAGAGTATGCTTTCAATTGAAGATGTTTGCAAGGATAACTCTTCCTCTGCTGGCCATCAAGATGACGGTTTACCTTATCTGATTGTGAAGTCGCATCTAAGTTACAATGATTACGTAGTACAAGGTTATCAAATTCTTATAGAAGCTGAAGACAACGGAATTCCTCCACAAACGTTCAACGAGACGGTTAAAATTCACGTGACTAAAATTGACCCATGTCCCCAGGCCACTTGTCACGTGGACGCCACGTGCAGCCGCGTTGACTGGCAGAATTACACCTGCGCTTGCAATGCGGGCTACTCAGGAAACGGCTTCAACTGCCAGGAAATAGACGAGTGTAACATCACTTGCACGGAAGTAGATGAGTGTATTGCCAACCCGTGTAGCAACGGTGGCACGTGCCACGATTTCGTGAATTACTACAACTGCACGTGTCCCAGTGGATATAACAATGGTACAGACTGCACATTTATAAATTTTTGTAGTTCAAGCCCGTGTCTGAATGATGCGACTTGTAACCCTGTCCTGAATGGATACAACTGCCTTTGTCCGTGTGGTTTTACAGGAAAACATTGTGAAACGAATATCGATGAGTGCGTGAATCCTAAAAAGTGCTTTGAGGGAAGTTGTATTGATAAAAATTGCAGCTTTAGCTGTAAATGCGAATCCCAGTTTTTCGGTCCTCAATGTCGAAGGATGGAGGGTGAATGTACAGAAAAACCATGCGGGGAACAAGAAATCTGCATACCACGAAACGTAGAAAGGTACAACACGACATTTTGCGTTTCTGTCGATGCTCTTGTGTCGTTACCATTTCCAGAAGACGAGATTTCCAACCCGTATAAACATTATCAGTTAGAACGTTGGTTCTTTAAAAATGAACAACAGTTTCCGCTGAGCGAAATTACGAATAACGATGATGATTCAGGCATGGTAAGTGTAACAGACGTTTATGTCAGACAACCGAGCTGGGAACATCCGTCAAAAGCAAAGAGAAGCTTATCTGAAGAAAACCTCCCCACGTTAGATTTTGTTGTGCTCGTTTACTTGCAAGAACAGGAAAAATATATGGGTGTTCCGTCGAAAACAGTCCTGTGCAAAATGAACGAAACATGCGTCAAGCACAACTACCCCAAAACTGAAACAAAGGCTGATTTTGAATACGGACTTTGCATTGCAACGGCTTGGGAGGTAAAGAAAAGGGATGCTGAATGGTGCGTTTCTAAAGAAGCCAAGGAAGGGCATCTCAAAGATGGGTCACACAAACCGAAGATGAATTTATACTACGTGATCGCTGGGATTGGAGGTATCTTGCTGATTGTTCTTATCACAGGGCTCACCCTCTGCAGAAGAAACACCTTGATTGCTCGAGAGCGCAAGTTTATGAAACAACAACGGTTTACGGAGAGAAGAGATACTTACATCGACAACATGCACAGGCATCAAAGGGCTAACCAAGAAATGGAGGCCATAGGAACTGTGAACCCGATTTACGGAAATGAGGAGCAGGAAGTTACACGGCGGGAAGTTGCACGGCAAATAAATGTGATGGACAATCCACTCTATGAGGCTCCAGGTGAAATCAAAGCCAAGCGTTCAGAACCTTCCCGTGGCTTTAACAATCCAATGTACGTAAGTTTCCAACCGCCACAACCGGATGAAAAGAAAACCGTGCGAGAGGAGGAAGCTGAGGAAGCCTGTGCTGCTGTAGGTTTTGCGAATCCCATGTTTGCGTCGCACAGACAGGTGGGTCTGGGATAATTAGAGCAAATTTTCGACTGATCCTTCATAACAATTACCTTGTCTTAGGACGCCTTATGAAGCGTACATGCAGCACTTTAGTGGAGCCCATTTTCAATGACTATCTTTAAACCAAATCAAATCTTTTTGGCGGACCTCACTTTGAGACCATAATTTGAATTTAACTGAGCAGCTTGTAAGCCACAAAAGATACGGTATATTACTTTTTATCTATTTTTTTCTTTAACTTGCAAGTAATAAAATAGTGGACTTCAAATCATACTCCCCTGTTTCAAGCCTGGGTCGGATTTAGAATGGGCGGAGGGGGCAGGGGTTCTATTCAAGCTTTTTAGCTGGTTTTGTGTCACCTGCCCTCCAAATTTTCACTCTGTCTTGAAGAATAATTCGTATCAAAAAAGGCACCCCTTTCTAGGAAAAATTTAGTTGGGTACCGAGTAGTTTACCTCTAAGTATCCTGCAATGTGCAGCACGGGGTGTAGACTCAATTACACCCAATTGAAATATTTTAAGAAGCAACTTATTAGTGAATGTTCTCAATTGGCAGCTGATTGGTCTGAAGCATCCGTGTGTTAAAAATGTTGGACACCTTTTAGCCGTCAGGCGGCAGATATTTCATAGATAAATCCTCCTCACGTGTTTCCAAGGTGGCCTTGAATACCCCACTTCTCATTTAACAGCTAGTTTCAGTCGTCACTATTTGAAATTTCATACTGTATTTGACTTTCTGTAGGAAAAGAAGACATCGGAACAGAAACAAGACGACAGCGGCATATACGCAGTGCCAGTCCAACCAGACAAGCCAGCTAAGCGGGAAAGGAAAACGCCGATATATGACACTCCCACGAAACCAACCCAACCGGTTAACGAAGAACCTGTAGTTAGCGGAGGGCCTGGGTTCTTTAACCCTTTGTACCAGACCCGCAGGGAGGAGGAGGAATTTCCCTCTGATATATCCAGCATATTTGCTCCCCCCAGCAAGCCAACAGGGCGAACTCTTGACGATGACCTGGGGCAGAGTGACTGTTAAAACATCTGAGAAGGGATATATTTTTTTTCTTCCTTGAGGGTTAAAAATTGACAAACTTTTCAAATACCCCCAATGAAACGTTCTTTTTTTTTTATTTCAGTTTTTTCTTTTTGGAGAAAAAGGCAATTTATTGATCCTCAGCTTCAAATAGATTCATTTAGTGTTTTTAACATTTGCGATTGCTTTTTATTTTTTCCATCTACTTCTCTGTCTCTCTAGGAGTGCGAGAAGGAAACACAGAGATCATTATTCAACCCGTCTTCAATTTCCATCTCTTAATAAACTAAGTTTTTAACGTGTGGTTACTGGGGAAATGTTTTCCGTACTTACATCTCCTCAGTGTAACCACACCAATTCATCAATTGCCCATTTAGATTTGTTAGGTATTCAGAGTCACACAACACCAAGTAGCTAGTAATTTTGCGTGACATGGAAAGGAGTTAATCTCGGTAGGACACTTTTTGGGATTTCACTTACCTAAAGAGATATTATATTGCAAAAGTTTGTCATTTTGAACCCGTTTTAATCCTCTGCAATTTAAAATCTTTCTTATTTTGCCATCACCCTATATTTGTACTCGTAAGCTACTAGTAACATTTTGTAGTTTCCTTTAAAGTTAAAATATGTTTCGAAAAATTTACAAAAATTCTCCGTTAACCCTTGCACTGCCTGGGGTGATCTTACTTCTATATTCTCCCAAAAGTTTTAAAATTTTGTGAAGCAGACAGGTAATGAGAACTTAGACAATTACATTAAGAATATTGTCTCGATGTAACTCCAAACACTCACAAACAGCCAACAAGAAATACGTACAATAACTTGTTTGGAGAATTGGCTTTCAGATCTCGGGAGTGAAGGGGTTAACGAGTGAATGAGGTTTCAAGCTTTGGAAGATTCATAGAGTTCGAATGGAAATGCTAAGAGATTTTTCCAACCAGATCCGGAAAGGAGAAGAGATATAGAGAGGGACTGCGGTCCTCGTATATCAAAGTTTAGCCTATCAAGTCCATCTTTTGGTAGTGAAATGTACACGATCGGTTCATTTTCAAAGATCAGTCCACTTCATTTTATAAATGTAGCCATGAAAATCACTTTTGACTCCCTCTGAAATATCAGATGGGTTTTTTTTTTTCGGCGTTGTCAATAGCATTGCATTGGTCAATTAACATAACCATTCGTCAATTGTCACGACTGATTTACAATGCCAGTATTTTTTCACTTGTTTTCCAAATTTCAATTTCAATCATTATTTCCGATTCATTCACTTTAATGACGACCCTCTTTTGAAAGGGAATAGTGAATGCAATTTGAATCATTTTCGAGAAATTTAATTACAATAATTTTAGAGAGACACCCGTCCTCTCAAAATTAATTCAATGGAAATTCAAAGTTATTGCAAGAATTTAAATTTTGGGTTTTAATCAAATGCCAGTTCTTTATTGATTATTGATAAATGTCCATATATTGATTTCGTAATGCTTTGCAAGTTATCTTGACATTTCAGATAACGAATTGTACTTGTTATTTCTTATTCCTCATTTTATCAGTGCTGAAGAATAATCGTGAAAATATCAATCATACTTTAGAGAGACGTTCGTCAACTTTAAATTAATTGGTTGAGAATTTGATTGATTGAGAATTTGATTATTTCATTTTTATCAAATTGATTTGAGGCAGTACGAAAATATCTCTAAAAAATATATATCCAATCCAAGACACAATTTGTTTTGATTCGTTACGTATTAATATGTTTAGTCATTAAGTTTTTTTTAATAGCGTAAATAGCGTGAATGATTTCACGCTGAATTATTTTCCATGCAGTTGAAATCTACTGTAGCTCTGTGAACGAAATACCGCGCTTTAATAAAATAAACTTGGGATCAAAATATTTTTGTCATGCTCGATTGAGTCTTGGGATTCCTGGGCGAGAGGTTCCTGATTCAAAGGGTGCGTTATTTTGTTCCATGTCAGGGAGAAATCTGTGACCTGCTTAACAGGTGATATTGTTCTTGCCTTCTATGTCGAGTGAAGGCAAATACGAGAAAAGGCAACTGGCGCGTGATTCAAGACTTCCCTCTCCAGTGCTATGATGCTAAATACTGCATGTGTACATTCTGACTACAGTCACACGATACATGCAATCAGAAAAGTTTATTTAGAACGAGCCAGTCTTTTTTTTACTTAGAATTGTCTCGTTTTTTATTTTTTAATTTAGGATTAAGTTTATGATCTGAAACTTCCATGATGCCACGCGAACCTCTTTACTTAATGCTGTCGGAATATTCATTTCTGACTAATTTGTTTCCATGTTACTCAAACGTCAGAAATTACCGGTTTGTTTCATTTCCCTGACTCACGCATCTCGTTAAGTCGCCGACCGAAGGATGTGGCCAATTTTAAAAAGCCTTCAAACAAGGCGTCTCTATCTCCTCAACCCTGAACTGAAACAATCTCCATATATACTTATGCAACTACTTGACGAACATTGTGCTCTTTCTGGGAAAAATGTAATTTCTGACGGTTGAGTGACTAACAACGAATTAGTCAGAAATTACTATTCTGATGGCACGATTGAGAGGTTTTAGTATTCTCAGGGGAGAGTTTTGAGTATTTAATGTTTTAGCGGGGAATATTAATCATTCTAGCTCAGTCAGTCTTTCTGTTTGCTGTTGTCAATTTAGTTAAAATTTTTTCTATGGAGTTATGGGTTTGTTTGTACCTCTTCCCCGAGGTTCCGTGCCACTGCATTAGATGGGGAATACGTTTCCACATATTTTTTGGCCACATCTGAAGAGTGGTTTTTTAGTGGTTTTTCGTATCTGGCGTGGTACACTTAATTTTTCAAGCTTTTCAAGTTAGACTTGCTAGCAAGAAGAAGAGGAGGTTTCCCCCAGACTTCCCTTGAACTGGCCCCTCTGGTCGCTAAAATCGGCCTGACGGCAGAAAAGGGCTAATTCCTCCATCTTCACAAACAAGTTCGATATTCGCACTTACGCAACCAGGCTGGATCTCTCTTAGCCGATTCTGCCAATCTGCTCGAGAGATTTCGCGCATTTTAATTGAGTCAAAGAAAGCCCTCCCTCTCGAATCCTGAGAGAGGAGGAACACTACGTGTGAACTAATCATTAGCACGTCAGAGACAAGTCGCTAGCTAAATTAATTCTCCAAGTTACCTTCCCCGAATGAAACGATGGCCTCTATTATTCATCATTTATTTTTGTTTAACTACACATATCTATAGACATATCTTTTTTATAACGATGACTTTAAATCATGGTTAGGGACATTTTAAAACTAGTCTCTAGTATCCTAAATTCCTCCATCCTCCTTCACAGGCTCTCTCTCTTCCCGTGACCTCTCACTCGCTCAAGCCCAAGTTTGTCAAAGTCGTCATCCACAGTCCAAGTAAATCGTCTCCATCCTTAACTTTCTCGTTTCTTTTTGGATTATTTTCTTTTCCATGCAGGTGTTTTTCTTTATCACCGAATCAATATTTGATAGTTTCTTTCACAATGGCGGTGATTTTTCTCGCTGTCTCAAAGATATCGATATGATGACGTTACAATTTTTACAAATAACGATTCTCCTCCTAAGAATAAGCTTTTACTTTTGTTTGCTGCGAAAATCCAAACAGCATGGAGATCTTAAGCAGCAGGCGTCCTTTAACAACTGAGTAGTGTAGACTAAGTGTACAAGAACATGAACAAAACACAAATTCATAATGTTTGCATAATTTTCCACTCACACACGTTCAGACGACAATGTCAACGAGCCATCAATTCAGATGTCAAATGGAACAGAAATGATTGAACGAGTTTTCATGTTATTGGATCTCTTAAAAATTTTTCGCTTCTATTTTTACACTTTTGATACTTTTTAACAATTAATGATAACTAACGCCCATCATATAGGCTACCATTCTGCTTCGCCATTTGCCTTTTGGAACACGTAGTCCTTTCCTTTCAGATTCATAATTCCGTCTTTCAGGTGGAACTTCCACTTGTTTCGCGAGCGCGCAATCTGAAAGTAAGGAATCATAAAGTCAAGCAAAGAAATGATCCTTGCAGCTGGACTGCAGTTTCAGCAATTATAGGAAAGTAACCTGGAAATACTCGGCCTCGACGAGATTTGAACCCGTGCCTCCTTGATACTAGTTGGGTGGTTACTGCCAACTGAGCTACGAAGCCTGCGTTGAGAGCGAGGGAAATTTTTGGAGGGTTTCTCTTTGCCGTGAAGGAATCAGATCAGAACCAAAGAGTAATGTTCAGCCTGTTAAGTGGACGCTGTCCTAGAAAAGACGGAGTCTGGACTAAACCGCATATCCCAGAGAGAAAGTTTGTTGTATCTCAGACGGGGAACACTCACGAAATAAAATTTTCAGTATTGCAGAATAGATTGTTCATGATCACGCACTTACCTTGTCAAACTGACACACGACAACGTTATCTGTGTCAAACAAATCCGTGGGATCATCATCAGACACGTCATCATCTGAATTAAGAGGATCTTCGTCCTATAATTTAAAGATTTCACATAAAGAATATAAATTATTTCCGCAAAATACTAACAGAAGTAATCGCTAAGCATTTTGTTTGACTTTCAAAATTGCTCGAGTGAAAAGAAAGAAGCAGAATTACGTGATAAATACAGTGGCAGGTTCCAACGAGAGAACATTTATTAGTGCGTTTATCATAACCTTCCATTCTAACTTTTCCTAGGCCCCAAGCCTTTGGTAGAAGTGCTTCCGCGCGAGCGTTTTCTCGCCAGCGAGAAAGTAAGACGCCTTGAGCAAAGCGAGTCAGCCAGAGGTCTGCAGGGGGTCTAACACTAATACTGGAGCAAGACCCCTGGCAAACTTCTCCCCCACTCGTCTCGAATTTTCCCGCGGGCGGAGAACCGCGCGTTCTGCAGTGTCATTAATATGGACCCTCTCGCTGGCTAATACCAAACGAGCGCCTATGTGTACATGTTTTCTAGTCAATGAACTGGTCCAGCTCGTAGTTTTAGGTGAAGAGAGATTGTTAGGGTTACAGGTTGCTGTCTTGCATTAAAGCCTAAAAGAGAGACTCTGAGTATAACTTGAAGCAGATGCTGGTAGAATCACCCACGATACCACTACATCAGTCTCCAGTGTGTGTGATATAGAACATGTTAGGTAATAGAAACTCTGTCAAATTAACAAGTTTACCGCACACCAAAAACACTTTGAGTGGTCATAAAAACGTTACAAGACCAACTAACACTTCACGCCTCAACATCAGTATCCACATCTCCACTGTGTTCTCCACACTGTACTAAAACATGTAGGATCATTTATTAAAACAATCAAGAACTTCATTGTTATTATGACCTTATTGTTGGATTCAATGGAGGTAGAGTGAGAAGAAATTGGATGCTAGCCACTCTTAGGGACTAACGGTTTAAACAAATGTCGGTCAACCCTGTTTCCGTAGCACTAATACACTTACATGTCCATTTAAACCTCTCACTTGCCTAGCAGCTGCACCTAGCGCACATACACAGACATTGACAAGCCCCACACAATTGGATTACAACCGACTGCACTGGAAATTTTTACATGTATAATCCCTAATAAACTGTACAAACTTCTAATTCAGCTCCTTCTTCTCCTCCATCTTGAGATTTGTCTTTTTTGTCTTCGTCGTCGTCATCATCATCATCGTCGTCATCATCATCACTGTCACTATCATTAGCCCCATCAACTTGAATGACTGGTACCCCTGAAGGCTGAAAAGCAGATATCAAATTTATTTTTCAAATAAATTCATTGTAGAAAAGAAAAGGATTAAAAAAAAGAGATGAAATAATTTTGTTTGGTTTAAATAGAACAAGAGGGATGGTAAGTTTTGAGCTCGGTAGAGAAATAGGGAAAGATTTTTATCGTCTTGTCACGAGCGTGGGACAAAGAAAAAATTCCGAGTCCTCACAAGGAATCGAACCTCAGACCTTCGGATTCCACGCTCCGATGCTCTACCACTGAGCCACAGAGACTCTGGGAACTCAGAGGTTTTTATTGCTCTACGCTTGTGACAAGATGATAAGTATCTTCCTCTATTTTTTTTAAGTGTTTGTTAATTTTTTTTGGATAAAACTGCAAATGGTAGAGTAAACCATAAGTTTTGTCTATAGGTATACGTGTGTTTGTGCACAGTGAGGTTAAGGGGAAATCTAAACCTTTTAGTCCCAGAGGAAAATTTGTCTTTCAAGTATCAACACATTTTCGGCAGAAATGAGTTGAGAAGAGACAAAAATATCAACTTAAGGATATTGTTTGATTTAGCAATTCTCAAAGCAAAAATCAAAAGAAATATAATTATGACAGAAAGTGCAGATAATTTAAAATTTTGATCTTATGGGTGAGAGGGTTCATAGGGTTTGTTGTATAGGAAAATACAAGTTAAAATGCTTCATTTATAGTATTGGAAGGTAGGTGCCACTAAGGTAGTGACAGAGAAGAGCAGCAATCTTCCTGGCAACAAGGAGGTCACCTTCACAATGGACCCACTGCCAACCCCAGTACAAATACAATAAAAAGTTGAAGGAGGGGGTGGAGGGAAGTAAAGCAGTAAAGAAAAATGAGCAAATGTACATGCACAAGGCAATGCCCTTGCAATCCTCCCTTGGACTCCTAGTCCTGAAACTAGACTACACAACCACCCCCACCCCCCTCCAAGGAGTCACCCTAACAAGGTTGTGCCTCTTAAAGGTTTTACTAATAACAGTAGCTCTCTACTAACATGTTTATTTCCTGTCGGTAACTGAGCCATTTGGATAACCTGCTGTGGGACTCTGGCTGCAGATGTCTGAGCGCCATGGACAATTGCAGTTTGGGGTTGTGCATGAATGACTTGTTGAGTTCCAGTAATTGTGCGAGGTTGTGTAGCATTTATAACTTGCTGTTGAAGGTTTCCAACTTGTGGTGTTGAGTGTATTGTCCTCACGGTGGGATATACTGTTTAAAGTACAAATAAAATAAAGAATAAAAAAATGTGGTCTACAACTAAACACATTTTAAAAGTTTTGTACTATTTCAAAATTATAAAATAATAGTCAGTGACTATCAATGACCCTACAGGTTGTAAGATGCAGATGTTATGCCCAAAGTCAGATGAAAATGATTAAGTAATGACGACAATTTTCCTAAAGTTTTTCTAAAAAATATCATATTTCTTTCATTTTCAAAGAGTTCAAATAACCCAAGCACAAATTCCATGAACCTCTGAGCAGGACAATGATATTGTACAATTCCACGCCTTTCATAATTTTCCACGACCCCATGACTACAATGTGTACATTGCACAGAATGTATTGTACATGTACATCTGTTGTTTCATTACCATTAACAAAATCAATACTAATAGTAATAATAATAATAATAATAATGTGTCCAACAAGCTCACCATATGTACTACCTTGCTGAATTTGGGACAGGTTTTCAGGAATGGCCATTGTTGCTGCTGAAGCTGCAGCTGTCTAAAGTAAACAATGATATTAACCTGACTTATAACCAAGGCATGTATAACAGAAATCACCTAAATACCTGTACATTTTTGTAAGAGGCAAAAACACAAAAATAATGGAGAGGTGCTCTCTTTCATTTATCACAATGGAAACTACCCTCTTTTCGCAACAGGAATAGATGAAGAGGAGGGGAAAGGTGTTTTTCCTCTTATCACCAGTATAAGACAAAAAAAATAATTCTGAGTCCCCATGAGCATCACCACTCTGATGAAGCAGAGGATCGGTGAAAACTTAGAAAAAATTAATGACAACTCGCATTTATTGATCACATCTGCAGCAGTGTAATATCTTTGTTCTTTGAAAAAAAACATATATATATATATATATATAATGATCATATATACTTAAAAAATCCATTGCACATTCAACAAACACTGCTTCTCATACCATTTGACTAAGTGCATGAGCATGAGTTGATGGGTACAATATAGCTGTGTGTCCACTGGCTGCTTGCTGGGGAGTTGCAGCTTCAGGTACAGTTACAGCTGCAGGAGCAATATTTACTATAAAAATCAAAAGTTATAAACAACCATTAATGAGGTCTGTTTATTTAAATTGTAGTTATTCAACAAAATGAGAAAAACCTTGAATCCACATGCACAAGACACCCACATTTGTCTTGTCTTCACCACAAATAGGCATAAGAAAAAGAAAAAGGATTTACTGTGAGCTCAGGAATGACAAGACAAAAGATGTTATCCCTATAATTCCCATGAATGACCAAGGTGGATTTCTCCTAACAACATCAAAACAATATTTTGCAGACAAGAGATGAGAATGAAGAAAAAGGTCAATTAGGGGGATTATTACTTGATCCAATACCAAATTCTCCAAACAAACATCATAAGGTTTGTGTAGCTGACAGTAGGGAGAATTACTAACAAGATGTTTGGAGTGAAAGGGTTAATCATATGGTCATGAGAGTGGACAAAACACAACACAAGGAATTGAACCCCATGGCTTCTGATCCAGCTTTGCCATGCTCTACCACTGCCTTAAAGAGAACTCTTCAGCAAACTACATGTAACCCATTGCTATGTTCATAATAGATATGCATCCTGAAATAAGCTTCACATGCATGAGACATTTCAAATGATCCTTTTTCAAAGGGGTAGAAGGTAAGGTCACATGCACTCTAAAAATTTTCCTTCCCCTGATAGTCAGACCTATGATGATCATACCTTCTCTAGGTTCCTGAACTTGCCGGGCAATAGGTGGACCATGAGGGTAAGTGTACTGGTGTGGTCTGGTCACCTGGTGACCCTCTGCTGGCATCCAATCTACAGCTCTCGACTGAAGGAGCTTACTTTCCCAAATCTAAAGAAATGAAAGTTAGTCATTAACTCATTGTTGAAAATGCAGTATTTGAAAAGGGATCCTATCTCTCTTTTTCAATAAAATTACTGTGAGGTCCCAACAAATTTTACTAGTATAGAGCAAGATTTGATGTAAAATATTTGAATATTGACCTTTCTATTTACTTTGAAGGTGTTTATCTTCTTCAGTTCATAATTGAAATAATGGATTTTGTTATTCATTTGAATAATCTACAAGTACTCTTCTACTAATAGGACAAGTTGATTTACATCAGTATATAAAAGAGTGGCTGTTTGACTCAAAGTGTGAAATCATACAAATCAGTGATCTTGGATCATTTATTATGCAAGCCAGTTAGCTTGGCATTCAAGCCATCCAAGTTTAGCAAATAATTGGTGAAAATGCAGATCTCATATCTAAATCAAACTTAAGTGTTAATTTTTTTCAAGATTCTGACTTCATTCATAACCCTAATCAAGCCCAAATTTCCTAGACATTGACAAGATTCTGACTTCATTTATTACCCTTGTCAAGCCCAAATTCCCTAGACATTGACAAAAATGGTAAATTTATCAAAATTAAAGGTTCCTCTCTTGGACAAGTGAATTTTTTAAATATGGAAAAAATTTCCATTTGTTCCAAGACAGATCTTGGCAATCAGTTTGTTTACATTTCCTGTGGAGTCATCTCACATTTGACATCTGGCAAAAGTGTACCACCAGTTCTAAAAAATAAAAATCTCACATTTTTTTTGGCTAAGGGTTATAAGAAAATTCAGTGTAGAAGGAAGTCTATCTAGTGATCAGGCATTACCAAATACTGTCAAATGCAAAAAAAAAAAAAGAAAAAAAAAACATGCTTCAAGGGAAGGATTTGGGGATATGTTCTCCCTCAAATTGGTTAAATTTCAATAACCTGAAATGCCATTTCAGCATTTTCCTGGGGTTTTCTCTCATTAAAATTACAGAATATCCAGAGTGTCTGAGAACCAATTTTAACTCGGGTAAGTACAGACGAAATACTGTGTCACCCCTTCCCCGATTAACTAACCACTCTGACCCAGTGCCTTATGACACATTTTGCTCAGCCTGTGTACCTAACCACTCTAATCCCTTCTTTGCCAGTACTCGACAATTCTTGCTCTACACGAATAACAATGGCGTCCAAAATGACGGTACAAATACTGTGACAAACAATCGGATTGGTAAAGGATGGGGATTATAAATTTTCGTGAAGCTTGATTAGAAATGAAGGCTTCTTTCTGCACGAGCGCATTCGTCAATTCACACTTTGGGAGTTAAATTGATCATATGGTGAGAGAAAGCTGGAAAAAGCCCAGCTGAGTCTGTGAATGAATCACCGAGCAAATAAAAGAACACAAAAATCACAATTTCATGGAAATTTTCCCTTTAACTCTTTGAAACATTTTTAATGTTTCACAGAATGTGGAATAGGAGCAAAATTTAGATGAATCTTTCCTTCGTCAATATTTATGCGCGTCACAGGTTTTCGCACATTCGTGGACGACTCTCGTGAAGGAAGAATTATGGCGCTGTCTACTGGGTCGTTGTTTAACATCAACAGGAAGACGATAATTTGAAGATTTGTCTTTTCTTGTTTACTCTGCCTCATTAACCGCTCTCTTACCTGTTTTAATTCTTGAAGGACTTGTTCATCGACCCCTTCGTTCAAGAAACTGTCTCGCACATTCTTGATCACTTCTTCGATCACGCCACTATATATTTTGGGCTGTTAGAAAAAAGGTCTTTAATGGAATGGTCAAATTTCTATCACAAAAACGCACTAAATTCGTTCCCTAAACTTACTACAACATTTGAAGTCGCCATTCCGAGCGCTTGTTGACGAAAGTCCAGTCTCTCCTTAACGCTGGGCTTTCAGGAAAGCCACCTTCTTCTTCGCGGCGAGGGATTTATATACTAACAACAATGCTGCCAATAGGGGGGTTCCTTTTATTGCCCTCGACTGAATCCCTCTAGGAGAACGCAGAAAGCATGCAAGGATCCATGGGATCGAGAAGTATTCTTTCTTCGGTTATCTTACCCCTTCCTATTTTATAAAGATACACAGAGAAGCCAGAGAGGCTTTCAAATTATTTTGAAAAAACAAAAACAATTAACCTAGGGGTCTGAAAACACGGAAGGAATTAAATGATTGTCTTTTTTTTTAATTATCATTTTTATATCAAATTAATTGTTTGTTTAATAGTCGTCTAGTCGTGGACCATATCATTTCATTTTCGTCGCTACATTGAAAGTGATTTCACGTAATTCACGTGAAATGCGAATTCTTGTTTCACCCGCAGAGGAGGACTGGTTTGACTCGCCAAAAAAAAATTGATCACAAATTTAAAACAATTCGTCGCTGCGTTGGGTCTCTGCTCCAGTCCGAGGAATTCTTTAAAAAAAAAAGGTTGATCGTCTTGAAAGCAACACACAAAAATATTCAGCCTTTTTTTCTTTTCTTTTTTTTTATTGTGGTACGTTTTCCTAAAGTAGGCTTTCATTTTTCTCTCCTGGTAAGATAAGATAAGAATTCTGAATGGATCTTCTCATCAAGCTCCCACGGGGATTCTCGAACACCCCTTCGTTGGTAGCGTTTATTGAAAAAATTACCAATTTTCAATTGAAGGTGTTCAAGAGAGGTTCCTTTCCCTTTTAAATTGGAATAGAATCGGCTGAGGAGCTGAACTCTGATGTGGAGTATAATACTCCGAGGAGGTTTTGAACACCTCTTTTTAAGAACATCGTCGTTCAAGTCGTCGTAAGTCTTTCAGGAAAACGCTGAACTAACGAATCTACGTTGGTCTGAAAGATAAAAAAGAGTTTTGACGGTCGTGCTGTTTGGTATGTGGGTCGAATTACGGTAAAATAAAAATAATTCAAGATCTAGCCCTAGACTGTGTAGATTGATCTCTCACGCAAAGATTTGATAAGCTAATTAAACTGAGCCATCTTTTCAAAGTGAAATTCTGTGAAGGATGACAAAATTAAGTATCAAAATTGCACCCTAAACAAATTTTGCATCCTTTTCTTGATATGAAGTTGAAAGCCGTCGATCTGTGAACCATACGCGGGTCTGTACAAGTTTCTTTACCGCAGTTTGTTGGCTCTCTTAGGTCAATAACCTTTAATTACTTGCGATAACGATTTGACAGTACAACGGAAACAATGCTAGCTTTCTGAAAAAGGTTTGATGAATTTTAAGTGTTCCAAACTCCGAGGGGGAATGTGTCAGGAGAACGCTTAAAAGAAGATAAAAGAATTACTGTTTCGTGCAAATACCGACGTTGCAATCTTAGATGATGAGGGAAGGGGGGGATTTTAAAGCGTATTTAAATTTAAGAAATTTAAGTGTTATAATCTGTCGAATCTTAATACAACAATGTAAGAATGATTTGTGCGATCCAGCCTTCAATAGAGTTCCAATGACAAATGATTAAGAACAATTTAACCTGGTATGCGGTTATGCATTTTCGCTGCTAACGCACACCGATATCATTTCCAAACCCACAGAAAGAGCCATTGTTGCTCCGATAATCCTCAAACTTCTTCAAATTCAACCAAATTGATTCACTGAGCCAAGAAGCTCCTCATAAAAGGCATCTTTTTCTCTCTAAACCTCAGGCCTGCATTTTATCACGGGATACTTTCCTAGTGATGCTATCTAATAAGATAGATAGTTTATCGTGAACACATTTCCGTTAGTCCCCCACAAAACTTGACCAAGACAAAACAAAAAACAATCGGTTACACTCAAAGGAAAGGATGCTTTTTTTAGCTGACGAGATAGTAAATGAACATCTATATAAATCACGATTCTTATCTGGCTACATTGACTGAAGACAAATTCGCTGGATACTATCATGTCGCCCCAAATTCTTTTAATACTCTTCGCAGTGTTCGCTTCTTGTCTTCAAAGAAGTACTGCAATGGATTCTGACGAATCGTTCAAGTCATTGCTCGGAATGCAAAGTCGGGACAGGCCACCGAGCAATGACTCAGTCACAACGTCAGCAGAAAATTCAGCAGATTATATGTTACGTCTCCTTAAGATGTTTGGTCCCATCCAAGGAAACACTATGCTTGGTTTCACAGATATTGGTGAGTTGATTTGTAACCAGTGCGAAATTTTTTTGATTCCAAATGTTAAAACGTGTTGTGGTCTGGTCTCTTTTCACCTGCCGATTCACTGAGCGGGGTAGTGGGGTAAAATGCTTGCCCAGATAACGGCTACCTTAGTGTTTCCACAGGCTGTCTTCCAGCCTCATCCGTTTTACTATCATTGCGGAACACAACTCAAGTTAATTTCAAAAGTGCATTTTCCCTTATAATTTTTAAGATCGTCCGATGTACTTTTTCCTTTCAATTTCGTATGACAAACCTTTTTCTCGCTTGTTAATTTTTTGGGTTTGTGTGTAGATACTGTATCTGTTTTCTTTACTAACCCTTTTTTCGCGTGATTTTGTACCTAAACTCTATGCAATCGAACCATCTGGGTCTCTGATAATTTTTCTTTAACTTTTACTCAATACCACATAAATAAGTTTATCTGGGTGTGACAGCATCACTTCTTCGCAATGTCGTGTTTGGATCTTCGGTTGATGCTAAAATTAGCCCGTAGATGTCCTCTGTGGCTAAGAGATGAACTAACTTGTGAACTCATGAAGTTTGCAAAGTCCTTTGCGAAACACTTTCGACTTCTTCGTGAAAATTTTCCCAATCTTGCTTGGAAAGGGGAAAAAAGGGTTTACAACCGATCATTGCTGAGGAAGAAACCGCCTTAAAAGTTAGTTGTTCCCACCAGTTCTCGAACTCGCGAGTCACGGTTAGCTGAGGGACGCAAGGTAGTCAGTGCCTGCTGAATTTGACATTAAGACTTGCAATTAAATTCTGGAGGCTAAGCAATGCACTTTTTTCGCAGAGTAGGTAATTCGATCGTCTGACAAACCAAAGCTTAAAACCAAGAGAACGTACCAGAAATAAAAGGCAGAACAAGTATTGATTACTATCAATTTGATTTCCGTCGATTATGCCTGATGGTATTGTTATGAAATAATAATCTACAAACGCATTAAAAACCATTTTGTTCCTTAAGTGGTTTCATGTTAATTGAGGTATGATGCCCTGACGATATTGAACATGGCAGGAAATAAAATTATTAAAAATTGATTAAAATCTAGACGTCTTATCAATTGTTTTGTCCTAATTTAAGGAAAGCTAAACGCTAGCTTATTCTGCCTGTTATTCTTCTGACTATTCTGACATATCATTTGGCAGCGGCATGATAACAATCCCTCCGTGAATACCGCCTGGTTTGGGGGAGGGGAGGAGGGGATAGGTTATTATACGGTTAGACATCGCTTTGATATTATCTATTCATAATGAAATATTATATGCGAAAAGGAGTCCACATAAAAATGCACTGATCACGTCTACAACTGCTCTTAGAGGAAGTTGCATATGTCATTTTGTTTCTCTTATCTTCTCAGATGGCAAGAGCGACAGGCATCTGAAATTTAATATTTCATTTCAAAGAACGAAAGTGCTGACATTTGCTGAACTTCAGCTTTACAAACTTCCTCTCAAACTTCCCCACGAAAATTTCACCTCGACAGCATCAGTCTTCATCTTCGACATTCACAGTGGACAGAGGTTGTCATCTCAAACTGTCTCCATGGAGACAGTTGGTTGGATAAACTTTACATTACCATTGGACGTCATTAATGAATGGAATGAAAAGCCAGATCGAAACACTGGAATCAAAGTGAACATCAGCGACACAACGATGTCACCTTTAATCAGATTTGCGACAAAAGAAATAAACTCTAGTTTGGAAATGCTTCTTCTCATTCATACCACGGATCTGTCGAAAAGTTTCCCGAAACTGGGCATCAATTTCACACCCATCGCTAACCCACCGAGGCGCATGCGCAGGTCATTACACCCCAATCATAAAGGACCTTGTGGACGTCACGAACTGAGCGTGCATTTTAAAGACCTAGGGTGGGATAAGTGGATTATTGCCCCCAGTAAGTACTCAGCGTATTACTGCGCAGGAAAATGCAAAAATGCTGACGTCAACATAGAGACAACAAATCACGCCCGGATACAGTTATTCTTAAGTGAACATGACTCGAACCCGCCAGCTTCACCTTGCTGCGTCCCAGGCGAATTAGGATCCATTGACCTGTTGTTCAACGGCGAACCAGGGCAAAGCACTTACATCCTCAAGAAAATGGATGAATTTGTAGTGATGTCCTGTGCCTGTCTGTGACGACGCAAAACCAAACAGACAACGCAAAACCACAGCTCGCCCAAGACGATTCTCTCCTTCCGCCAGGGGAGAGAAGAGTCACAGAAGAACTTATTCTTATGTTTCAGGCTGGCAAGATGTTTTACTGAGTTGACATCTTGTTACACAGGATTTTTTAGACTTGTAGATATCGGACAGTCAACCATCTACAAACATGACGGAGAAATTCAATTTGTTTTTAGCTGAAACTAAAAGTCGTGTAGATGACTTTCGTGACGATCTTATCAGTATAGCTTTTCAATGCGAAATTGATTACCTAGATTAGCCTTTTCTCTTTCTAACAAAATTTAGCAACCGCCTGATCGACCGCAAATAAAGAAAGATATATGAAAAAGTAACTAAATCAGCGTTTATGGCACCAACAAGGAACTATTTAGAAATAGCATTTTCACTCGTTGAAAACAAAAATCGAAGATGTCTCCAGGAAAGTGTGCAGTGAACTGGAACCCACGATCATTTGAAATAGAATCATTCTGAAACACAGACCGGCTGAGCGGTCCATAATGGTAATTGATGGAAGTGGAATGCTATTTGGTCTAAAATGATACGAGTGACTTCAAAATTGAACGGGCGCACAACGCAAGTTTAATTTGAAATCACAAGTATGATTTCAGACCAACTGAAACCGCATAACACGAAGTTCAGCTATCACTTTCTTACATCCATTTTTGAAATTGCAAATTTCAGGCGCTAAAATACAATTATTTCCTCGTCTGTACGAATAATTTTATGATCCAGTACTAAGCTGGTTTTCAAAAAGTTGCGAGTGTTATCTTTCATTTTCCTCTTATTTGATTGGTTACTTTAAACAAGCCTTGAAAACTGATTAGTTGCTGTTTTAGGTTTTTCATTAGCTGGGAAAAAGGTGCGATTTGTAGCAAAAAAATGGTGCCATTCGTGTACGACTCGCATCGATGAAAACCATTCAGATTGCATGGATCAACAGTGATTTCAAATGGATGTATAAGTCGAAAACGTTCTTTAGTGGATAACTACGAAACCCAAACGCAGAGTGGAAAAGGTAGCCCGGTTCGGAAGGTGTTGAATGTTCTTAGCAGGCCGGAGAAACGCAGAGAGGAGTGTGCTAAGAACAGGTCCAGAGAGGGAAGAGTAAAACACCAAATGATCCAAGAATAAGAAAGTCAGGCTGGAATAATGAGCACCTTAGCAATCAAATCACAATTAAAGAGCACCACTTGCGGTTTTATTGCACACTGACAAATAGGAGTGTTTGCTAGTGTAACTTTCACGAGTTATCAGCGCTATTCAATTATTTTAAAACAATGACCTGATCTAGTATTTACAATCTCATTTTTGATTAATACTTGGAAGCGATTCTTAAAAAGCACTTTAAATTATTTTTCACGATTACATTAACGGGCCATTTGATGCAAAATACCATCTACATAAGGACATTTTTTAGCCTTCACCAAAACCCTTTTAATTTCAAAACAACTCTTTTCATTGGCACGGAATAACCCTCGCAACTCATGCCAAGATCTTCGAATAAAATGGATTTCTGCATGTGAAGCAAAACTGCCTGATTCTTTAAACCACACGAGACAGTCATTACGAAAAAGCGTTCAAATGACGCAGAAAGAAGGGCTGGACTGAACTGTCATCGATCAGGAATCCTACCTGTTTCCAAAGTAATACGAGGAAAGTCACGTTTCTGACGATTATTCCAGGCGATTGTAAAACATGATAAGTTAAATCTACTCTTTTACAACTTGATAAGCGTACGGTTAAGCGATGAAACTTTGCTAAACATTGAAAAATATATTAGATGCTTTTATGATTTACAATTCTTTAAGTTGATTAAATCTGTGAAAGTGTAAGTAAGAATCGTGTTGGCGCGAGCAATAAAGAAACTTTAATTTATAAAAAACGTATCGATTTTAAACATAACTTCTTGTTAATTTTGTTGTTGTCGTTGTTGTTGTAATTTTGTGGCAAACAAATTTTGCTCGAGTGAGCTACAATTCTCTAGAAAGCATATTGTGAATGTAAAGCAGGAAAAAAAAAACGTTGCTCCTAGCTGCCGACGCAATAAGCCATGATTGAATTATGGCACTATCTAATGCTGCAATGATTTGCCTCATGAATAAAACCTTGTGACTTTCATATGAGGACAAGTTTCCACATCGAGACACTTCTATCTCCCCCAGTATATAAATTTTCTCCAACCACTTTTTGACCCCACCCCACAAATTTGAGAAAATATTCATTAGGCCTCCATTAAACTTTAACTCAGTAAAAAAACCATATTTGGTAAGGTATTTTAAACCTCTAAACCTAAATTTCACAAGAAAATCATTGTAAAAGATTAGCTTTGAACAAATATTGGAAGTGAGGTCTTGGCTTAAGACCCTACAAGGTAAAGTTTGAAAAGTATATAACGTCAGCAATGAATTACGTATGGATATAATTTTGTGTGCAACTTCAAACACAAAAAGGCGCATCACTGCTGATGCATTGGGTAAAGATAAAAACGTAATAGTACAATTCTATGTTTAAAATCACTGATGAATACAAAACTAGTGAAATACTGATGCAGGGTGAGTGCCGAACTAAGGTAAAGTATTCAAAACCACTGCTGAGATAGAGGTTGACTATGTTAACAGTGCGTTCCCATTGGTAATTTTTTCAACCGTCATGGTAGCGCCAAGACAGAAATATTCTGATAATCTGACGATGGTACTTTCGTTCAATGTCTTCGCCTTCTTTTTCCACCGGATATTGCAAAGTGGTTTTCAATGCCCAGTACCGCCATCTTTCGAGAAATGCCGACGGCCTCTGAATAATTTGCGAACATATATTCAGAGGAAACTTTACCCGTCTCGATCTGTTGACTGAACATCCACAGAGGTTAATATCTTCCTCGCAAGCAAGTCAAGGGAAGCTGTTGACGAGGTGCTTCGGAACCCTGGGTTGTAGTGTCGGTGTATCGAAAGTGCGCCTGCAATACACTGCACGAGTCAGCGGGCTTTTATCCTCCAAACACAACAGATCTGAGAAGTCCTTTGACTCAAAAAGGCTTCTATAGGCTCGTCTGTACTCTTTGTCGAAGGCATCTGAGAAAGTAGTCATGGTAATAAAATCTTTAATTACAAAATGTGTTGAGAAATTCACTAATAAAAAGTGGGGGAAAAGAAACGAGTATCTCCAAGTAACTTGTATTTTGTTCGCAAGGAGGTTTTACTAATAAAAACCGCATTACTCTGCTTGATATAAATTTCCTTAGACTTAAGGGAAAAACTTTGATTACCCACCGACGTCAATGTTCTCTGCTCCTAAGGCTGTCAGTGACAAGTAAAGCAACTCTCGATAAACACTCCTGACGGGAAGAAAATTTACATTTGTTAGGAACAAATATTCTCGACTTTCAAGAGCGCTTTGAGTGCCCTCGAGGACAAAAAGCGCGTAAAAACAGGTCAATAAATTTATAATAAATACGTATACAAAAATAGTTTAAGAGAAAATTGAAATCAAAGTAGTCACAAATGCCAGGCTTGGAAGAACGCGAGTGGCCAAGTTGTGATTAATTTTGCAGTTAAAATTGATTCCAAGAGGGGGGCAAGTTTTCAAGAAAATTAGATTGCAAAATAAAGCAGTCACTGCAGTCCTGCATTTCATTCCACAGTTAAACACTGTTTCGAGTCTGGTAAGACACTTACCATTTTGCGTTAGGGTTGATGTTCTTTTGCCGGTTTCGTTCCTCCAGCAGTATTAAAGCTGGGCTGTAAACGTCGTTTTCCTGAATATGAGCCACTACTGACTGCAATACACTGGAGATGAGGCAAAGAAAAACAACAGGTGATTACAGGGGTCACGGTATCACACGCTGATCTATAAATGATCTCACAGGTATATCAAAACAAATATCACTGGGACATACACTGAGTCGTCCTTCGTCAACTGATTATAGAACGAATTAAATTAATTTCAGAGTGCAGTCTCGTGGAGAAAGGAAAATCCGGGGAATGACGAGAACTAACAACAAACTCGCCCTCATGTGACACCAGGTTCTGGAATCGAACTCAGGCTACAGCGTTGGGAGGCGAGCCATTCCGATTCCCTCTTCCCCCCTTCTCCATAACAAGGAAAATCCTTACGCCCTAGTAGTAAGTCCTTTGTCCGTCAGTGATCCTTGCTGATCCGCTACAGGGGCAAACAAACAAAAAAAATTTTGAATTATTATTTTCCTTGTTAACTTTTTCCTCAAGCAAACACTAGTCGCCTGAAGTACATTATCAGAGCCACATGCGCAAATATTAGTTAAAGCCTGGCAGAAGGAAACTTCAAAAGAAGATGTAACCATCATCAATACTTGCTGAAAGAAACGACCCGAATGTCCACGGTGAAGCCTAATCTCTTAAAGAAATCAAAGCGACATTGAAAGTAGTGCTGGCTAGCAAAAAATTCTGCTTTTGACATTAGCTCCTTGTTCAAGGAAATAACTCTCCATTTTTCGATCATAACGCATGGGAAAAAATTCTTCTTACCAGCAAAACAGTTAATGTATAGCTCTTGCCTGGAAAAATTACCGTTAAATAGTACAAACCTGGCGCATTCCACAAAACGTACAATGGGACCGTGTCATATTCCTCCCTGTCTCCATCCCACGAAGTGGACACAAGGACCTGGGTTCCAAGTCCTGAGATACTGCGCCGCTCCTATCACGTGATCAATTAGACAGACTTGATGTATGAAAAAACATGCATGATCGATAGACGCCATAAAAGTCCGTTAAAATAAAAACCAATTCAACGCGGGTATCCAACTGGCCTGAAGGGCTCTATGATTGTCTTCAAAGGATTTCCGCTTGGGGCACAAGAATAATTTGATTTCTGCTTCACTGTTTAATTTCCAGTAACATATGCACAGAGAAGTGAGAGTAGATCGTTCTAGCTTGAAACACAACGACGAGAAGCGACATTCAGTGTAAGAATAAAAAGTATCGTGTTCGTAAATGTTAACTTTTTAGCCCAAACTGCCGATGTGTACTAACGACCACGAAGACCTTTCAGAAAGCGATTGACAAGTAAAATTTCTTGGCAAAGATGTAATGGCATTAAATACACTCATCTGCCTGATTTAACACTAAATTCGACCAACCATTTTAGGAAGAAATGAATCACAGCAAGAAAAAGGTTACGTTTCTTCACCTCGAATCTGTCAGCTCTTTCGTTGCTGGGGTAGGTGGACAACACGTGATCTGCCAAGTGCGAGGGCAGGTCAAGCCTTTTAAAATACCAAACCTGAGGGGAAAAAACACATCATTCAAAACTAGTAAGATTTTCAAATGGTTCCCTAATTTTCGAGGAGGGAGGAAGGAAGACAAATGCACTGGATTCAAACCAAAAGGACCGTAAATCCTCGAATATTATCTTTTCATGTGTATTAACAGATAAAGTTTGATTACACTTTCTTGCAAGTGTGGCTCGTAGACGTTTAACTTTGCAATTGTCCCACGTTTTTTAGGAATGAATAAAATCTTTCTCATTTCGACGACTAAGCTTGAGGTTCACAGCATATCTACTATTTCTATTCCCACTATTTCTTAAAAAGAAATATAAACATGAATAAACTTCTGTAAGAAAAAAAAATATATAGAAATTCGTCTCACCAGATTCCAAAAGATGTCAGGTTTCGCTTGCACGACGTCAGGAAATTGTAGTGTGCTGATGCCATCATTTTCAAACATATTTTCAAGTTCTTTTCTCAAAACCAAAGGATTAAGGTAAGTGACCATAATATTATCCCTTTCTTCTGGAGGTCTGGATACTGTAAAGAAAGAGAGAGCAAATCAATTCAAGGTGTCACAAAAATCACCTATATTAAGCTATCAGATTTGTGAGGAAATAATTTTTTTATAATGATAATAATAACAATAATATAAAAGAATTAAATTGCGCCATTTCCACAAAGTAACCAACAGCGATTTACAATATTAAAAGTTAAATAAAAAAATAATTAATAGAAAACCAATTGAAAATACATTTAAACGAAAGGTCTAAGCCCCATTATTAAAACTATACGATGTCATAAATAAGCTTAGATTTAAAAGTGGTCAACGACTTGCACCTCCTTATATCCTCTGGAAGAGAATTCCATAATACTGCTGCGTCAGATGAAAAAGCTCTTTGATTTCATCCTAGTATTACAAGTAAAGTTATGCTAGAGGAGCGCAATGTTCTCGGAGGAATGTAACGCTATAAAACTTCCTGTTTCGAGACTATTGCTTTGCAACCTTTAACTTTTCAGAATCATTCAAGACTTCAGCTGATACTTTAAAGCTAATTTCAACAGAAAAATTAAAGTAAAAAAGACGCCCAAAAATTATCCTTTTTTTTTATCTTCAAAAGTTCATCAGTCAATCTTTACTTACCGTACCACGTGCTTCCGTGGCTACAGGTGCTGTTGCTACTACGCATGCGCTGAAACCATGATCCAGTCCTCGGGCTGCCATGCAAGCTCCCCGAGGGACTGGCGTTGGCGCTTGACGGTGCACTGATGCTGTGACGCATTCGATGGTGACTACCCCGTATGGGGACGGGATTAGAGGCAGGGGGAGACAGCGCAACGACACTTATTGGTCGCGTGGGAGCGGAGAACTTGATAAGATTAGATTCAATCGTCGAAGGCACCGAGTTGCTTAGCGGTTCGGAGGTCGGCTCCACTTCGCCATTCCCCGGCAGAAGTTCGGAACTTCCGAAGCTGTTAATACTTGACGATAACTCTGAACTTGGATGCGATGAAAAACAATTCCGGTAATCCTTGGAGGAAACGATAGAGGTTAAATGGTAAAAGCAAGCAGTAGTATTCGGGTGCAAGACAAGAACATTTTTGCGACAGTCTAACCTTTTCTTCACTTTTTTCCCTCTAAAGAGTATATTACATTCATGCAACTTGGGAATTTCGCTTTTCGTAAATGACAACCTCAACGTTTTGGATACAAATCAATACAGCCAGAAAGAGAGAAACCTTAAGGCTTAGCAAATGAGGAAAAGTGTTCGCTGAATGCATAACTTGAGGGATATGGGATATAACGAGAACGTAAATTGGCCACAGTAGAAAAATTTGAAAGCTGACGTTTCGAGCGTCAGCCCGTCAGAGCGGATTCACGCTCGAAAAATCAACTTTAGAATCTTTAGAATTTTTCAAGGTACCTTGATCTTTACTGTCAGTCTTGCGACCTGCTGTGTATGGCAGTAGGGGCATCTGTACAAAGAGATAAAATAAGAACGTATAGGAAGGAAAAAGGCAAAATAGCAGTTTAAGAATATGACAAATTAAACAACAACAAAAATCGGCTTTTTAGCTTCGAGGTGGTTTAAGTCATAAGGAACCTTCAACTAACTTTTTCATATCAAGGGTCACCAAAACGTCTGAATAACTTTTCGTTGCGTCATCATCATTATCATTAACTCACCAAGCTAGAGTTTTCAGCTTCGTGACATCTGTTCACAATATCTTAAAATTGAATAATCTACAGCATCTAACGAGAAAATGTCTGACGCTGCTCAAAGACTTCCAGTTTGTCACAATATTTTTACTATCCCAAGGTACTTTCTGGAAGCCTTTTCTATATTCTCAACAAGCAAACAAATTCGCAGGCTACACAGCCTACACGCATGCGTCATGAGAAGCCCTACCCGGTGTTAAGGTTGGACTCATCTGCTGTCCAGCCAGCCAAGATGTCTTCATCGTAAAGGTATCTCCCACATTTAGTACACTGGTTACACGAACACAACACAGCTTCCAGTGCAGTGTCAGGCTGTAGAGCAGCAGGAAGGCCAAGAATGACATCATCCAACATCCTGGTGGTGTACTCATACGGATCAGAGTCCTCACTGTTGGCATTGATATACAACGTGGAATTCTGCAAACCATCGCTAAACGCAGCTGATAACACCGACGTTTCGCTGACAGTTCTACCGTTCGTGCGCCGTTTTCTTCGTGTGGAGGACGCCACACCGTCCAGCGACGTGGTGGACAGGTTCAGAATGTCTGCTGCTTCAGAGGCCGTAGACATTTCGCTGATTGTTCGCTCGCGCCGCGATTTGATCTCTCTATCTGGAGTGCGTCTACCTTCACCATCATTCGACTCTCCCAAGTCAAGCAAGCGTTCGTGTGACAGGGCTTTCTCGCGTTCGCGTGACGGAGTGCGTGACCGGTCGGATTTTTTCAGTGTCGCTCTTCTAGGCGTGTCTAGTAGATCTAAGTCGTTGTTTGACCCGGTCGGGGACAAGGAATCTAGGAACAAATTACAAAGGAATAACCTCACTCCACCATGTTTGTGTTATAAAATCTGTGAACCACAAGGAATGGAGAACAGCAGACGAACAACAAATTAAGCTTTAAGGAAAAGTGCTACTTTTTTTTTTTTAGTCCTTGTCTTATAGGAGGTGAGAGAACATTGGTTCAATGAGATAAGGAATACACCACAGAAGAAGAACTTATCCAAGTTAGAACAAGGATTGCAGAGGACAGGCGAAAAACGATGATTGGAACGACCTACAAAAAAAATTCAAATTTCCGTTTACCTCCTTTGTTATTCTTTGCTAATCTCGCTAGTCTTTGAAGCTCATATACAGCGGCAAAAAAATTCCTTAGTTTATTCCACATGTGTGAACTGGTCGTGTTGGAAGGCCATTTGCCCTCGATTACAGCCTGCGAAAAAGAGAAAAAAACCATCAACTATGACGTAACACAAACACTGAATGCAAAGGTTCTGTCGCGATAAAGAATTATTACTTTTGTGATTCGCGACCTTTTGGCAATTACCTTTCAAGAGATCTTTCTCCATACTGCGAGCGAGATGTGAAAAAATGTCGTGTACTGGCCTCAAAGTGAGAAAGCATGATAGAAGGTTTTTAAAATTTCTGATCAGTGAAAAGCATATTAACCATGAAACGACATCTGCTTGTGAGATTTACTGACCTTTACATGACGGTTGGCCAGCTGGAAAGTTCTCCTAGGGGAAGGTAAGAGTGAAAAGGTGGGGGTGGGGGGAAGAGAGGGGAGAGCGGAAGGGTGAAGCTACCCAGCGAGCTGGGAAGCACGTCATCTGACCAGGGATATAACATACCGGTATATCGTTTACAATACACACGTTGGGAACAACGCGTGGATCAGAAACTTTTACTTTCAGAAGAAAGTTCGGAGTTTTTTTTTTCATAGAGCCAGGAGCAAATTTATAATCAAAACATCTCCTTACCCTGTTGTAGTAGCCGTACGTGACAGCATTTGGAGTTATTCCTTGGTTTTTCATCTCAAACAAGACCTGAATGGAGAAAAAGAAATCACATTTTCCAAGAAATTACCACACATCAATGTTGAAAGAGCACTTTTTAGCTAAATACGTCGTGAACGCGCAGGGGACGATTCTAGCTCAGAGATATCATCTTGAGTAGTACAAAAGACATTTTTTTACTCAAGTGGCTGTTCTGTGATAAAGAGGCAGGCAACCTACACTATATTTAATACTTCTGGTAAAGAAACATACAAACACATTTTCTTAAGGGGCGATGCACTTGATATCAATACACTATCAATTCTGTTAACACAATAACCTCTGCTTCCGTTAACATTTCATGCGACTATTCTCAACAAGCCGATCTAACTTATTCGATAAACCAGCCAACGTTAACATTTCATGCGACTATTCTCAACAAGCCGATCTAACTTATTCGATAAACCAGCCAACGTGCTCGTGATAAACAAAAAAAACAACAACAATCTTAAGTGTTGTTCTTTCGTGCCTACATACACGTAGGTACAAACATTGACACGGCCTGTATCAGAAACAACTGCTATGATACTGACCTTCACAGCTAAGGCTGGGTGACCGTACTGCCCACATAGCTGCATAAGCACTCGGTAGCAAACCTGGTTCATGAGAGAAATAGGAGTTAAGTCTCATATCCAGTCCGGAAGTGAACCAGTTATCAATCAGATTTGGTAGGCCAGGACAATTCAGCCAGTAGGGAAGGCCAGGGGTTTCACTAATCTATTCCCTACGCAGCTTTCGATGGCATAATAGGCGGAAGTGACCAAGTGACCAAGTCTCTTTCTGGAAGGTTTTTTTTTACCTTCACTCCCTTAAGTTAGGGAATCTCTCTCAAACATTGGCTTCTAGTGACTTTAGTAGACTCACCTCATCTGGTAACTTAACACCCTTTTTCTTCATTTTACACAAGACCTGCCGCAAAGATATTGTAAAAGGTGAATCTGTTGCCGAACAAGGAAAGCGGGGTTTGGACGTATTCGTAAATAGGAAGTGTTTTTAAGACACTCAATTGAAATTCGCTACATCAAAGAGTTCGCGCCGGTGTCATATTTACTCTCTGATGATCTCTCATTGAGGCGATGGGATAAATTTCAATGACAAACACTTTACTCAGTAATAGGCCAAGAATTATGTTACTTATGGAAAAGAGTTACATCAACATTCCTGACATTCCATTCAAAACGAAGAGGTTCTCCTACGTAGCTACTCTTGGTAATGTCACGCCACGGTTCGGTGTGAAATCCAAAACAATTATTGCGAAAGAAGACCATGAAACTTCTGAATACTTCCTGCCTAAATGTACATTAAACCCACCTCGAAAGCTACGTGTAACACTTTAGCCTTGTTGTGATGACGCTTCACATAGGCGGGAAGATGAATAAACCACAAACTGTAGCAATGAGCTAAGAGGCACCTGGCGTAAGGAACGAAACAAAAGTTAGAAATTAAACAAACAAATGAATGCACAATTCCAATAACTCACTTGGCCCAGCTTATGGGACTTCCCGCGTACTTTTTCGCCATCTAAAGAAAGAGAAAAAAAGTTCAAATTTGAGATCGTCCACAACAAGAACTAAGGTCAGCGTCATAAAAGTTCTTGTAACCTTCATGACAAACCCCTGAGGCTTAAGGGAACGTCGATACCCCTTTTCCCTCCGCTCTTATGTCATTCCCATGAATTAGATGATCAAGCTACGGTTCAAAAGTAAATCTATTTCACCGAACAAAACAGAAGAATACCCCTTGTTTACAAAGACATGTCAAGATTTTGGGCATTAACCCTTTTAGTAAAAAAACAGTAAAAACACATTTTTCAGACCTCAGTATTTTATTACCAGAACAGATTGATGTCTTTCTGCCTTTGTTCTTTTGACCACAGGAGATACTGGAGGCGTCTGAGCAGGCTTAGCAGAAAAAGAAAGCCCCTCAGGCTTCATGAGATCGACATTTAAAACTGGAAACACTGGATAACTGATGGAAAAAAAATAATCAAATGAATAATTGTCAAAGATTCGATCTTTGATCGCGTGTTCTAAGTGAAAGCAACATCATAGCTAACGGCGTGGGGCTTGGGATGACAACGACTTCGAAAAATTCGTCAGCAAAAGTTCACTAAGTAAACATGGGAGGAAACAAGCTTCCGTTTTCGCCGGAAAAAATCGACACATCACGGCCGACGCCCAGATTGGCGATCCCACTCTCTCTCCTCCTGCCCACTTCCACAGTTAATTGACAGAAAATTGCTGTAGGAACAACGAGAACTTGTCAGGCCTTCACTTTAATTAAGAATAGTCTTTGAGGAATCAATTCAAAACCGTCTTGGCCACTCAATGAACCTGCCTGAGATTTTCTCAGTTTTAGTAGTTCTCTACTTACGTATACAACTTCCCTTTATCCATGTTGGAAACATCTGGTGGTGTGACAACATAGGTCCTCTGACCACCCCTGGTAAAGAAATAATGTGTATTGAAACTTCCACATATATAGACTTGGTTTCTATAACGCAGATGGAAGGGTATCTAATTGTTCGGGGTTCCATCACTCACGGGGGAATCGGATGTTTCACTGCCCTGCCTTCATAAAATTTGTCTTACATCTCCTTTACTTTATCGTTCCTAGTCATGGTACCATAAGCTGGGCCCAAAATTAACTTTTAGTCGTGGCACCGACTGGCTATTTTAATTTAATTGGCAGACGGAACGAGGTCGCCAAGTAGTGGAATTTGTCTTGTATGCGTCTCACTGCGAAACACGAAATCGCGAAGATTCGAAAAAGACGTTGCTATGCTTTAAACATTTTTCTACTTGAGAACGATCACCATTTGAGTACATACAAACGCAATGAACTTTCCGCACCGATTTACACAGAATAAATTGGCAAAACAGTTAATTTTCGGTCGCATTGGCGACCAGCTTGTCACAATTTCGAACCTTGAGAAGGCACGGGGTTTAAAGCCCATGTTCCGCATAACTGACGAGTGCTACAAAGAATGACTAGAATTTAGTCGGCTTCAAACGTAAATGCAGCAATATGCAGTCGAAATATAACGGTTCACAACCGATGTGGAATCTATAAATCTTTTTTTTTTTTTAATTTGAATTTGTGGTAAGACTTACTGAAATAAAACAATGATACCTTGCAACTGATTCATCTACTTCAACAAGACAACGGTCTGGTGATACGTCCAGCTACAACACAAAGCACTCAAAATCTTTACTCTCTGGTCATTTCACAAAATCTCAGGGATCGAGATACATTACGCCGGATTTCGTGTCTAAAATCTTAGAAATTCACAGATCACGACCTGGCTCAGTCCCAAAGCCAAAGGTACATCGGTGCGCCAACGATCATCTCCACAATGTAAAGAGGATTGTGGGTGCATCAAACCACAGCTGGGAACTGGGCATAATTTATGGCCTTAAGACAGGGTTTACAAAGTAGAGAAAAGCAAAGAGTCGCGGAAGTCACAATGATTAATATTCCGGTGGAAGGAATGAACAGACATGTCAATGTGGGACACTCTCAAAAAAAGAATCCTACACATAAAGGTAGTTACCTTTTCTAAACAGTTGTCAAAGAATGCGAACAAAGAGTCTTGTGACGATACAAAGGATCTCCCTTCAATAAACCGGCTAAACATCTGTTTAAAAACAAAAAACACAAATCAGAAGTATAGTATGACTCTAGCAAAAACATCATTACACCTGGGCTCAAACAGCACCACGGAAGAAAACTTCAAATCAGAAGTCATAGTCTAAATTTCTGTTACCTGTGTCCTTGATAGGATTTGAAAAAACTTTGATTGTGAATTCGGACGACTCCTAAGAAAACCTAGCAAAAGAAAAATCCATTATCACAGTCTTGGTTTTAAGCCATAAACATAATAAAAAATACTTAATTCAGCTCATTTCAACATAAAACGCGATTCTTTCCAGGTACTTTCACCCTTCCAAGAGTTACTCAGTACAAGTTGCGGTTTAATAATTTCCCATGGGCAAAATAAGTGTATGTCTTCTACATACAAACCTTCAAGGTCAAAGAGCGACGTCAGATCGCACGTCCCCTGGGTTGGTCTTGAAGTGATTGGTTTTAAGAAAGCCCTACGAAACAATTTAATCGTTTTAACTGAATGGGTTAGCATAGGTAATTATTGCTATAAAAATGCTTATTGACCCCTATAAACTCGAGTAAGTACATCGCTCTGACGAAGGGCTAACGTTCGAAAACGTCAGCTTTAGAAATTCTCGACAACGGCGGCTAATTTACAATATCATCTCAGTTGATGAAACCAAATTATCTTGTTGTAACCCCCCTCCCCCCCCCCTGCAAAAGACGCAGCACCACAGTTTCTTTAGAAAATGACCCCCTCCTATGAATAATATCCTTTGAAGAATCAATACTCGAAGAAAAATCGAAGAAGTTTCGTGTTAAACAGGGCTGAAATTTGTCGACGGTGATTTCTCCCTATACTATTCTTTATCGCTGCGTTTTTAAATAACACATTAACATCTAGATAACTAACTTTGATTTTTGTTTGTTTTGATTTTTTCAAATAATGTTTCATCAAAAAAGAACGTTTTACTCACTCATAGCCTTTCAAAATTGTTGCCATAAACCGTAGGAAAGCATCTTGAATGGCTACCTCTAGTTGAAGCTGAGAAAAAATAACATAGCTCATGTGATGGAAAGTTTCATTGCATTTGTCTAGATTGGAACGCGGTTGCTGCATGAAGTTTTTTTCTTGCCATTAGATAAGAGAGCATCATTGTCATGAGATTAGAGAGCATCTTCATCTTGCCATTAGATTAGAGAGCATCTTCGCAGTTTTTTTCCTTTTCAAAAAATTTAGCTCAACATTTTGACTCTTTCATAAGCACTTAGTGTGAATCGTCGCATTCCCTGTAAGTTTAAAGCAAATGGATTAAGTGTCGAAAGCAATCAAGGATTGAATTGGGTTTTCTTCCCTACGCTCTGTGATTGGCCCAAAAAACATCCTCTCAACCAATCAGATGCAAAACTTGAACCCGACGCTACTTGGTTACCCGCGTTTTCCCGCGCCTCCAGTAGTTTATTTGTTTTCACTTTGAGGTCTCTGATTGGCTGTTGCAATTTTTTTCTCCAAAGGTTTTGATAAAACTCTCTCGATATGCGCCCCATTCTTACCCCGTTAGCCTACCTTAGCACGCAGTATTTCAAAGGTTCATTCCATTTAATGGCTATTCTCTTAGACATTTACAAATTATTTAAGACATCGTGTCTTGTTAAATCAAAGCTGCAACGAATCTTACCCTTTTTCTTGAATAGGACGTGTCATGATCCAGGGGAGCTAACTCGATGGCTGTCTCTATGATATCTCCACCAATAGCTGCAGTCAAATCAAACTGAACATTACACGACCGTGTACAAAGCTATCAATTTCCATAACACTTTCTGTTTTCCTACTTTCTTTTTTCTGAAGCCACTCACTCATTCAGTAGCACAGGCTTTTCGCGCAACCAGTAAACTCACTTGAACGCTACTTCGTGACTCTCCATTCAACATCTTTCATGCAAATCATATTGAATGCTTTAAAACCGTTCGATTCTTCAGTTAAGCCCACCAAAAAGCCTTACTAACGCATATACAGTGTGAAACCTGTATTTAGCGGTCACCTAAGATGGCGGGCGGACCACCAGATACAGTTTGACCACTTAATACAGGTTCCACAGATTGGGAGTGTTATTTAAAAAAATACACAACGCAACTTTGTCACAATTGACAACTTTATATACACGATCTTGCTCAAAAATACTCACTTTGATTTTTAGAAAGAAACATGGATTATAAATTAGTTGATAGATTATTCTTAGTCATATTTGAGTGGTTCGGCGTTAAATGAGAGATAATACAAACAAGACCGTTGAAAAAGTTAATAGGTGACCGCTAAATAGAGGTGAAAATTACAGTGATTAAAGGGAAACAAATTCGGGACTTAAGGAACCAACCGCTAAATACAGGTGCCGCTGAATACAGGTTCGAGTGTATTACCCTATCAATAGCGATGTGTTTTCAATCATTTCACGCACACTTGTTGGTGAATTTCTCAATATAGAACAACTTACATTCTCTTTCCTTATGGCACAGTTGGTATAATTTATAAAAAAGCTCATTCAGTCTTTCCTGTAAGACTTTTCCCGGTTTCTGCATAGAAGTAAGAATGGAATTTAAATGAGAGGCAAAAAACGGAGGTTAGCGCTAAACCTTAACTCCACATCCAAATAATAATTCAACAATTGTCAGCCTATGCATAACTACTACTGCTTAGGATTGAGTGGTTCATGGAGATATAAATCCACGATATATATCTTGTTTGAATCAACAAGCCTTTCCAAATTTACAACGGTAGTAATAAATTTTGAACTCATCTTTAATCTCATTAATTATTACATACCTTTGGAAGACTTTTCCAGCTAACACCTTTGAGTTCATTCTCTCTGTAATGTACATAAATTCACCACATGAATTATGAAGAACGATATAATTGCATGGCGGGAAAAACGACACCTTCACTGACAAAAAAAATAAACGTTTTCTAATTTCCACTCTTTATTCCAAGATGTATTCCAAATTGATTTTATACAATACACGTGTAGCTTGAGATGTGCCTAAATCTACATTTTAGAAAAGGTACGAGTTGTGAGCCTCAGTAATACAAAGTTTTGTCTCTCATTTCGCCAAACTTACAGTGAAATAGTGTTGTTATCTAGGTCAACACAAGTGACATCATCAGGTGGATCATACTGATCAAAGTATCGTGAATCAATACCTGGAAAACAATAGTAGATATCTTTCAACACATCAACCTCTAATGTAGTATTTATTCTTACACTTAATTTGGTGTAGAGTATAATAATAAAAAATTTCGGAAAAAAAAAATTTTGTAGAAAACGAACAGCTAAAATTAAGGGCGTTTGTCAAGAGAATGTTGTACTGGCATGGTTGGTCTTTAAGTTAGGGGAAAAGAGCCGGAATTGAATTGTTATGAAATTAAGATGAGAACCAGTGTTTACTGTAAAGTTTAATTGAATACCAAGTGTTTCAAATGAAAAAGTAGATATCTTATTTGTTCTGTTTAATTCTTCCCTTTTACTTACCCACAATAAATGGACAAGGTGCATCTAGAACATCATTTAATCCTAATGGACATAGTGGAACATAGGGGCATTGCCAGCTGAAGGGAAACAGAAGCTGAAAGAGAGGAACATCACAACTGCTTATGGACAATGAATGATATGCGGCAACAGTTTGCAGTATACCTAGCTGCATTTACATGTACAAAAGTTTTGGCAGCTGAAAAATACACTAGCTAACTGTTAACACTACATGATGTTAAACTACTTCCTTTCATCACAATTTTTTTAAGAGAAGTTCCTAGTTTCTTGCATGACATGCGAGTGCTAAGACATTGCATAGAGTATACCAACATTTGGTGGTGTTTTCGATGCCTTTATTCTTACAAAGCTGTAGTTTACGCAACCAAATGTGCTTAATATGTTCATGATAGTACCACTCAAAGAAAATAAGATGCAAATTTTTCTTTCTCAAGCTGGATATCAAAAAACCATACAAAACATACCAGATATTGGTTCTTTATTGTACGTAAAATAAAAGGGATGCTACAACACTATAACACCAGCCCAATCCCTCCCATAAAAGTTAAGTGTTTCCTAACAGGTCACTAACACACATGTCCATCAGCACCATTGGATCAAGAAAAAAGAAAATCAAATCAAATTAATTTAGAAAGGAGTAATGTAATGGGTTTTTACAATAATCACAGCATACCGTTGTTATTGCCTCAGCAATACTTGTCATCAGAGGTGGTCGTAGAGAGTGAATCAGTATTTTGTGTTCAGTGAGAACAAGATAAAACAAAAGCATAGCATTGTCTGGATGCAGGTAGCGAAGCATAGCTATGTAAGATGCACCACTGAAATAAACAATACAAATTAACTGGTTAATCAACTAAGAAACTTTCAAAACGATGATGAATTACCCCTTACACCCTAACATCAGTATGCATATTCTAAATAATATTCTCTACACATTTCCTAAGGTGCTGACAAGAAGAACATCCACCCAATACCTCTTCCTTCCATACATTGGCCACTCATATTTGCATAAATTATGAAAAGTGTTTGGACACTATAATTGTATTTTGAACATTTGCCTCAGCACACTAAAGCAACAAATCCATTTACAAGCACTTGTGATAGTCAAGAAAGATTAAGTCTACTTTCATGAAAATCTTAATTCTAATCCATGTTACCTGACTGGCAAAGGAGTGTGAGAGAGTTGGCTGATTTCAAATGGATCATACATGCTTGTCTGCAGAAACAAATTGAAAAATAAACATGTCACTTCTGGCCCTCAAAATTACATCCATCTGCTCTTTGGGGTTTTGTAATTTTCATAGGCTATTCAATTCCGTATGAAAAAAGACAAAAAACATTTGCCTCTTGGTTGACCTAAACCCAAGCAAAGATGGGGGTGGGAGGAGGAGGAGGAGGAGGAGGAGGAGAAGGAGTAGTAGTAGTAGTAGTAGTAAAGGTTACTCAACAGGTAGCTGTTGCTGCCTATTTGCTTGCCATTTTTTTCATTTCATGCCTGCTGAACTGTGAGGTTGTTACAGAATAGAGCTGTAATCAAAGACCATCAGAAATGTTGCTTTGTAATTTACTTTTGACTGATCTCAAAAAAATAATAATAATAAATAAATAAATCAAGGGTACCTGCACAAGAATTCTTGGTCTTTGGGGTGAAGGAAAAGGAACATCAAGCATCAAAATTGCTATATACCTACATGACAAAGATATATACACTTGTCTGTCACATTCTATGCTTAATGAGTTGATTACAACATTCAAAATCAATTTGAAGAAAGGAAAACATTGCTTATCTTTTGATGAATTACTGCATATTAAGTAATGAAAGTAATATCAAAGCAACTGGCTTATTGTTATGAACATCAATCACACTTCCCTTCAAGTTAATCAATTCCAACATCTTCAGATTTCAGCTGTAAAACTTAGCACTACATAGTTTACAAATGTAACCAATAAACTGCAAAAGTATTCTAAGATACCTTTCAATGGGCAGTGGCTGTGCTGATACAGAAATTCTATACAACTGGGACAGGAACTTTTTGAAAGCTTCAAAAAATGGCCAATGCGACAACACACACATGCACTTGTTTGTGTGAGCAACTCTTTTCCCTTCTTCAGAATTCTAGAGACAGTCAACAGTAAATGGAAAAAAATTTTAACTGGAATACTTGGTCAAGAAGTTCATTCAGCACTATAGATGGCATACCTATCTGCCTACCTACCACATATAAGTTGCCTGCTAAATTTCAATGACTTGAACTATTTTCATTCAGAAATGGAGAATCATTTTTCTGTAACTTTCAACTATACTCCTACTACTGCATTTCTTAAATGAATCCTCCATTACAGAAACAAATCATCGTTAAAATTTAAGATAATTTTTAAGGTAAAATTTGTTGTAACAAATGTAAATTTGAATAAAGTATTTTGTGCTAGAAAAAATTGAAACAGATATTGGTTGTTTTCAAACTGCAGTTCTGACCTATATTTATTTTAAAAGACTCAGCTTATGTAGTTTTTCCATAGTTCTCTATGCCTCTGACCCACAGTACTTATGGAATATCAGTGCGTCAATTTTTTTTTTTTTTTAGTGCATCATCTGCTCAAGGCCTTGCAGTCCTTTCATGAGCAAGACATTATCACGTCTGGTTAAAATTTTTGCTATAATCTATTTCTAAAATTTCCTTATTCGCACTTCAGTTCAGTAAAAGCCCCTTAGAGTCACTGCAATACTTACTTCGTCATCATCCAGCTTTAAAGCTTTTTTCCTTTCCTCTGTCAGTTGCTCCTCAGGAAGCAGTTCAAAGAATGTTACTGCTGCTCCATAAATCTTAAATTTGGTAAAAGTTAATATTTTAATGTAATTATCAACCCTAAGATTTATCTGCTGATTGTAATGCCATACACATTCCCTATATATTAAGCACACTGGAGCAAAAAGGTCAACTAATGTACATGAAATGCATAGCAGTTGATGGGAGAATTATTAAGTTTAAGAATTCTCAAGCAGCGACATGTTTGCCTTGTGTTTTTTGTCACTCTTAACATGTTATCCTGCTGAAGCTGAAGTATTAGTTTACTAGCTTTAAAATCCCAACCTAAAAATTCCACAAGACATGTTGAAAATTCACAATCACTTCAGACATTCCAGAAAATTATTAGTCACAGCATACCTTTTGTCCTGAAGCACCTGTAAGTACAAATGTGGAGAAAGAGGGAAGAGGATATTGAGAATTTTCAGGCCAGCATTCAATAATTGCTCCTTGAGGAAGGCAAAACATTGGAATTGTATCTGGAAGTGGAAAACGTTCATAGTCCTCCACAGGAAATCGACTGAGAACCTCTGAAAGATAAGGATGAAACAAACACTTTTTTAAACAACAACATGGAATTCATGAGGGTTTATGAAAAGATTAACTACAGTTCCAGACACTTGTCTCTAGAAGCGGTTCCACCTGGACTGAGTCACGTGTCTAGTTTTGTTTGAAAGGTCTTTCATTAACCATGGTAAGGTTGTACAGAAAATTGAAAAACAGAACCATTTGAATAATGGTGATTAAAACTGAAGTTTTGCAAAATAAACCATGAAATGCCAGCACACTCTGTTACCTGCAGGGTACATGATAGAGCGCAGCCTTGCTAATGATTTTCTGTAACAAAGGTACACATCTGATCCAACCTGGAAAAGAATTATGAAATGAACTGTCACGAGTACCAAACATCTTACCGAGTAGCATTTGAGTGAATTGTGCAGCTCTTGATGAACATAAAACTTCTGCATTCTAATATCACATGAATCAAGCAAAATCAGAAAAAAAAAATAATGAAAATAAAACCTACCATGCCTTTGTTGAGATTCCTGTCGATCAAGCAAAATGCATGTGGTGGTTTTTCATTCTACAGGAAAACAATAACCCTTCATTATAAAATGTTACTTGAAAAATCACTCAGATGGAACCACAGAGCGGACCCAGAATTTCCTCTTCTCACCAGGCCCTCTTCTCTTGCTGACACGCCTACAATCCACACTGTTGTTTTTAGTCATTCATTACTACTCATTGAAGGCACAAAGGAAAGACACACAACAAGCATCAAAGGAGAGGAATGTGGGCAGGTGAGCAAATTAAAGAAATTGGGCAAAGCAGAAAGACAAATATGTAAGTCCTTTCCATAGTTCCCTGGTTTTTTCAGTACACACTCTGGAACTGCTACATCAAAGACATTCTATTTACATAATAAATTAAGGATCTTAAACAACTCAGTTATCATTTCATTAACAAATACCTTGCTTGTTATAATAACACAAATCTCTGTGACTGCCAGTGAAGAGTGAGCCATTCTGTGGGGTGCTCGACGATAAGTGATGAATGTTCTATTTCCACCGCTGTTGTTAACATTAGCTGACTTTCCTGTTTCGGTATATGTCACAATGTCACATCCTGCCATTAAGCGGTCTTTTCCTTCATAAAGGACTCTACAATCACATAATGGCCGATACACAGAGTTTTGTCACTCACAAAGATAAGTCCAACTTACATACTTATGACTAAGACCCTTGGTTGTAAGAACAAAATAAGACTTTGATAGTTCTGAACAAGTGCAAAAATCCCAGACCAAAACAAAGATAATGTAATGATATCAAGGCTCATTACAAAGGCTCATTACAAAGGCTGATGACACTTTAAGATCAGATATTAAATTTACAAGTACAATATCCATGATCTTTCAAGGTACCATTTTCCACCACTGATAAAACAGGTAAAGTTAGCCTTACCAGGCCCCAAAGACATAAAGTGAAAGTGTGGGGGTGGGTAGGTTAATTGTGCTGGGGCCAGAGGTTATGTGAAATTGGGGCCTAATAAAGACCTTGAAAGTTACAAATTTAGAACGTTTCAAAAACACAAGAGATATAGTGAATTAAAAATTTTACAAAAAAATCCGCTGCAAACTGGCTCGTTAAGTTTGTTTCCAAAAGAGACAATTTTACAAAAAAAAAATGGCCAGAGAACCAAGCCAGGAAACTGGCTCTCAAGTGGGTGGTGTTTGAAGCTAAAAAAGGTATTAACATTTCAAGGGTGGATACCCAATGACCAGAAATAGAACATGGAGTGGGCTGTTGGATTATGTTGTCCTTCTATCAGAAAAGCAACTAGAATCTCTCGCATGTTTGGCACAGAGGTTGTTTCACCGTATATCACCTCAATATGTACTTATAGGTAATAATTCTATGATAATCTTAACTCTTTACCCCCTAACATCAGTATGCTTATTTTCTACACTATTCTCTCTACATTTTCTATAATATTGAGAAGGAGAACTTGTTTCATAGTCATTATATTCTTTCCTGGTGATCATTCTCTCTATGCTCACAAACTTATGCTTGATTTAGAGATAATACTGTGAGGAGAAATTAAATGCTGGTCACTCTTGTAAAAGTAAAATGATTAAGTGTAGAAAATCATACATGTAGGTGCCTGTTGGAAATTGATACATTGTAATGAATTTCTTACCCAATATCAGTCAATGGAGGTTTGTCTGTTCCTCTGCGAATGCAGAGGTAACATGATGGCTGTCTTATGGAGCCATGATTAAGATCAGCAGGAAATCCTGCGGGGGTTTTGTCGATGCATTTGTATCCAATTGGAGGTTTTTCTCCCAAACTCTTGAATATCACAGTAATGTCTGTGATTGGTTCCAGAATATTCCTTTCATCATCCAAGTGTATAGCATTCTGAGTTGACTTGCCATTACCAAGGCCAGCTACTACAAAGTAGTCTCCTACTCTCAGAGGTTTTTCACAGTCAACCATACTCCTGAGACATCATCCTTTAAGGGAAAAAAATAGTATTGTACGCAAAATAAACAATTATCATGTTTCCAGACAAAATTTTGTTTCAAAACATAATTTTTTTAATTTATCCTCTTAGCGTGAAACCAAAGCCTCAATCCTATCAAACCTCAAATACTTTTGGTTATTTACTTTTTCTTAACGACTTTATAGATTTAGAAAGATTGATTGTCAGCCTATCTAAATTCAAATGTTACCTGTGAAGAACATATTTACCATTTCCATGCATTCTCTCTAAAAGTTTGTTTGATCACATTAGTTAATAAATTTGAACTTTTGTTAACAGAAATAGCTGGACCTGTCATGGTTGACAATATGTTTACAGATGGAATCAATGATATCTTTCAACACCAGATATGTGTGCCATCATTGTGGTTAACAAGGAAAGAAAGGCTTGATCCAAACCCAAGGTCAAGAGTGAACTTCCTGTTAGCTTTGAAGTACATCTAGATAAGATATCTTATCATGTTTCTGACAAAAACTCTACTGAGTTGAGGAATAAACTTAAGGTAGTTTATCAAATATTTTTCTAAGAGGTCAACAATCATGTGACTGAAAATTCTCTGACTTAATTTGACTAACAGTTGAAGTAGTTTGTCAAGTTTTTTCAGGAAGAAATGTTTCAGTTTTGATTTTGGTTTCTAGCAACATGTATATCAGTTTTACATAAATTGTTACATACTGTTCTTTCTTTGATTTTAACTTTTGCCTCTCCATTAAATACTCTTGGAATTTAACACAAAACAACAGCAATTGATCAAGATGTTATTCATTCAGTTATCAAACTGTTGATCTCTCTGCCACTATTTTTGAAAATAATTGAATTCAGCTAGAAAACTAGATTGTTTGAGGTTGGAGTCCTCTTAAAGAAAGGGGAATGGGGGAAGGGGGTGAAATCAGAATTTCGTTCCATCCCAGGTTTATGAAAAATACACATATTACATAGCATATACCACATAGCATGAAAACTTTGGAGATCTATAGTCTACAGATTGGTAATCTTTTGTGTTTTGCTGGAACAAAATTTATTGAATTAAGATTCATTGAATTTCTAGAGTAATTTTAATTCCACATTTTTCATATCTTGCAGCTAAATATTGACAGAAAAGGAAAACAACATTTTAAAATGTTAGTACAGGGCACATGTATACCTTGTGACTTATACCCAAATAGTTAGATATTTTGAACGAGTCCATTAAAGCACATACAAATTAAAGGACACAAAATTCATGCAAGGATTTTTACCAGGAGAGAGGGTAGTAAATTTGAATCCAAATTTTTATTGAGTGATTTTTTGTGACATCATTTTAAAAATCCCCAAAGAAATGCCTCTAGCCCAGAAGTCAACATAAACATAAATGCAAATATCTTCAAAAAGCTTTTTATCCAGACACATCTCAAACCCAATCCTTAATTAGAATTATTCCAAGTACTTCCACGAAAAAGCACTTAAAAGTGTAAGATATGTATATTTTTTCCAGTGCGGTACATCTGTATCATAAACCGGAAATACTTTTAATTAGCATAATGAGAGTTTCATTTTAAGACATGTTTTCTTGTCATATAACAATTAAACGAAGACAAAACATTTGGCATCAAAACTACACCGAAAATTGCAAACGGCAATGATCAGAGTCAAATCAACCGAGTTACATTTCAATCATTTTCCACGCAAAACACTCGAGCGAGGGAACCTCAACAATGGCGAAGTAGCATCAGTGACCAATTACCTTCTGATGCGCAAAAAAACTGGTAGCATTCAATCAGCGAAAATCCTATTTCATTATCAACTAACATGTATCTAAAATTACACTGTTCCGTCATCTTTCGTTTTCACGTCGTCCAAGAGTAGTGTAAGTACGTATCTGACACAAAACCCTCAACAGTACATCTTGCGATCTCGATACAAAAGGTCGAAAATGTGGCCACAATACCACAAAAAAAAACAGGCAAAGTATATCAGGCTGAGCGGAAGACGCTCCAGATCGCTTTCTGAAATCTGGCGATCGAAGAGCAAGGGACGAAGAAGAATCAAATTTGAAATAAGCTTTGCCTTGTAAACCAAATTTAAAAATCACACCCACCTCACTGTAATAGAGTTTAAATATGTCAATTCGAGGCGAACATCTCAAAAAAATTTCAACGACTTCCTCTTACACTTTCATTTAGAAGTCGCGAAAAGATGACGGAATATTTAAACCGGCTTTACCTACGTTTGTGAATCAACAATTTAACACAGCATAGTAATAATACAGTGCCAGACAAATTTCACACAGATCAATTACTTTTTTAGATCGCGTTCATTGAGTTCATCCAATATCATATAACTTGGTATGTCGCATACAGATACAATTTTTCAGCGTTCCTTTTCATCGACAAAAACGACATTTTAGGCTCAATGAAATGAAAAAGAACAAAAGTACACATTGTCTATAAACGTAAATAAACTGTCCGCCGTACGGAAAACGTGATTGCCGTAAGTTTCAAATCGTTTTCAAAATCTTAGAAAAGTACCTTCACTGTGCATCAAGAAATAAATCTTTGTCGTTCGAATTTTGCTCCATATCGTCTGCAGCAATTTCATCCTCAAAAGGGGTGAGTTTCACGGTGTAAAAATCCGTCGGAAAAAGCCACGAGGAGCCAAACACCGACGAAAAACAAAAAAAGTCTAGTTAATGGGAGGCTACCAAGTCTTCCAAACTCTTACTCTTACTCTAGGGTAGAGAGGGTATTTCACAATACTAAAAGGGGTAGACTGGGAAGGTTTTTAGTCATATGACATGCTTATGATCGTGTCGTCATCGTTGGCATGAGCGTTAGAATTAATTATTTGAAAGTGGGATAGAAAAGTGACACGTTGAAGAATCTCCGTGAGGAGGAATCTTTACCCCTACTTTTGAAAATTGTTACTGAAAACTTTACTAAAATGATCAGTCTGGAATTCTCGAACCACATTAAGACGTTCGATTACAAGAGTCAAAGAAGCGACCTAGAGCGCGAGGCGATCGAAAAGGTAATAGCAGGCGAATCGCTACTTTCTGTGTTTGAGAAGCACAAATTATCCCTGGAAGAGCGAAGGAAGCTCTTGAAGACTAAAGTTGCCTATCCACACAAAGGCGAGGAAAGCAGTCTGTTTTTGCTCTCCATCGCGTGCGGTCACGTGGACTTAGCCAAAAGCCTTATTGAAGAACAGGTGGTTGATATCGAGGAGAGAGGAACAGTGCTAGTAGGAGTGTATAAGGATGGAGGGTTTGGCTACGAAGTGGGCGAAGATGTCACCCCTTTATGGTGTGCTGCTGCTTGGTGTAAGTTTGAACTTGTGAAACTGTTGGCAAAGCATGGAGCGAATATTAATCACAGATCAAAGGTCGGTTCAAGCCCTCTTCTGGTAGCTTGTCGGTACTTCCACTTAAACAGAGCACGACAAGTGCTTCTGGGGAAACCTGACGTGCCGGTGCAACTTGAGCTTGTCAAATTTCTTCTGGATAATGGAGCAAATGTGAATGAGGCTGGTCACCTTGGCGACACTCCCTTAACTGCAGCTGCCTTGTCAGGATTTAAAGACCCATCCCTTGTGGCTTATCTTCTGGAAAAGGGTGCGGATCCAAATGCTAAGAATGCTCTTGGCTTCACTGCTCTGCACTTAGCTGCACAAAAAGGTTGCTTAGAATCAGTTAAGGTGCTGATTAAAAATGGAGCGCAGCTAGGAACAGGTGATACTGAAGGAATTACGCCTCTTCAACTTGCATGTTGTGAATGTCATGATCATGTTGTAGAATGGATAATTTCACAACCAGACTGTAGCAGAGAGTGGAGGATCAATGCCCTGGAGCTTCTTGGTGCCTCTCATGTAACTTCCATTGATGTTGACAATATTGAGTATCCTAGCGAAGGACAAAGTGAAGAAGAGTATGCAGATGACATGGAATCAATCCAGCATGGATATGATCTGTTGCTAAGAGCAAAGAAGGAGTGCTTTGAGCCACCCACTAACATTGTTAAGCAGGTTTTATCACCTCCTCTTACTGTATATAATAATCAGGTAGAAAGTAAGAGCCTTGAAGAACTGGAGGCATTGTCTACTAACCATGAGGTCATTCAAATAGAGGGTTTCCTCATCAGGGACAGAATTCTTGGTGCTTTGCGTTCATCAGAAATTCTACAGCCACTCTTCAACAAAGCTATTGTTTTATCCCACAAAGAGGAACTTCAGATGGCAGCCAACTTCTACAGTCATGCATTATCATTTAGACTTGTGTCTTCTGATTCAAGTAGAGAAATATTGCGAAGACTTCTTGACCTCTTTGCAAGCATGATTGAAAAGGGCATACAGCTGAATACTGCCAATCTTGAACCAGTGCACCAGTACATTTTAGTGTGGCTCAAAATTCTGACACAGGAGAGAGAAGGACAGCATTTTTCTCATTTTGAACAGCAAGAGCTGAAATGGGCTTTTGACCGCAACCTACTTTTGGTATTTTATTTCATTTGCATCTTGAGTAATACCAGTGCTCACTCTGATGAAGAAGCCAAGAAGAAAAAAGAGATGATTAAAAAAATAATGGACCTTAAACTGCAGAATTCTCAGGGCTCTGATATGTTCCATCTAGCTGTCTGGGATTCAGTCATTGAGGTCCACAACAAAGTATGCCTAAAAGAAATTTTCAAAGTGCCCAATATGAAAGTCCTGGAGATTTTACTACAAAGTGGTGAAAACATAAATTCACAAGATCATTCAGGGAATACCCCTCTTCATGTTCTTATGTCAGTTGATCCAAAGCTTGCCATTGTTCCATCAGATTTCAAGGAAAACGAAGGGAAGGACTATATCAAGTGGTTTGTTCAAAATGGTGCAAAAGTAGATTTGAAGAACATGACAGGGGAATGCCCAGTTGATATAGCAGTGTCAGAAATTGCAAAAGAATTTCTGAAAAAATTGTAAACTTTACAGAACTCTGACAAAATATTGTTTACAATTTATTGAAGTGGTCCATATGAACAAATGTTAGACTCAACCTTATTTAATCCTTTCACTACTAGGAGTGACCAACTGGTAATTTCTCCTCACAATATCAATACGTTATCATACTGAAAGGTGTCTAGGAAAATGAAAAAATCAACTGAGAGATAAGGCTTGATTTATCACCAAATTCTCAGAGCAGAAATTAGAGGAAGTGTTTAATGGACAGGAGAAGAATTGATCAGATGTTGTGGTTGTTAGGGTTTGCAGTGAAATTTAGAGTTACATTTTGTTTTGCCATTCTAAAGGAGTGGTGTATGTTATTTTACTAGTGTTTACTCTGTGCCACTAAGGATGTTTACTGGTTTATGTTCTGTTGATGAGAACAATGTAGTAGGGATATCTAGCACCCAGAGAAAAGAGACATTGTCAAAGTTTGTAGGAAAGGGGATATATATTAACCACAAAAAAAATTACGTTAACCTTATTTGTGATGAAGCTTCTTTCAATTTTTGCCAATGGAACTTCTGATGTCAGTTCAGAACAGGAGGCTGGTGATACATCACTTCAAAGTGACTTTGGTGATATGAAGTTCTGTAGCATCCAGTCATAAACTAAGTACTTTTAGACTGCATGTTATTTAACAATTATTCTACAAGGGTTCGCCAAATTTGAGGTGATAAATAACCAAGGAGCAGGAAGTGCCTGAGTAGAATAACTTTTTCAGTTTATAGGAACACAAAAAATAATGCATTTGCTGTTACTGGTAGTTCTATTATTTCTTTAGTTGTAAGCTCTGGGGCAAACAGATTTCTTTCCACAGTTGCTCTAAGGCTTGCCCACAGGGCTTGCTCACAGGGCTTGCTCACAGGGTTTGCTTACAGGGCTTGCTCAATTTGCTGAAAAATTCATTGACCATGTTTGTTGGAGTTAGGTTATGAGCTTAGAGCTAGGTTACAACTTCTTAGCATCCCTTTCAGCCTATCGGAAGGAAATTCAATGATTGCAGCCCAGTTTTCATCAGTAGTAGATATAAACAGGACTCTTTAGCCAGAGCTTGTTGATAGTCTTAGATCATTTTCAAGGTAGAAAATTTTTGTAATCTTAAGGAAGGTTTTGTAGCATTTTATTTTAAATTTATTGCTGCTATTACATCACTAGAATATATATAACAACAAGTATTACAAGTCTGATTTAATATTTAAAATGTGTATCTCAAGTATGAATTTGCCCATATGTGTTAAACAAGTTTTCAAATATAGTCAAATAAATAAATTGGCATTGGCATCAGGGCATCTAGGTGTAAAGATAAGTGTGGATTTTGTAACTTCACCCAATCCTTAACCCTAAAAGGTGTCTTAAATTGGAAAGGTAGACAATTTCAATGCCTTTTTTTACCTCAAATGGGGGGCTTTAACTCCCATGAGTGACCAAGACAGAATTTCTCCCTGCAATATCAACACAATATCAACCAGATGAGTGACAAGAATAATGAAAAAATATCAATTTGGGGATAATTAGTTGATACAATACTAAATTTTCTGAAGTAACTTTATAAGAATTGTATGATTGACAGTAAGGAGAATGACAAATTTGACCTGGGGAGTTAAAGGGTTAAAACTTAACCCATTAACTCCCTAAAGTGATTATCATGTAACTTCTTCTTTAGTATCAATATGAAATTCAGCAGAAAGGGTATTGAGAATATCTAAACTGATCAGGCAGAGTTATCTTGATTCGACACCAAATTCTTGTTAGAGGAGAGGAATAACAAACAGATCTTTTAAGTGAAAGAGAACACCCCAGACCTATACCCAGAATATCTGTGAATCTAAACCTCCCTACCCTCCACCCCTCACAACCATGTGAAGTCTCATCAAGAGAGATTGGCTTGAAATTTTACTTGAAACATCCATTTCTTTCGCAGGAGATATATATTAAACAAATAGATTCCACGTCACTGTACGTCTGTTTAGTAATAGATCAGAGATGACGTCAATAAGGACGTCATCCATGCGTATGTCCTCTCATAAGAACTAATCAAAATGCCGCGTATTAGCAAACTTGCATATTTTTGGGAGGGGGTGGGGGCTTGGGTGGGGGAAGATACCGACTGTTTTTACTTAAAAATTAATTTGTGGAAGTTATCAGCTCTCGAATCCAATGCAGGTGAACTGCGAGGATAATGAAATTTAATAAATTTCAGAAAAGAAGGATGAAAAAGTTCAGGTTTCGACGGGAGTCAAATCCGGCCATTCCTTCCTGACTGGGTGTTACATCACTTCATTTATTTCATTTTTGTTTAAGGATATAATGATCAGAAGTGGGGTTTTAATTCCTACTGATTCATCGGTCTCTGAAAATGTAAGGTTTGTCTTAAGAATTCTCTATCAACTAAGCGGGAATGTTTATTTGACACGTGGTTACATCAGATAGAATATCAGATTTTAATTATATGTGGAAGTGAAACAGCAAAAGTTACTTAATTAAAGTTTTTTTTTTCAACTGGAAAAGTGCATTTTTACCCTCAGCGGACAAGTTGAGTCACAGAAGCAAAAGGTACCGTAACTAGTTTTAAAATTAAAGAAAAGGAGACAAAACAACAAAAATAAGAATTATTTTGGACAGAAGTTGACCCTTTTTCTTTACGGATCAAGGAACGTGAAAAAATCTGAGTCTCTCTTGAGGATTCAAACCTCAAGCAGTTAGCCCAAATAAGGCGATCCCAGCTGGGAGGAGAGTTTCGTGCGCTTCACTCAGTGCTTGTTTATTTTCGCGTCCTGAGGAAAGGTGCAGTGCAGATTGCCCATACTTCGGTCTCACCCTCTGGTAAGCTCGTACCGTTTTTGTTTTTTTATGCTTTTCATTTTCGCTTTCTTTTTTATTTTGATACGAGCAATAAGCCGTTAAAAAGGTATCAAACCCGGAGGGCAGATCCATTTCGTTTGTCGGCTGTAACCACCAGAGGACTGTGTCTGTATTCAAGCGGGGATTTTATTTGGTCATTTCTCCAGCACCCTTGAAATTCAAAGTCAGAGGAATGCAAAAAAAAAAATATTGCTGGGTCGGAGAGCAAGTCCTTTTGAACTAAGCCCTTGATACAGTTGCTGGAGAAACAGTAGTAGCAAAATCTCACTTTCTTCATTTCACTCTCAAGCTTTCTAACAGCTGAGCAGAAAAGAAATAAGTTGAATTTCGTGAGGATTCAAACCTAACTTTTTCTCAATTTTGCTCTCGAGGTCTGCAACAGCTGAGCAGAAAGAAATGGGTTGACCTTCGTGATTCAAACCTCACTCCTCTTGAATTTTACATCCTATGATCTGCCAGCACCCTTGACATTCAAAGTCAAAGGAATACAAAAACATTTTGCTAGGGTTGAGAGTATCTCCTCTTGAACTTAATAGTGAGAGCGCTTGACAATTGAGGGAGACATATCACTATTGACTGAAGCTCATGGAGTTGAGCCTCAGTTTTTGATACACTGAATTAAATCGGGAAGATCAGGGAGGAGTACATGGGGCTGTGGCTGGTCGCCGATACTCAGTGATCCACGATTTTCATGATCAGTTTTAATAAATCATCAAAAAAAGGAAGTCAGTGAGTGATCTAAAAGCCATTCATGACGATGGTCCTAAGCTGAACACCGTCGACCGAGTACAACTCTCGCTCAAGGGAGTAGGCGGGACTTTTTCCAAGGAGGGAAGAGATCTTTAAAAAAAATTGGTCATTAGTTTGTTCACAATCGTAAGACAAAAAAAAAATGTGAGAATATGATCTTCGTTACAATCATTTATTTTCCATAATCAAAAAACCCGGCGATAAAAATTTCTGTAACAATACTCCAAGTCGCTCGTCGTTAACGAATCTGGTGTAAACTCTGGCGGAAATTCAAGCCAGAAAAATAGCTCAAACATTGAATTTAAGCAAATTACAGTTTTCGCTCGAAAGAAGTGAACCCCTTGTCACAAAAGAATATCAGTCAATTGTTCGCAAAAGACAGTACTTAACCAGACATACCGTGTAGATATTGATTTGTGCAATTGGTTATATACTACAGAATCAGTTTAGACCGCTATTATTATGAAAGAAACGACATATTGAGTACCAATGGACATTTTTGTTAGGTTGGAAAAGGAAAGTGCAGTTTTAATTACAGGCAAGCCAACATTGAACTTGAAACACTGAATTTTACCTGCCTACTTTTGCTTGCTTTTGTTACGTTTGCATAAGATCATTTACTTATTGCCCATAATCGGATAGGCCTGAAATCACTCTTCTTAGACCTAAAGATAAAAGCAACGAAGGTGCAAAATATATATATTGTAATAGGACCAGTCTCAAAGTGAATACAAAGTATCAGAGAATGAAAACTAAGACGCGTCATTGTTGCTACCAAGAGCCCAGAAGTGTGTGTATGAATATTTTTAACATCGATCGAGGTCCCCTTCAGTGCCATTGCACAGTAATGTACTACAGACAAGACTTGTAGCCCAGTTTATTCAATTAACGCTCGTTTTTGTTCTTCTAAGATCCTATTCAGTGCTACCAAGTCCTTAGCCATGGCGACACATTCGCTCTTCAATCCCTGTAGTTCATTCTTCATTTCCGCTGATAAGTTGTGCGAGACGCGTCTTATATGTTCTGCCTCATTTACAATCGCTTCTAAGCTTCTCTTTGAAGATCGAAGATCACGGTCGCCTCGATAAGTTTTTGTTTCTTCATCCGACGACATTAGATAAGAGGTTTCAATCAAACTTGCAGTTATATCATCTTTAAGCTCCAGTAATTCAACGATTGCCCGACGAGCGCGTCTGGTATTAACGCCGTGAAGGTATTCCATGGCGTCATCCAGGGCGTCGAGGACAATCTGCAGCTGTTTCCTCCACTTTGCAAAAGAACGGAGATTGTCTCCTCTCGATGATTTTTCTCGTCTCGTTCTCTTTGTTTTCGAAGAATCTTGGCTGTATTTGTAAACGTTGTTTCGTACACGTTCTTCCATTAATTTAAGCTTGGTCGCAAGTTTATCCCGTTGTCGGAGTTCGCTGTCTCGATTTCTATGGTGATAATGTAGCAAGTCGTTTGTTTGGTCAAGTCTTCTGTGTAAATTTTCTATCTGAAAGTAAACAGAGTCTTGAGCTGGCATGCAAAACCCGCATTCAAACGCCATGATTTTTTCGTAGTGCAGGTGAAGAAGGTTTCGATGATGGACGCAAAGTGTCCAATCGGTTGCAGGTGTTCAACTCTTAAAAGCCTAGCTTATCTTATCATTAATTCTCCCCTCCAGGTGCTACACAGTTCCTTGTACAGTAGTTAGGAGAATTCGGATTTTTATCAAGAGTACACCCACTTGTTGACAAGTTTGCATATTCTCATCACCAATTTGCTGGATAGTAACTTGATTTTGTTATGAGAAGTTGGGAGCTTTTGAATCCTGGGAGTCAAAGGGTTAACCGCAATTAACGCTAATGATTGGTTGTTGGGATGCGGTAGCGAATGAAAACGCAGAAAAATATAAGATGCTGATCTATTTTTAATTATAGGAGAGATACTTGATAGAGTGACCCTATGAATAGTGTCTCCTTCGATCTTGTTAAAAAAGAAAGTAGGAGATAAGACTCCGCTCACTTGTACTTGATAACCTGGATGAAAAACGTTCGTGGCGTCGGCGACCCAGCCAAAGAAAGCAAACTTGACTTCTCAAAAAAGATACTGCCCCCTTTGCTAATTAATTAGTTCAGCTACATCGTGTTGGGCTTCTGGGGCAGCTTTGTCTCAGGGTAGAGTTATGCTTTTGATCTGAACTCGGAAAAACCAAAACTATATAAGATGAAATAAAGTTTACAGCGCAGTCGGCCTCGGTCTGCCACAAATTGTCCGAATTGGAATGTACAGGGCAGCCAACTTGTATATTTATTTATTTGGTTTTTCAGTCTTTTTGAGGAAAATTCTTTAAAATGGAATATTAGTTGGCGAAATGCGCTGAAAATTTTTATTGCAGGTATTTTTTAGTTGAATTGGCTAGAGTTTAGAGACATTCCTATCCAAATTGGGCCATGATACCGAGCAAAATCGTTTGTTTTTTTTCTTTCGTTCAGATTATTTACAGAATCATATATCGCATGTGTAAATTTCTGTTAATTGCGACAAATCTGTCAATTAATATTTTGTTCACAAATCTGAGACAAGATTCACCGAATTTTGCCTCCGATACCATCAGTCATATTTTAATCCTCATTTCATGAAAAGAACCTCACAAACTGCGATCCTCGGTTATATCAAAGTACCTACTGTTTACTCGGTAAGTTTTGATTAAAGCTGAACAAAGGATAAGGTCGCTAGTCGCAGTTATTACAATGTTTTGCTTTTTTTGCTGGGTTACCGTCAGACAGGTCAGTAATTGGATGTCAAACATTACTCTGCCCCCTCGAATCGAAACGTAACTGGCTGACCCTTATCAACACTTAATTCTTGTTTCTCTCATCAGTAATAAACAGTTCATTACCGTAATTATAGAAAAAACAAAGAAAGATTTAACCGAAATTTAGCCGAAATATAAACGTCTCCGAAAATTGCCAATTATTATTTTAAATGGTTAATCTCATTACTACGTGCATGTAAATTGAGATGTCGTTAGTCCTTCTGCGAGGCACTTAGGAAAATAAACAAACTGTAAAAAGATAAGGTCAAAATTGCTTTGTATTGTTTTCACTTTTTCGTATAATTTATAATAATGTAACTTTCATCCACGAGTAACATTTGTTCAACCCTGTGACATTATCTCGTATTAAACCTAATTGCCTTGCTAATTGCAAACTCACAGCTAAACCAAAAAAGTTTTAAATACTATCTATCTTGTGGTCGTTTCTACTTTCATTGAAATAATTCCTTTAGTGCAATGATATTACAGAGAAAAAATTCTTTCCGAGACTAATACCAATAACATCTGTTTCAGTGACATTTCCAGGACGTTTTTTCACGGTAGACTCCCAGTCACTAACAAGCACGGTAGATTCCCAGTCACTAATGAGCAAGAGCGTTGCGGTGAAAATCTCCCATCCCTTGAACCTGAAGGAAAAAAGTTTCGTACTGCAACTTTAAATTATCAGTGTGCTGAATTCTTCGATCGTTTGTCGCAAATTCAACAATGTTTTCGCATCAGGATAGGAATATATCACGGTGGTGAAATGTCTCATATGGCGGCCTCGAATATTCATCCTCAGTGCCGTGAGACGTAACCGAGAAGCCCCGAAATTTCGCGTCAAACTGTCGCAATCAGATGAAAACATTGAATTCCTCCTTTCCGTCTAGGCTTCGAATAGCACGATTCTTCTATACACTAATTCCATCCTTTCCACGCATAAGTATTCACAACACCTTGCTCTTTCATGGCTCCAGTTCGATTGCGATCCGTAGCTTTCTTCTCTCCATCTTTGGTTAATCTTTCTACCATTTTCTCAATGTCTTCATCTTCCATCTCGTGTACTTCCACCTTGGTTCTTCTGTCAATGGGCGCTTTTTTCTGTTCATTTCGACTTGTCCAGTCTGGTATGTACAGGCGATCGACCATCTGGTTAATTTTCCTATCGGATAATTTTTGGTATCCCATGAGAAATTCCGGATTGCGTTCTTTCGGATGTGTAATAGTACCCCACGGTTTCTTCGCCATCTTCCCTCCACGTCTGAAAAGCCCGCAGAAACGCGCAATGCTTTTGTCTGAATTTTAAACCCACTTAAAAGCGTCACGTAATAAAAGAAAAAAAAACAACAATGCAGATTCAATTACAGAGTGGGCTGAGAGAATTACTTCATTTCCATAACAAAACGCTCAGACAAGTCCTTATGATCTTTCTATTCTTGTTTTTATTTCGCTGCGTTGTAATGATCTTACTGATAAAGCAAATGAAACGTGTTTGCTATTCGGCCGGATTACTATTTAATTTAAATGCCACCGAAAACTGTCTGTTTATCAAGTCGGAAAGGGGCAAAGGATTATTCAAATGGTCTGGCTAAGCCTCGAAATGTTTTACAAAGTGAAATGTTAAATTATTTAAAACGTGAGTAGGTGGAAATTAGACGTTATCATGTTATCTCTACTACTACTACTGTCTGTAGTATGTAACAGTGGTCGGCAAAATACAAAGGAAATCATAGCATCATCTGCAGTTCAAATATGTTACGACCACAAGAACAAGAAGACTTGAGAAGTAAGCGAAATAAAGAATTCAAACTGTCACGCATTCTTATGTCGCGATTCAAAGTGTCACACTTCGTTTACGGACTTTCTTCCCCACAAAGTATAGCTTGGTGATTGCAGCCATTCCAAGCATAGGAATTCAGAGCAGCTCCCCATTCGTTTTTGAAACGATGCACCCGCCGAGTATCGGGTGTTTTCTCCAAGTTGGTTTCTTTATGCGCCAACCTAGCAACCACTGCGTTGATGTCGTCACTGGTCAATTTTCGTTTCTCGATCGCCGGCCGCGGTCGCTTTTTGTTTTCCACCGGTGATGTTTTCGGTCTACTTAATCGTTCGACCATACTGTCTATCTCTTCCTCACCTAGTTTCTGGTACCCTAGTTCAAACGGCGGCTTAGTTATTGTTCCCCACGGTTGTGAAGTCATGATGTAAATTAGTTAGCACTGCGTCTTCTGATGAAAGTGTGTAAATTTTCGTATTCTACCATGAAGAAGCAGCCATATTGTCCTGATCGCTTAAAAGGCGCTTAGAACTGCATCGTAAGGGATTGAAAATTCCAGAAATGCACAACTAAGAGGCCAAATTCTTTCCTGTTCAGTAGAACTCTTAGAAGTTGATTACGACGAAACGTTCATTAGTGCCCAGTGCCTACTCGGTTGATTTACTTAATATATTACCGACATGCAAATGAGACTACTACTTCTATTTGCTTTATGACGGCAAAATTTTGGGCAATTCTTGTGATTAGGTTTCACCTTACGTCCTCTTCTTGGTCCATCTGCTCATTACACTATCTCTATCTCATGGAAAAAGTAATTGGAATCCCTAGAAAAATACCCCTTGTCCTGACCTGAGGCCTTGCCGGTAATACCCAGGGTTAACCACATAACACAAACAAACAAACGAGTATAGGATCGGGAAATTTAAAAGTCTTCATTGAGTAAAGGTAACAGCATGATTTCGAGTGCAATTTGGTGTTAATGAGCACGAGTAAATTTTCAAAGGCAGTTTAAAGTGCCTATCGACACCAAATTGCACGAGGAATCATGTTGTTACTTGTTAATAATTTACATGAAAAACGCATTAAAGAAAGTCAAGACGGACGAAATTTTGGCGGCGCGCACTATTTGTAATTTGCACTCGTGTTACAACTTTGCATTTGTGTTACAACTTTGCACTCGTGTTAAGTAAAAATACGCTTCGAGCCTATGAGACACGCGTAACTTTTTCAGGTATGTTACTAGTTTTGTAACAAGAATACTCAGAGAATTGAAGCAGATAAATCTGCCATGGTAAACGAAAGTTGTTTCCATTTGATATTTTTAGTAGGATCTAAAGAAATTAGGAAGTCTTCCTTGTATTTTTTATTAATAATGAATTGGTTTTCAATTAATTCGTGGAAACACTAAGTTATTAATACAACTTCTTGGAAATCAACGACCAACAATTCATTTTGATATTCTTTGTAATTCTTGTTTATTCTTTCAGTGAACGTTTGATGCAAACTCAGTAGGTAATGGAGTCTTATTTAACCGTTTACCTCCCAAGATCTCACTGGTAATTCTTCTTACTGTCTGCCATACAGTTCTTGTGATGTTAGTTTGGAGAAATTGGTGTTGGATCAACTTATAATCCCCTAACTTATATTTTTCTTCATTCTCGTCACTTTTCTCCTTGATATTGTATTGATATTGTAAGGAGAAATTCTGTCTTGGTCACTCATAGGAGTTAAAGGGTTAAACATTGCCTTGCCAACAGAAACTATATCAAATCGAAAAATACAACTGAAAAAGGTACTACTGAAAATTTTCGACCATTTGCCTGGAGGCATGTCTGTATTGTCATAGTTATCGTTTCACGCAATCGTAAAGCACACCACAGCTACTTAACAGCTATTGTTAATGAAAAAAAAATACAATGATTCTCACAAAATTACTTGTACTGAACTCTCAGCGGCAGGCAAATTTTGGTGCACCCACTCAAATCCATGGGGCACTTTTTTTCATTCACTCAATACCAATTGCCATCAGCTCTTGTGATACGACTCTTTAGCAGTCTTCCGTCTATCCAAGCATAGGTATTCACAATCCCCATGACTTTTGCAGCTCCGATTCGCTGTCTCTCAGGCGTCTTTTCTCGGTTCTTTTCAGTATTTGCGAGCCTCTCAAGCATTTCAATGATTTGCTCCTTACTTAGTGACTTTCCATTCGCCTCATTAGCTTTTTTCGTGTCGTCTGGTTTTGGCGCACTAAGTCTTGCAACAACAGCGTCCAGTTCATCTCTTGGCATGCTCGCTGTTTGTTTATATTCTGGGTATTTTATGTAACTTGTCCTGTTCCAAGACATTGCGGTTATAAATGAACCTTCCACCTGCAAAACGCTCAAGGTTAAGATCTCATTTCTTGGCGACAAAGCTTGTCGCTTGCTGGGCTCAGTAAGGCAAATACGTAAGCAAGACCTAAGCCTTTTCAAGTGAAATGAGTCCAATTGTTCAGCACTTACAATAACATTGATATTCTTGAAAAACGCAGCGGGCCAATGACGACAGAATTTAGAGGATTAGTGCTCAACCAATGTTTTGTTTATTTAATAACAGAAAAAATAAGTTATTTTCTTTGTGCACGTAATGGACAATAAAAGCTTCTATATACAGGTCACAAGACTTTTAATTAAAATCATTCAGGTGAAGAGCACCAAAATATGAAACAAACAGAAAGAATAGTTCTATGTTGACTTTATCTATTTATTCGCTAAGGGCCTAGTCATCAATTTCAATTCACTGTTTATCAAAATATACTTAAATTTTAAAGTTTCATGGCAGATGGCATGCACATCAGTGCAGCAAATCCTTCTAATACTTTGATCAAATCCATTATTTCCCTTAAAACATATTCTACGTCACGGTACTGGTTAATTCAAAAACAATATATAAAGACAATAATTTTATCAGTTATACTGCGTAGAATAACATCTGACTATGATCATGTAATGCGCTTCTACATAACCCTAAGGCCCAGTTCAGAAGCCGTACTTTAGATTGGCTCAGTCAATTAATCCCGCCTGGTTCAGCCGGGAAGAACGGCTGTAGGCCGACTTTGATTCAGACGCCATACGTCAATTGAGCAGAGCCAAATGCATAATTATTTTAGTGTATTTTTCATGTTTTTTTTACCCGAGAGCATGCGCAAAGAAGTGGTTTACAGGAGAAAAATGACGGCTTGGCGGGCCATACTAGACGATGGTGACATGTGTTGTTAGTGTTGGGGCACAACCAAATATACTTGCTTGAAATGTAGCATCCCAATTTGCAATAACTGTTCAATTTTTGAAGAAGACGAAGATTACCATGGATGGGTCACTGGTAAAAGCGTCGCCATTACGACGGTTTGCTTTCATCTTCTTCTTCTTTTTCTTTTTGCACTGTTTTCCAGCAAAAGAAAAGCTCTTGCTCGGAGATTGCTGCCGGAATCCATGACGTCCGCCACTTTTACAATTGTATGCTAAACCAATGATCAAATATTAATTTTCTTCGATTAATTAATTTCAGCCGAATATAGTTCGGTGTTTGAATCAATTCATCTAGAATTAACTAATTTTGGTCCGCCTATCGTGGAATTCAATTCTGCGCAGCTGAGGTACGGCGTCTGAACCGGGCCTAAAACAAAGATGTCGGCTTCAAATAATTATTTTCTGCTAAGCTGCTGGAGCGAGTTCCGAAAGTCCCAGTCATTTCGAATTCTGTGCTGCAAACTAACAGTAAGTTTCCGAAAGAAATTATCCTGGTATTGTGGCGCTTGCGAACTTATGAACAAAGAAAATGGTATTTTTACCACTCTTGAGGTCGTCACGAAATTGGCTTCTATCTTGCGCATTGCCACAAATAATACTTAAGTTGTGCCAATTGGTTATAATAATGATAAATGATGTAACACAAAGAGATTTTCTACTATGAAAGAAAAGGATTCTACGAAAATTGTATCTGTAAATTTTAACTATAACTTTGGTATAGCTAAGAGGTTCCACTCCGAAATATTCCCCAACTTTGTAATAGGTGTCTCGAGCAGGAAGTGAGTGCGTGTTTAGCAGCGAGAATCTCGCTAAGATTCTTTCATTCCCTTTCATTTTTGGTTAAAGATAGAAAAGGAAACTATTCTTATATTAATGTTTCAGGGCTTTGTTAATATCCTTTGAAAGCACCACGCCTTCTACGCTAAGACTCAAGCGATTTCCAGAAAAAACTTGCTCAGTACAGTTCCCGATTGCTCTTTCCGATGTAGAGTTTCTGTTCGCTACAAAGAAAATATTATGTACCGGACGTTGCGGCAAAGCCCTACGTCTCACATGAAGCGATTAACTTTCTAAGGTAATTTCTGTTGATTTTTTTTTTCTGAAAAAAGAATAAATGACATCATTGTCTATGGCTTTAAGCGGGCTGTTGTGGTTCCGCTGTAATTTAATCTGTTTTTAGGTTTACTGAAATATAAACTAACGAGAAGACGAAGGGAAAAGGAAGGCAGCTTTCAAGTTTTTGTTGTTTCTTGTCGCTTTATTTCGCGTCACTCTGCCGAAATGTGTGACTTCGTTGCTAGAAACTAACGATGATTCTACAGAGATAAAAGCAGCATGACAGAGACAGCCAAGATGAGGAACACGTCATGCAAGACCATAGGTATCGTCCCAGCCATCTGATTAAAATCACCTTGGAAAAAAAGGTAATAGGTTAAAATGGAGGAACATAAAATTAAATTAAAAGAGAGAATAACAGACAATGCATGTAACGAATTATATTCCTCTGTCTCTAAAAAAATTGGAAACTAGCTAGCGAGAAGGGAGAAACCCTCTGGCAAGTAATTTAAGACTCGCCATTAAGAAAATAGGAAGCTGACAGCAGCCCAGAAAATTAGGGACTGCTGTAAAAGGCTATGATCAAACCAATATTGTGTCTAGTGAACTGCGCATATTCAGAAATCACCCTTACATCAAATTCGGTTTTGTTTAGAAATAATAAAATTTATAGTCTCTTGGTTTTGTTTAAGACACAATAAGGAAAGTTTTTTACCCTTAAAGCTCATGATGAACCTATATTCAACTAGTTAAAATTCTTAATCTATACAACAAATATCTATTTCAAATAGGAAAGATTATGTTTTCGTTCAAGACAGGCCGTCTTCCTGATTCTATGAAATGTTATTATCGTTGTCGAGTAGCATTCATTTCTATTACACCAGGCGATGCAATTCCTATTACATACTCCTTCGTAGAACAAATGTTAGACAACTTGTGTTATGTTCCCAAGGTCATAAATTTTTCAATATAGAAATCCAAAATGCTGGGGCCCTTTCCCTCTTAAGTCCAAATTGCGAATATTTCTCCTAAGTTGTCTCCCTTCGATCTTCCTTTTCTCTTACTTTTCTCAAGCTGCTTGAGAATATGTTTGTTTCCGTGTCTGCTATTGTTGTTGTTGTTTCGTGTAAGTGTGAGTTCTTTCCTTTTTAACCTAGAATATTTTATACCTAAATTACTTCGTATAACTGTCCTCTTACTTTATAAAATAACAGGAGCGTGTAGCTTACTTAAGCCTCTTGGTTTCTCTACGGGTTTCCTCGCCACGTGTTGAATTTTCAGTTACATTATATCCATTTATATGGAGTTCCCTTTATTTATACGCTGTATTAAAATTGCAAAATGGCAAAATAAACAAATAAACACTAAAAAATAGACAAAGGAACCGGTCTTTATTTATTGCCTGAGAGGGTAGCCCAATTGAGATCAATATGATATGTTTCGATATACGCAAAGGACTGGCCATACATAAGTATTGGCAAGCTGCTAATACTTATACAATACGCTTATGTACTTTACTTACCGGGAATTACAATGTTAGCTGCGACACTGTAGCTCCTGGAGCGCAAAGTATTCGGACCCATGCGAACACCCATGCATCTGAATGTAACTAACATCAGGAATGGGCAATGGGTGACTGGTAACCGGTAACCGGGAACGGGAGTGCTGCACCGAAAGTGCAGGAGCAGAACCGGGAGTACTGCACCCAAAACTGCAGCAGTAATCCACATAACGATTTAAAATGGTGTATAATAACACGAAAAAAGGGTCCGCACTAGATTATGCGAGCGGCGCGCTCGGTCGTCGGAGCAATCATCATGGACGATAAATAAAGTTTTCATTTAAGGGGTGTTTACCTATTCTTTGACACAGGAACTCATAAACTCTTCTGATGAAAGATACTGAGATGAATAATTAAGTTCTTCGAAAAGTATTAAACGTTGCATTTATAGGGACTTTCAATTCGGACAAAGAGAGCAAGTGAAGAGGAAAGAGGAAGGTTGAACGGCGTGATCATTATCTCTTGACATTTCTCGGCTCCGAAGACGTAAAACGAGTAAGCTCTCAGAACCAAGACAGAGGGCACAGTTTTTCTCAGTGCGGACCGCCCTAAGCTGGTGAATAACATTTTCAAGTATGATTTCAATTCTGTTAGTAATTTTATTATAATTTTTTTGTTGTCAATCTTGTTTTTGTTTCGCTCTACCTTGGCCGTAAGAATAAGAAATTTAAGGTAGAAAGTCATTTTTTAAAGCGTAAACATCGCGAAGGTATCTACTTAGTATACGAACTCCGCTCTGCGTAGTTTAGCGTGATTCGTTAGTTAGTGTAAAAGCATGACGAAGGTTAGAGATTGACAGCTCAGTAAACGTCACCTTTATAAGCGGTAACCCACACTTTCCAAGAGAGATCAGAGCTAGTCCCCGTTGTAATAACTTGTGTAATTACAGATCAGAGAGAGAATCGTGAGAGGATTTGAGGACGAGGAGGAAGATTATCTTGTGGTCGCGGACACACTCGGAGTGAACCGATCAACGGCAAGAGGCATTGTGGCGCGCTACATCAGGGAGGGCAGGATCCAGGAAAGACCACGAGGAGGTAGAAACAACGTGCGCGTGGAGACGAAGAGATGAGAGATTGCCTAGAAGAAATCATAAACGAAAACTGTTTTACTCACACTTGCTCGGATAAACAGTGAACTGAGGAGACGGCTACCACTAAAACCTCAGATCCATGACCGCACCGTGGCAACGACATTAGACGGGATGCTTTTCCGAGTGAAACTTGCAAGGCCCCTCCCTGCGGACAGAAACAGACCTAGGCCGAGTTGTTCAAAGCTGGATAAAGATAACCTGGGGTTAGAGTGAAATTTTATTTCAGATCTGAAAGCTTAAAGAGCAAATTCAGTTTATTTCTTTTTGACTACAATTTGATAATTGAATGCTCTAAAACAATAGGTAAAATTATTCCAAAATGGCTTTTGAACAGAGAAATATAGAAAC